TACGTTTGAGCACTGTGTATCCATCCCCAGGCAGCAGAAGAGCTCCCACGGACACTGGAGGGGTGGTCGAGGAAGTCAGGTGCATGGATTAGGGCACCAATAACCAGAGTCCACGTCCCTGGCCTTTTCTCATCTCCTAGAGGAAAGAGCTCTTCCTCTGAGAGCTTTTGCCTCCCAGACTTCCAGGCTGGGGCAGGCTTCCTTGCCCGGGGCTCACACATCACAGACTCTACCACGATGGTCAAGCTGCCCCCAGTCCCCAGCAGGGTGCTTGACTGAAAGGGGCATCTGAATTGGGCAATGGACACCACACCTTGCATCTCCCACATCAGATTCTCAGCAAATCCCATTCCTCTTCTTCCTTAAGACAGCTGACCATGGGCCACAACCACAGGCCATTTCTGACCAGAACCAAGTGACAGTGGCCTTCCATGTCTATAGATGCATTTCCCAGTGCCTTGCTATGCAGGATTTCCCAAAATGAGGTCTTCCTCTCCAATAAAATAGAAGATCTTGGACAGAGCCTGATTCCCAGGTTTTAACAGTTACCCTGAGCGAGAATATATACCTGGTCATTCTAAATCTTTGTGAGACAAACAAATCAATGATAGTGGCCACTCACTAGAACACCTGGCAAGTCCTCCTGCTCCAGTGGTACCATGCATCTGAGATGACTAACCTCCTGGGTCCTCTTGGGCTGGCCTGAGGGACACTCATAGCTGGCCAAGTGTTATTCCTGGGGTGTCTGAGGGGTGTTCCCAGGAGAAGTAAGTGCTGAGTCAACAGGATGCGTGATGAGCACCCCCCGTATGTGGGGGGGGGGCATCTGGGGATCCATGATGGGCGTGGACAGAGGGGCAGAGCAAGGGCACTTACTGCCCCTTCTTAAGCTGGGGCTCACCTCTTCTGCCCTTAGACACCAGACACTGCTGGCTCTCGGGGCTGTGGGCTCAGACCAACAGACCCGGGGCGCCCCTTCTCGGGACAGGTTTGGGTTGGAGCCACAGCGCCAGTGACTCAGAACCTCCAGCTTGCAGACAGCAGATGCGGCACTTCTCACCCTTCTTACCTGTGCCAGGGGATTCCTCATCCTAAATCTCCTTCCATATACTTATCTTTATCTGTCTATCTAGCTAGCTCCTATTGTTCTGGGTGTTGTTTTTTTTTTTTTTTTCCTGGTTAGCCCTGACTAATGCAGTAACCAAATGTTGATTTTTATGATCTCTTTCTAAAATGCTTACCTACTGGTCTCTTCCTATATCTAAAAACTAAATTTCTATTGACTCAAATTCAATCCTTACTCAGTTTAGATCGAGCATGTCCCTCTGTAGATGTTACAGAGAAAAACCCAGTTGGTGCGTACGTTTTCCATCCTCCAAGTTTGTGATGTGCTAGAATGAGTTCTGGGTTAGAGAAAACTGAGGCCAGACCCAGCCCGGGCTTGGGAACCAGCCTCCTCTGCACTTAAGCTGAGCACCAACATCTGGTCCCCACAGTGTAAGATGGGTACATCCCCTGGCAAGAGCGGGGACATCCTCTCCAGGGGCAGGGTTCAGAGTCCTACAGACCTGCTCCAGACCCACAGCCTGTGTCACGACGCTGGGTGTCCTCCTCATCCTGGTCACAGCAGCGTCTGCCCTTCTGGTTTCTTTAGGGGTAAAGTGGGAAGAAAGCGGAACCTCACCACTGCGAAGCCTCCTGTGCCAACAGCGGCTGGTCAGCTGCACGTCCTCAGTGAATTCAGGCCACTGTTACAGAGAAACAAGGAGACAGTGGAATCGCAAAGAACCCTGGACAAGAACAGTTCCTGGGAGGACCCAGGCCATACTGCAATCCTCGGAAAGTTAAACGAGGACTGTGACCATTGCCTAAGATCCATTTAAACAAAATTCTCCCTTCTCATTCATGAGCCTCAAAGCCAGCACAGGGACTTGGGGACTCAGCCTAGCCCCGGGTCCAGGACATGCATTTTATTTCAAAGTATATAAACCTGGAATTTCCCCCACATCTTCATGACACCTCTGTGGTGTCTAGACCTTTTTGTTCAACCTCATGGTTCTGTGTGGAATTATCTAAATCAGCTGGAACACTCGCTGCCCCCAGGTAAGGGAGATCAGAGCCACAGGTCCAAAATGAAGTCCGGAGGACACGCGGCTTCACAGCCTGGGGGACAGAGGCCCCTGCATCACCACTGGGGGAGGAACAGTCTCTGGCCTCTGCCCTTCTGGCCACCCTCTGCGTCTTCAATTCGTTGGTTTACGTGTGGTCCTCCGGCTCTTCCTCATCAACCTCCTTGAAACAGGAAGAAATCCCACTCAATTCACAGCATTGAGAGATTCTTCTCAAAGGGAAAAGGCAGTAAGGAGAGATTTTGACTAATTCAGAGCCAAAAGCCTTTTTAAAAAATATCCGCATTTTATTCACTCAACAAATACTTAATCTCGAACTGAAATACCAAATAAACGTCTCAAGTTGCCCTTTCACATTAGCTCCAAGGACCTGGATTTTTCTTGACCTTGAACAAGATCTCACTCTCCAATTTCCCATCAATAAAGCCGAGATAATGACAGTATTTGCCCACTGCATGGGGGAATTGTAAAAATTAATTGAAATCTTGGGTGAAATGTGGTAGCAACACCACTGTTTTGTATTACCTCCTGACTTGTGTATGAATGAGTGTTGATTTAAAAAGACAGATCTCCCCACGTGTAGCATGATTGTATGGTGGAATTTTACACACACACCATGCACACGCAGGCACACACGCCCCTCCATATACATATGTATGTGCATATGTATAGTTTGGCATTTATACGAATGTGTGATCTCAGCAGCAGTTCAGTCAAAGGAAAAATTAGCTCCAGTTTTTTTTCCAAGGGAAATAATTTTCTGTTCAAGTTCTGTTATTTTCAAAGGACTCTAATGCTGTTATTTCAAAACGGAATGTCCTCAAATAAGGGAAAGACGATTCTTCATTGAATCATGCTTGCACATGCCAAATTTTCAGTGTTGTGTTAAAGGCCTACAAAAAAAAATCTGATTTTTTTTAAAGTATGTAGAAACATTCCTTTTAAATGAACTAAAAATACTCCACCCCTTTGGGATCAGATAAATTTACCATGAAGATAAATGATTATAAAGAGAGATGGAAGATAGAAAAGAAGATGGGTATACGTAAAGAATGCATTATCTTCAGCCCCTCTCCCCGTAAAAAGCTAAATTCCATCCAAGGAACTTCTTGTGCCTTCTGACTTTCTCAAACTGGGCGTTTTGTGATGCAGTTGTGGAAGGCAGAGCCCTGATGTGCTGGGGCAGGAGTGTGACATGACTTTTCTCTCTGCACAGCCCGCTCAAGCAACCATTACCGATGTCCCTTCCTGCCTATCTTGGGACACCAACAGATTAGATATTTCTTAGAGATATGTGTTTTCTCTGGATACAGCTATTTTCATATCTGATTAGCAGACTAGGTGCCCTACAATTTTATAACTACTTCATTTATATAGATGAGGCTTTGATTCAACAGAGCCCCAGTTAGCTCGGGCATCAAAAATGGGGCCTCCTGCCTTAGGAAGAGGGGCAGTCCCAGGCAGGCCCAAACACAGCAGGCTGAACACCACAGTCCAGAGAAAACGTGGATTCAAAAATGCTGTTTATCTTAGGGCATGATGAGAATCTTTTGTTAATTTAAATAACGCTGTATCTTAACACCTAATAAAAAGTGTTAGATGTGAAGTATAAACATTTTATGGGTACGCTATGAATTTTAACATTATTTAACTTGACTTTGTTAAGTCACTTTCTACCTAGACAGTATATTTCCATTAACATTTTTAACGAAGAGTGAGAAAGAGAGAAACCACATGTGAAATATCAAATGGGTCTTAAAAATGAAGAAAAGCAGGAAGGGTTCTCTCTAAATAGAGGTATAAAAAAAGAAAGCAGAAATCAAAGACCACGAAGTACCCCGCTCACGGATAAGACAGGGTGAAGAAGCTACTGAGTCTTTCCTTCCAGAGTTGAAATCCCATCCTTATTCCTCTTCCCCATCGACGCAAGCCAACGACTGTCACCTGTCTTGTGTATGACCAGATCCTTGGGGTAGGACAGTGCTTCACACATAGTAGGTGCTCCGTAAATCTCTGCTGATACAGAAAGAAGGGAGGCCCACAGTGCCCCTAGCACATATGAGATTGGGTTAAAAGTACCGTAATTCCAGGGAGAACTTTGTGTGTCACTTTATGGTTCAACCAGGAGGAGAGGAAGAAGAAAGAAAGAGCTGTCAATCTTCAGGGACACTTGGGGCTCTGCCTCCCTCGGCACAGACTCTGAAGACTAAGGAAACAAAAGTTGCCCAGAGGATCCCTGGGATGCTAGTCTGTTCTTTCCCAAGAGGGAGACATCGATTTTTAGCAAGAAAGGAGTGGTGTGAAGCAGTAAGACAGGAGATGTGCACAGCACAGAGCAAGGGGCTCGGTGTGCAGCTGGCCAAGGCACCGCTGGGTGCACTAGGCCCTGCCTGGCTCACAGACCCACCGTCCCCCAGACCTCAGGGCCCCAGGGCGAGGGGGCACAGACATGGGCTCCCATTTTGGAAGGAAAGACAGGAGAAGTAGGTAAGAAGGCAACACAATAGAAAGCTCTCTCTCCCCCTTTCCCAGCACGTGGGCGTTGGAATTTGTGCGAAACTCCACGTGCCGTGAATGGCAAGAGATCATGGCCCCGGAAAGTCTGGGAAGAGCTTTGGAGGGAGGAGAGGATGGGAAATCCTTCTGGAAGTTTGAAAGCTCCGGGGAAACAATGGAAGCTGAAAATGTAAGCAAATGGGGTGAGTAAATCTGTAGTTTTTCAAGAGTCATAGAACCGCAGCACCATAGCAATACGTTTAGGATAAACTTTTAAACATATTGTAACCAAATACATTAAAGACTGAAAATCGAAACAGACCAGGGCGTACTCAGAAAAATGCACAGGTCAGAGAAAATCACAGCAGCCGAAAATCAAACCCAGCCTATGACCACGGCTTTTCCAAATTCTTTATTAGGGAAACTTCAGACATGTGCAAATTTAACATCAATTCCTCCCTCCGTCAAGGGCCCTCAATCGTCATCAATGTCTCGTCTATATTGTTTCATTTACACCCCTCATTTCCTGTATGTCTGTTTTCTCACCTGAACCCCCGGATCGTTTTGAAACAAATCTCAGAAGTTCCATCATTCATCTGTAAAGATTTCAGTGAAGATTTGTAAAAGATGAGGACATTTTAATAAAATGACTATGATATCAATATCACACCAAACAGAGCCAATGTTAATTCCTGAACATTATCAACCATCCAAATTTCAACCTCAATTTTCCCTGACATTTACACACAATGTTAGAAATTAGGAATTGAGAGTCGCATTGGAAAAATAGATTTATTTCAACCCAAAGTTTGTGTTGCTGTCTTCTCTTGAAAACTCATGAAGATCTAGTAAGGCTGGGTGCCTGTGAACCAGGACCTGGGCAGAAACAGCGCCTCCTGCTGGCTAAGGCTGGTCTCCCAGTCTCCAGCTCACCTTGGACCTCCTCACCCCTGGGTCCTGCCTGCCCCCACAGCCCACAGTGGACGCTGGCTCTTGGACACAGTTGCATTTACAATCCTGAATCTAAGCAAACACAAACAGGGATTCTGGGAGCCCTCTGTTAGCGTTGGGGATTAATGTCATGGATGGCAAGCAGAGACATAGCCGGAGCCTCACAGGCTTCAATAACACAGAGCAGAGAGCCACAAACCTGAAGACAAATGGTCAGATTTGAAGGTCACACCAAGGACAGAACAGGAGAGGATGCCAGACCAACAGACTGGGGAGCCAAGAGCGGAGTGCAGGAGTTAGGAGGCACAGACTGATTTGATTAATTCAAAAATTATTTGCAGAGCCAAATTATGTGCCGGTCTCCCTCTTTGTGCTCTGTTCCAGGGTACAAAGACGGGCGATGTTGCTTTGGAAGGAGTTGTGCCAAGTCCAACACGACATAACGCCTCCCTCCTCCCGGTTCACTTGTCAGTTTTGAAACCTAAGAAAGTGAGCACAGTAGGTTAAATTAAAAGTGCAGTCACTGGGGCGGGCAGTAATGCTCTTAAAATTAAAATGAAAGTCTAAGACAAGATTTCTCACACCCACCTCTATCTACAGGCCGACTTCTCTGCAGATAGCTGGAATGTTCAATATCCAATGTGAGAAAATGAGAGAGTTTGTGTTTAACGACTAGATGCTCTGCAAAATTAAAGGAGCTTAATTTTAAGAGGGGAGAAAGAAGGTATGTACCATTTGCTTGTTATGCACAATAGCAAATTAAAAACTAAAAGAAGGCAATGAGTGTGAAATATTAAATATTTACTTCCCAGTGATATTTGTGCACTCTGGTATTAATGGATAATAATAATTACTGTACCTTATCCAAGGCACACCTAGACTGAGAGATTCAATTTCTAACACATGGGCTCGTGCGTCTGTCGATACACATGCCTGGTCCCCATTAGTGTTAATTGTATCAGAGGAAATGCACCAATGAAAACAGGAGAGACCCCCAGAAATGCCCTAGAGTGGGAAACCCAGAAGGGTTTCTCCCTGGCAAGTAAGTGAATTAACTCCAGTACAATTTTGCAAGATGGATGCGAATTCCGGACACAGAGAAGCTAAATATGCAAACGATTTAATAGAGACTACCTCACAGACTGCCACGCGTCAGCCCCCTCGTGCATTGAGAACTCCAACATGAGGTGGGACTGCACAGGGGAACCCAAGCATGAAAGTGGTCCTCCACCTGGGGTCCCACGGCGGCTTGCACCTTCAGCAGGGAGGTGCCCTGCCCCTCTGCTCCCTACTCCACTGAAGTCTGCCTGAGCACAGGAAGTGAACCCCGGGGAAACAGAACTCAGAGCCTCGAGGATTGTGCACAGGGAAAAGGCTGTGGACTCCTATAGGGAGGATCAGGGGCCAAGAGGGCTGAGCTCCAGTGTGACTTCGGCTGTGTAGGGTGACATTGTAGTAGAGCTCAGCTTTTCTATCTGTAAAGAAGGAATGCAATTACCCTAAGCCACCTGCCTCGCTAGATTTAAAGGCTCCCGAAGATAAGTGTGCATGAAGCCACCACAAACTGTGATGCACAGCACCACCCCAAAGACGGTGAGAAATTCAGCAGTGTGAGTTCTGCTTTTTGGGGTGCTGATTTGCTCATTAGGGATGGTTTTGTCTTTTGAGTTTTTTTCTAATACATAAGTGATACACGTCAACGTGTGTACCTTAGAACAAAATAGGCAGAAAGAAGACAGCGTATCATTCATGTTCTTGCTGTTCTGAAATAATTCTTATCTCAATCTAAGACGGAGGTTCTCAAATGGTCCACTTTTGCCCCACCCCCACCCCAGGTGACATTGGGCACTTTTGGAGACATTTTTCACTATTTGCAATTCAGGAGGTGGGGGATACAGAATCTACTGGTGTCCAAGTGAAGGGAGGCCACAGCTGCTAAACACCCCACAGTGCACAGGCCAGTCCCCCACGATGAGGAATTATTCAGCCCCAAACGTCAGAGGGGCCAAGCATGAGGATCCCTGAGCTAAACACAAGTACATACCTGTAAATGTGACATCACGGGTAACTTCAATGCCAGGATGCCATCCCAAGTTGTCTTTCAGCAAATTACGCGCTAAGCAGAACACGTTCCCCAAGCCTCACACTCACCAGAGTTTGGTCTTGCTGCAGTAGCCCCCACACCAGGCACACTCGAGACTTCACACAGAAACTGCAAAACGTCTCCTCTTGAATACTCATTTTGCTACCCTCACAATCTCTTGTAACTGTTGGAAGTTGCCGAGGTAAGAGGAGAGAGGGCAGATAAGCACCAGGAATGCCTCTTTACTCCTGCAAAATATATTCCCTGGCCAAGCAGTGGGCTCACACTGAGAGATCTTGAACTGGCTCTCTGGAAGATGAGGGACACCACAATCTTCATGGGGACGTTATTACAGTGGGAATATCCTCACAGGTGATCATTTCTGTAGGCTTTTCTTATGAGCAAGTAGCTATGGAATTAAGAAAATAAGCTTTATATTTTGGTTTCTCTTTAATGAAATCTAATAATTTTTTTTCTTTTTCTTTCTTTCTTTCTTTTTTTAATGTACCTGGGATTGACCCAGGAATGCTCTTAACCACTAAGCCACACCTCTAGCCTTTTTGAAAATTTTTTTAATTTTTATTTTTATTTTGAGATAAAGTCTTACTAAGTTGCTTAGAGCCTCGCTAAATTGCCGAGGCTGGCTTTGAACTTGTGATCTTCCTGCTTCAGCCTCCTAAGCTGCTGGGATTACAAGTGTGTGTCACCACACCTGGCTAAATATTACTTTTACACAGCTAAGAAAATAAACTCCACCAAAATAAATTTAATAATTAATGGGAATGGAAAGAGGTCACATAGGAAAGACGTTTCATAATTATTTTTAAGGACATGGGATATAGCTCAGTGGTAGTGCTTGCCTAGCATGCCCAAGGCCCTATGTTCAATTCCTAGCACCAGAGGCTGGTAGGGCTTGGGGGGTCATTTGGTTCTCCAAAGCTTCTTTTTATTTTTGTTTTTCTGAGACAGGGTCTCACTAAGTTGCTTAGAGCCTCACTAAATTGCTGAGACTGGCCTTAAACTTTTGATCCTCCTGCCTAACCCTCCCCTGTCTCTGGGATTACAGGCATGTGCCTCCTGCACCCCATCTCAATTTTTTGAAACTAATGACAAGGATTCTAGTTAAATGGGATTACAGAAGACAAAACCAGACCAACCAACCATATTATTTGCAATATATAGGGTATATCTTTATGTCTCCATAAATATAATTCTAAACAATCCTTCTAACAGCACAAAATATTTCACTGTATTGATATGATAAATTCTCAACACTTTTTTTTATTAACAATCTTTCATTGTCAATAGTAAATACACAATGCTATTTTAAATGCCCTCACTGCCAAATGCCTATGTACATCTTGAATTATGTAGTTAAATTAGAAGAATTCAAATTAGAAGTCAAAGTCTAGAATTCATATGGCTGAGTTATCCTCCAATAGGTTTTATTGAAAGACGAAACTCAAGTTCACCTTCATACTTGCTGGTTTATCTCCTCTAACGATCTGCTTCTATTCCTAGGGTAGCACCTGCTTCTATTCCTGGTGAGCAGGATGTTTTACAGGAACATGGCTTTCTCTATGCCACAGCCTGACCCAAACTGCCAACATTAAAGTGAATTCTGGGTTTTGATTCAGCCACTGATCACTGATCCTGAATTATCTCAGGTAGAAATTCACAATGGCAGACAAATAGCAAACCTGGTCAGGCCATCAGGGACCCTAGTTAGCAGTCTATCATTCTTTGACACTAACCTGAAGCCTCATGAATATGAGTATATCAATTCAATAAACATATGTAACTAGCTTTTTAAAATATCATTCCCAAGCATTAATATATGTCTATTTTTGTTTGTTGTGATAGTTTCTCAGCAAACACAAAGAGAGGCATTCATTTGAAATTTCAGGCCTTACCTTTGCTGGCCCTATTGATGAGACTTGGAATTGACTCTTTCTTCTAAGAGAGCTCTGCTGTCCTGGGAGACCCTGGAGATGGCTGGCCAAACACTGAGGTCTCAGCAGCTCGGGGTGTTATTCAGAAATTACTATGTTGTGTTTCTAACAATCACGTGCCTGGAAATAGGGGCCATTTATACAGAAAACAAAATATTTTTAATCAAGTGAAAGGGACCCTCCAGGTGCCTCAAGGTCTCCGCATGGATTGTGGCACTGTGGCTCCGCAGTTCTTCCTCTGGCCACCAGGGTGCCTCTCTCTGCCCCCAGAATCTGCTGTGCGGGGCGGCTCTGCAACACATCCTTCAAGTGTGAATTTATTCTTTCCCTCCTTGCTGGCAATTTTTACTTTTCCAGCTTGGCACATAGAATCTTGCAAGTCTCCCTGGAAGGTGACTCATATTTAAATATGAATGGGGCAGCTGGCTCCTGTTATCTTAAAGGGTTACATTATGTCATTGCACATTTTCAACTGGGGTAAAAACAAACTCTGCTCTTTTCACACATTGATTCCAGTCGTGCAGATTTCTATGAGATCACAGGGACTTATAAAGTGTCTGAGATTTTTCCAGCTTCAAAAATCTAAGACCAGCGAACTCTTTCTTAATAATGCAGCAACAGCAACAAAATTCCCTCTGTTACCTGTCCTGCCGTTTGGGATTCATTTCCAAAACATGGCAGTGACCACCGTGGTAATGACCATGATGACAATAATGGGGATGTTGGCAGATGCCTATGTGCTATGACTTCTCACCTCGTCCCAGGAGCTGTGTCCATGGCTTCCCTGTCGTCCTCCACTACCCCAGGAGAAGCTTCTCGCTGTTGTCACCTTCCAATGTGGTCTCCAAGCTTCAGAGGATAAGGTCAACGAGCCAGGAGGGGGCAGGGCCAGGTGTACACACTGGAGACAGCCACCTGGGTTAGGAGCCTGGTTAGCCCTCTTGCCGGCATTGCATCACCTGGGAAATGGTTCCTAGAGCAGCTCCTAATCCCACCAGGGCTGTCGTGTGGCTTATGTGACATCCAGGCACAATAACTAGACAGCGCCTGCTCTTCACCTCTGTGACCAAGATACCAAGAACAACTCTCAGGAGGGAAAGCGAATTTGGGGCTCATGGTTTTAGAAGACTAATTCATGGTGGCAGGTACACTGTAATGTGTTGGTAGTAATAAAGTTCTCCAAAAAAGAGCACTGGGATCAGGGAGGGAAGGCAGGGCTGCGGTACTACCTTCTCAAAGTCCATGTTGCTATTTGGCGCTAGCCCTAGAGAGGGCAAAGCTTCCTCATCACAAATAGAACCAAGTCCTCTTAAGGTACCCAATAACAAGGAGTTTTTGAAGTTTCAAAGTACCAATTCTTCTGGGCCACAGACTACAGTAAACATTCCTGTGCAAGAAATAATTCACTCTTCATAGCGAACTTTCAAGGTAAGTTCAGCTAACCTCAGTGACATGCATGAATGGAGTTTGGGGTGGTTAAATTGTTGGACCCCAGGGCGCAGCGGGTAAGTCATGGCACCAGGATGTGAGCCTGTGCTTGTTCTTGCACCAGGTTGCCTGCCCTCCACATTGGTGAAGGCTGAGAGGCCGAGGGGCACACCTTCTTGGTGGTTGTAGTCACAGTCTGCAACAGAGGGCCTGAAGCAGGGCAGCTCAGAATACGTGGAAAACGAGCGAGTGAGTGGGGTATCCAGAGCCTGCGTCCGCCAGAATGTGTCTCTGAATTACAGATGACGAACAGTTTCGTGTGACTCATTGCTGGGGCTTGAGTGTGTCCTCCAAATTCAGTTGGAAACAACCCCAACGCAACAGTGCCGGGGGCAGCTAATGGGAGGTGCTGAGGCTGCTTGGCTCTGCCCTACTGATGGCCGCTGTGGACGTGGGCTCTCTTCTGCTCTTCTGCCATGGGAGGACACAGCATCCAGCCTCTCCTTCCCTCTTCCTTTCCGCCAGGTGAAGATGCCATCAGGAGGCCCACACCAGGTGCCAGTGCCTTGGTCTTGGACTCCTAGTCTCCAGAACTGCAAGAGAGAGTGCATTTCTGTCCTTTATAAATGACCAAGTCTCAGGCATTCTCTTATAGCAGCACTGACGTAGTGACACGCGTATCACCAACTTACCTGCTGTTTGCCGAGCGCCCACCACACTCATTGCTCCTGGGCAAGCTTCATCCTTGATTCACTCAACAAATGCTGAGTGCCTGCTGTGTACACACACGCTCACTTTTGGGAAGGACACAAAGGAGCATCAGATAAAACAAGAGGCAGGACCTGCTATTGCTGTTGACTTTTGTCATCTTCCTGTGTGCGGGAAGCAGAACAGGGGTTCCCCAAAGACATGTGCATCGGAGGCTCCAGAGCCCACGGATGTGCCAACCTCTCCTCACAAAGGAAATCTGCCAACGGGCCAAGGGTAGGGCTTTGGCATGGGGTTGGCCTAGGTGTCTGGCTGGGACAACTGAGTCAGGGTCCTTATCTGAGCCTGTTCCTATGGAGCTCAGAGGCAAGGAAGAGGTGACCAGGGAGGAACCAGAAGACGTAGCCTGGCTGGCTCTGGCAATGAGGGAGGTGCCACCCGCCAAGGAGCGTGGGCAGCCTCTGGAGGCCCGAAAGGCAAAGAGAAAACCACCCAACACCTCCACTCAGGAGCACGGACCTGCCCACACCTTGCCTTGCCCTGTGACAGTCAGAGATGCATAATAACAAATTCGCATTGTTTAAGCCATTGAGTTTGTAGTGATTTTTTACATCAGCAATAGAAAATAACAGAATGGACAAGGATAAAAGAAACAGGGTTCCCAGGCTCCCTCACATTTCAAGGGCAAATATCAATTCTCATGCTTAAAAATTGGAAAGTAAAAGAACGTAATGAATAATAAAATAAATATTAGTATTGAGCCCTTTTGGATCCAGCTGCAGAAATCCCCATTACTTACACACACACACACACACACACACACACACGGCCGATCTTCCACGTCGACAGTGTTTGGGGGTTGAAATGTGATCTCTTGCCCGTCGAGGTGGAGGGTCACTCCTCCTAATGGTCATTGGACTCCAGAGGTCCACCAAGAAGATATGCAACCAACACTTACCTTCCATTTTTTTTTTAAAAAAACTTCAATTATTTTTGTTGGTCACACTCACCAATAAATTTGTTCTTTCAAAAAGAATGTGTGTTTTCCACTTAGATCACTTCATCCACTGTGAAGGGAAACAGAAAAAGGATTGAAGCTGTGCAGAAAAGGAGAAAAAATTAATTTTCTTTCAGCGGGAGGATCTTGCTAAAATGAAACATCTTTCCCAAGAAAATGGACGCTAACGCAAGCCGGCAGTATACCAGCAAAGTCCTCTCATAATATTTTTCTTAGAGCTTACTCACATTTTAAAAATTGCCTTTTCTCTCACCCCCAAATGATGGTCAAAAAAAGATAAATCTCCTCTGGACAAGAGCGACTTTTTCCTGGTGAAGTTACATAAGCTTCTGTGGAGTTGTCTTTCGACGGGGAAAACTTACCAAAAGGAAAGATCATTAACGGTTGAAAGGGATCATTTGTACGACTTGAAGAAGAGCTAGAGAACTCCCAGGTTCTCCCAAGGTGACCTGCCAGCATCCGAGACCCGACTCTGTGCTTAGTGATGGCGGAAAATTCTCTGCGCCTGATATGTCACAAACAGGGTATTCAACTGATGGGCATTTGCTATGTAATTTCAATCCCAACTTCATTTTACATAATGAGAAATGTAAGCACGATGCTCTTGGATGTCGTGGGACGGAGGGAGAGTATAAATTTTTAAGAAAATATGTATCTAGTCTTGAAAATATGTTATCACGCCCCTGGAGCAAGAGGTGGAGGGGGGGTGGATAAAGAAAATGTCCACGGTGCCAGGCAGGGCGCAGGACTGCGGGAGAGCAGGTGTGCACCACTGAATGGGCCTCCGGGGATGGGAAGCTTTTAAAAGAGATTGATTCTCTTGCTTAACTAATGACTTCAAACCTGCTTTTAAATGTATTAATTACTTGTGGAAAAGAGTCTCCATTTGCTTCTAAATTGTTTCTCTGGGTGATTCTTTACTTGCAAAAATGTCTGGGCTAAAAGTGAACATTCTGTCACTAGATTTAAATAAAACATTTAAAGAGCATACTTAAATACACTATACGATTTAAATAGCATATTTTAAATATTTTATTTAAAATCATATAAAACATTTGAATTTAATTAAAATTATGCCAAACATATTTAAAAGAACATAAAACATTTAAGATTTTTGTTTTATATGCAAAATCATATATTTTCTACGTGAAATAGTGACATTTATTTCTTTAATGGATATATATATAGGCGCGAGAGTGAAAATCTCTTAAAAGAACTTGTTTTTCTTCCACTTTGGCATGTGAGTCCCTGTGCATGACACCAGGGTATGAAAACCTCCACCCTGTGGTTGGTCTTGCGGAGTGTGTAAATTCTAATCAGGCAGCAGCCGCCTCTTCACTGCCTTTGATACCTGTTCTCAATGCGACAAAGTTGCTGATTCAATGACTTTTTAGTTTGATCTGCGGAAGGCATTTGAATCTACATAAAAGATGCGTGTTTGGTTTGCCCAAAATATTTTTAAATACTCAGAATATAACATCACAGGGGCAGACACCTCTATAATCGTTGGAATGTTAAGCACAATTCCATATTGGGCCTGTGACTGAATTCTTGACTTCTGGCAGCCGAAGGATCCAGGTCCACCTGAACTGAATCTCTGCAGCCCCCAAGGCACAACCTATTTTCACTGTGCACCTCGAAACGTTTCCAGGGACATGGAGCTATTTTGCCAATTTGCCGTCCAGGGCCAACTCATGAGTCACAGGCAGCAGAGAGAAGAAACTTAATACACATGGCATTAATGAGTAGGCTGAGGATTAGTCATTTTAAACACTCCTTAGAAATACCATAAAGTAACAAATAACATTTTTAAAAGAACTTGCAGGCACCTTGATGTTGGAGCAACTATTTATTTTAATCCGGCATCTGACGGAACGTACAGGAATATCTTCCCTATGCCAAGATTTACATATCTTTTGCTATACAAACATTTGGAAAGCAAGACAAAAAAAAAAAAAAAACCCTAAATAAAGGTAATTGGATCAAATTCTTTACTCTAACTTTGGTTGCATGTTTAATAGTACCCAGGCTTTTTAGTTTCAAAGGTAATCTGGAGTTTTTAAAGTTTCATTTCCACCTAAAATATATAGATAAGGGAAACACAGGAGGAGAAAGAATCGACATCAAAAACACATCTTTGGTTGGCCTCAAACACATCTTAATACATAGAATGAATATCTAATTGTTAAAATCAACACAAAAGAGAGAGAGTTTTCGAGGATCCCAACAGGATAATGCAATCCAGCAGTTTATAAACACGAGGCAGGAATTAAAATTAAAAACTACCCCGGGTCAGAAAGGATACCACTTTATAATTAGAGAAAAAACTCCCGGTACCCTGTGGAGATTAAGGAGATGGTTTCTGAGCATGTACATAAGAGACAAAAATAAACACCGCCCACAGTCTGGAAGCACAATGCTGTTCCCTGGTGATGGGAACACAAAGAGGAGCCTCTAACAAGCTCCAAAAATATGTGTGTGTGTATTTTAAGTAAAATTCAGCTTTCTAGCCAACTCCATTTTTTCCCCCTTGCTGGAAATAATGAACTAACCTAAAAGTGATCTGGGATATGTGTAAAAAGGACATCAACCTGAGCGAAACAGGTTGAAGAGCGCCATACACTTACTGAAGATTAAATCGGAGCTGGGTATGTAGGATTTGGTGATAAAACAATTTGGGTTGTTTCCTTCCCGAGGCAAGGATGCTTTGGGCTTTATCAGAAACCAGGCTCGCATAGCTAATCAGTGGCAGGACCAGCCCCGGCTGCAAAACGGGAGTCCCAGGCAGCCCCTTGAAATACATACATGCTCAAAACTCATTACTTCTGATGTACCTTGTTCTTGACCTAAATGCAATAGAAATTCTTCCTTGGGGGGCACGATATACATGAAAAAGTACAACTTCTCTTTAAAACGCCATTAGAATATTTTATTGTGTGTGGACATACACTCTTGTTACTCCTAAATGCTATTCTATTGAGCACAGTTTATATTCACTGGCAAAGCAAAATCTCCGGGGAAGCCAGAGAGGGAATGCAATTTCTAGTAATAACAGCTCACAACAGTGAATACTCTCCACTTATCCCCACAATTTCCAGCTATTCTGGACTCCTTTCTGAATTAACCTTTCATATCAAAAGGAGCAATTCTGCACACTAGAGACTCCGGCACAATTTCATGCATAATTTATTCACTCAGTTCAACATTAAACGCACAGTCCTTGACTTTGTCAAGGTGGATTCTGTTGGCAGACTTCACAAGCAGCAAAACACAAGAAATGAGATCCACAGCTCAACCTCTGCACCTAGCCTGTCTGCTGAGCAAGCGGGAGGGGTGGTCCGGAGGAAAAGAAGATGAGACTCCAGCGCAGCAGGCTGCCATCGAGGATCTCTGGCCCCCGTCACGTTATCATGTCCACCGTCTCTCAGAAATGCCTTCCCCCCCCCCAAGTTAAAAAAAAAAGTAAATAAAACAAACTCGAATTCTGTGTCAGCAACAAAAGTCTGGTAGAATTTGTTGGCTTCTGATGTCTGCTCTGTGGGTGGAGAGCGGTGGGGTGCTCAGGGTGGCTTTGGGGGCACCACTGCCAGAGCTCATTCCAATAGACGAGACATTAGCTTGAAGTCACACTAGAAGGGCTCACTTCAGAAATTTAAATAACACAGACTCTCCAATGAGATCTCAAGCCCTGGATTTGTACTCACAGGTTGGTCTGTGGGAATACAGGGATCCAGTTTCTCTTCCTAAGCTGCTTATTTGGACCCTCAGATGAGGGGTGTGTGCATCAGCTGAGAACCCAGAACCCAGCTCACCACCAGACTTACCTGAGCCTTTTCTGTGCCTGAAGCAGCTTAGGGTAGATGGGACCTCCTCTTCTCCTCTTTGGACATGCGACCTTACCTCAACACCATGGGCCCAGCCACCACGGTCCACCACGGCCCAGTTTCAGAGCCTGCAGACTGCCCTTCTCCTCAGTGTCATGCATGACCAACAATTTTCGTTCATCCTGGAACCGACAACTTTTTTCCAGTTAATAATTACATTAGCTTTGCAGCCTGAGCACTTCATACATGCCAGCAACATTACCACGGGTTTCACAAGCATGACGAGATAATCATTAATACCCACGTGCTGCACATAAAGGAACTGAGGCTCAAAGATCCTCATCACCACGCAGACCACCTCTCCTGCAGGCCTCAATTTCCCCTACCAGGCACAGTGTGCAATTAAGCAACTATCATTTGAATGTGGAAACAGACACTGAGTTCCCTAAATACATTAGGCAAAATGATTTGGTCCCTAACTTTTGCACTGACCCCTTAAAAACATGACTTTCCACCACCAGCCACACCCCACTTTCCAATGCCCTGGCTGATGTGAGGCTGAGGAGTGTGCCATGGGACGTCATTGGGAATCATTGGGAATTCCACAAGTGCTAGAGATTTCCACACAGGACACTTTTGTGAAGGTCTTTAAATCTAAACTTTCACCAGCAGCCCCCATGGTCTAGTTAGAAGCCTGATACACATAAACTGGAGCCTTACCAAAACTGAGTCTTACTTTTATAATTTGCCTTTAAATTTACTGCAAGACCATGAAAATTAAACGCCTCTGGTCCTGGCAAAGTAGCTGGCTACGGGCTCAGCAGTCCTCCTCAGTTCCCATTCTGCAGCCTTTTTATTCTCTCAAGACAGTTTCTGGATTTGGACCAAATGACTGAAATCTGTGAAAACTCCGAGGTGCAGCACGTTTCCCGTTTATGATCTTTTCCACCCAGGAGACGCTGATTTGCATCTTGATTATGACATACCACAAGGAAGCGGAGAAGCCCGACTTGGCCCTGGATTCTATTTACCCACTTCCCCAAACCACCATGCAATTTGAGATGATTGGCAGGCAGTGGAGAACAGCACCAGGTAGGGCGGCCACATCAGACTCTGGGTACAACGGCGACCCCTCCACCTGTGTCCTACCTACCCCCTCACTTCCCCCATCACAGCATGCCAGGGCCAAGGAGGCCCGAAGCCTCGGCCTGGCGTTAGAGATCCCTGCAGCAAGATCTCACGCTTTCCAAGCTCCTGGAACCATACCTCAGCCTGCTGTTCTCTACAGAGGCCGGCTCCTTTACATCCCACGCTGGGAAACTGGGGGCATGGGTACTAACCTTTCTGTACCTCAGTCCTCGTTAGGAAACCGGGTTGAATGATATCCAGCTCTGAGAACAGTTATGAGAGTTTAACCTGGTGATGCTTTCAAGATACCGAACGCACCGCCTGGCGCGGGCAGCTTGGCATTCCCTGTGCCGTTTAGCTGCCTTCTTTGTATCTTATTTTAGAGGGGAGCCTTCCGTGTGTGAGACCAACTTTGAATGTCATCTTCACAATATTTCTGTTGTCATCGTTCTCTTACAGATATTGACCCAAAACCCAGAAATGAAGTCACCTGTGCAAAGGTTACTTGGCTGGTAAATGGGGAGCCGGGGTCTGATCGTATATCTTTGATTTAAAGCCTACGGAGTTTAGATCTCCATGCCACGCCGCCATGCCGATCAACGGTTGACGAAAGGAGCTTTGCGAGAACCGACAACATATTGAGGAGGAATTTGTGCAGGACCATAAACTCACCTCACAATGAAAATAAATTCAATTCTCAACTATCCCTACAGGGTCCTCCACTGCAGAAAAGGGATCTCCAATGTGTGCTCTCAGAAGCAGACCACTATCCACCACGTTTCCCTCTCTCTTCTGGGACCCTGTCACTCACCTGTCACCTCTGGAGAAGACTCATCCCTGGTGACAGGAGCCACTTCCCAGAGACAGGCTACTGGAATGTGTGTTAGTCAGGGTTCTTCAGAGACACTGTACCGAGTGTGTGTGTGTGTGTGTGCGTGTGTGCGTGTGGGTGGGGGGGTGTGTACGTGGGTGTGCATATATAAAGAGATTTATTAGAAGGAATGGGTCACACAGTGTGACTGTGCACGCCACAGGTCCAGATCTTCAGTGTGAACCCGTAGGCTGGACGCCCAGGAAAGCTGGTGACATAGAGCAGGTCCAAGAGCCATCTGCAGGAGAAGTCCCTCCTGCCGAGGAGGCCAGTCTGTTTGTACCCACCTGGTCAGATGAGGCTCACCCCCTAATATGGAGGACAACTTATTTTACTTGAAGTTTCTCACCTTAAATGTAAATTTCATTTCAAAAAACATCCTCCAAATTGGCACAAAAATTTAGCCATTAGAATTTTAACTTTTTAAAAATTATTTCTCATAGTTGTAGATGGACAGAATGCCTTTATTTTATTTGTTCATTTATACGTGGTGCTGAGGATCAAACCCAGTGCCTCACACATGCTAAGCAAGCTCTCTGCCACTGAGCTAAAGCCCCAGTCCCTAGCTGTTAGAGTTTACCCCCAGCCCTCCCCATCCAAATGGACAACAATTAACTGATACAGAATTTAAAGGGTCAGAAAAGGGCTGGGGATGTGGCTGGGTGTGAGGGTGCTTGCCTAGCACGTGCAAGGCCCTGGGTCCACTCACTAGTAGTGCAAAAAAATAAATGAAAACAAAGGGTCCCAAAGAGCAGAAGTCAGTGGTGCGGCTTGGGCTTAGGAGTCCCCCATATTTGTGGCTCAGCTGAGAAGAGGTCTCAAGAGATCCTCTGCTTGCCTGGCTTTCTCCTCTCGCCTGTTCTGTGTCTTCTCCCACTCACAGGGTGGTCCCAGTCGGCTGCCCCTCAACAATCCCATGCAACAGGTCCACACCCCCTACTCAGGCTCTGCCTCCAGGCCCCAGATCATTGTCCGTACCCGTCCCTGGAGCCTCTGTGCCCTTTCAGCACCCTCCTCCTGGCCAGCCTCGGTGTCCACCTCATCTACACGTGCTCCGTTACAAAGGAGGCTTCTCTGAGGCCAGTTTCACGTCTTCGTTTGAAAACTGCCCCCTACTCACTCGACTTCCTCTGGGCCAAAGACTTCATCTGAGCACGGGGCCCCAAGAGACCAGTCTGCAAATCAGGCTTTGAGAGAATTTCATTGGCTTCTACCTTTCCACTGCAGTGGCCCATCAGTCTCTGCACCTGCAGCTCTAAGAAATAACAGGCTCCTGGATCTTCATTCTAAAGTTGTATGGGAGGCCCAGGATGCTCAAGTATATAAACCATCTCATGTCAAGATCCTCAAAGAATCCTTTAATGACCCCTGAAGGGAACCAACAAACACCACCACAAACAAGAAACTTCACACACCAGTGCGGGAGCAAGACAGGCTTTCCTGGGGAGCTAGAGCAAGTCCCAGATCTCCCCTGCTGGTCAGAATCAGGTCACGTGCCCACCTTTAACCCAACACTGTGGCTGAGTCAGGAGGACACTAACCAGAACAAAACCCCAGATCTGAGAGTGACACCCTTGGAGACGCGGAAGTGAGTGGGGGCTCGTCCACCCACCAGAGAGGAGCCCAGCAGGACGCTGGCAGCAGAGACGTGACAAGTCCTCGTCTCTGTCCCAGGGGTCTCCACGCTGGGCTCCCCCATAATCTAGGGACCCCAAAAACCTCTTCATAGAAAAGAGAAATATAAACGAGCTGAGAATCCGGGACTATTGGGCCCTTTCCCTGTTTCAACTAAGCCTCTCTTCCTTTTTGAATTTTCAATATTGGGCTCCTTTGCCAGCCTTTCTTTAAAAATTGTTTCTTAAGTAAATAATAAATAAACAATATTTATTATATATCTGAAGAAGGCCTACCTTTCACACCTAACTTTGGCTTGTTTAATTTTAACTTTCTCCAACACTATTTTGGATATATCCTTTTCCCAGACTCCTCCCCAGCTTCTGCTCTTATTCTGCATTTTAATTTTTATTCCACTTCACTTATTTGGCCAGGTATATTACCTGTTAAACAGGCCATGCCAACCTATTCTCTTTAAAAGGCCGACGTGAACAGTAAGGAGGAAGAGAAGCTGTGGCGGTCTGGCTGAGCACTGACGGACTTATTTCCCAGCGGCCACCAGGCCACGCTGAGAATTCCTGGAGCTGCAAAGTAGTTGCAGAATAATGTTAGGCAGGATCTGAGAATGGTCACCCAGGATTCCCAGTTCCTGGTGATCCATGGAGCCCTGACCTAGGGGTTGCTATGAAGGGACTTCACAGGCAGATATCAAGGTGGCCGATCAACTGGCTTGAGGCCTGGGAGACTATCTATGTGCCCCAAATGTGATCATATAAATTCTCAAAAGCAGAGTGTCTGTGGTTTGGGTGTGGCTAAGTGGTAGACCATTTGCGGAGTATGCATGAGGCCCCGGGATTGGTCCCCAACACAAAAAGAAAGAGAGAAAAGAAAAAAAGAAAAGAAAACGAGCACTTTCTCTGGTTAGTAGTAAAAGTCAGACTTGAACATGAAAAGCACCCAGTTTGCTACACCTGGCTTAAAATGGGCTGGGGGCACGTGACAAGGTACACAGGCAGCCCTGAGGGGCCAAGAGCTGCCCGCTGGCCACAGCCCGCAGGGAACAAGGCCACCAGACCTTCGACAGCACAGTCTGAATTCTGCCAGTAACCTGGAGGAGCCTCGAGAGAATTCTTCCCAGAACCTCCAGTAAGACAGCAACAAGGTAATACCCTAAGGTTGAACTTCGGAGACCCTAAGCACAAAACCTCACCAAGCCTTCCAAGCCGTCCAAGTCCCGTAACTGAGGTCATTGGTATTGGAAGTGGCTAAGTTCTTGGCAATGTTACAGCAATAGATGTTGGATATATTTGTATCCTACGACCTGCTTAACAACGTAGGACCAAGCACCAAGGAGCGGGGGGTTTCACCATCTTGTTTTGATTTTGCTTTTTTGCCAGTACCAGGGATTGAACCAAAGGCTTTGTGCATGCTGGGCTCTGCTGTACCGCAGGGCTACACCCCAGCCTAGAAGTCAACTTTTGGTGGCACTTGCTCTCTGCACACCAGGGGTGCCCTAAGTTCACAGCACCCACACACCCACCATGGAGGAATTCCAACGTAAGCATTTTCTTCTGGCTCTTATAGATGTCTGTATTAGCATATAATTCCAAAAAGCAGCCAAAGTTGTCACTTATTATTTGGTGACTATGATTGTCAAATTATTTGATCAACTCTAACCTGTTTTCTGTCTATGGTCAGCTTTTATACACCAACATAGTGCTTTGCCATGCTGAACCACTCTGCCATCTGTGTTCCTTGAAATGTGTGGAATGAAGAGGTGACAGCTATATATTGTTAATATAAACTTTGCAAGCGGAGCGGCCGGTCCAGACTGCAGTGCCTCAAGTGCTCATCAAATTCATCAATCCATAAAGTGTTTCCTAAGCCATTCCGTGATACTGCACAGCTAGTGCAAACAGTTTACACACATATAAGATACCAGCTTGTTAATATGAAGTCTAAGATTTGCAGCCCTGTCAAATCTGGGACCAAGAACTGTTGATTCAATTCAAAATGCTAAATTTGTTTCCTTCCTGGCCCTTGTAATTTAGAAAGTAATAAGAGACAAAGAGAGCTAAATTCTCCAGGCTAAAGGAATTTCCAATGTGTGTACCTGTATATAAAATTGCCATTCAATACATGGTTATTATATTTTTAAATCTTTGTTGCTATAAACTTAATCGATACAAAGTTACCTTTAAAAGAATTTAAGCAAGGGACTATATTTTTTCTCCTCTAGTCTTATTCAAATTAATTTGAAAGACTTTTTTTCCCCATGTACGGCTCCCCATTTGCCTGATGTACTCTGACATAAATTCAATACAAATTCAGCTGGCTGTTCAGAGGGGCAGTCTGGAAACGTTAATTGACTGATCAAAATAAAGGCCTTGTCCTAATTCTAGACAGCTCTCATCCCTAAAAGAATCATGTTCCCAAATTCCTATACATTTAAAATAGAATTCCAGAGCCTTTGATGGAGTGTGCCAGTCTGCATTAGTTTCCCGTCTCATAAAACCCGTGGCTGAGAATATGCACCGCACACACAACTGTGGCAGACACGACCTGTGGCAGTCTCCACAGTGAAAATGCTCGTGCAGCGTTGCCCTCGGATCACGTTACGCATGCCACCCAGCAATTCCTGGATGAGGACAGACAGCGTGCCTGGCACCGGGATCGTGGTCCTAATTGTTATGAGGAGCCCTTGTGCCATCTCCAGTTCCATCAGCCTACGATGTTGTAACGTCTCATAATCAAACTCTCTCTCAAAGTCAATTTCACTCTTTTAGTAAAGCTACCCAAGATCCCACTAACTATGCACCCACCCAAAATGAGGATTTCCCCTGCAGAGAGGTTTGCCCTCTGTTAAAACTGATAGCCACTGTGATCCCGAGCCACAGCTACTACACTTCAGTTCTTACCTAGCCTTTTGTGTTCTAGCAGTATTTAACTCCTTGCTGGGTGTCCTGTATAGATCTAGATATTGTGACATTTATCATCTTAAAAACACAATTCAGTGGCACGGAGTCTATTCACAATATTGTGCATCTATCACCACTATTTCCAGAACTTTCTCATCATCCCCCAAGGAGACTCTACACACATGGATAATAACTTGGCGTCCTCTCTACCCCTCCCCATGACCCTGTTCTCCTTTCTACCTCTGGGGGTGGCCTGTGTTGGGTCCCTCACTTTGTGTACACCTTATGTCCCTCTGCATGCTTTCAGGGTCTCTTGTCATATGTATTGGAATTCCGTTCCTTTCAGTGGCTGAATAGTATTCCACTATGTGTCTTTGCTGCGTGTTGCTTACCCCTTCTTCTACTGGTGAACACTGGGTTGTCTCACCTCTGGGTTCTGTGAACAATGCTGCCCTGAACACTTGTACGAGGTGCCTGCGTCCTGCTTGAGTTCCTCGGGACAGGTACATTCGAGTGGAAGGGCTGGGTCACGTGGTGGCTCCTTGTTTGACGTTCTATGGAGCTGCCCAGCCATTCCACAGCTCTGCACAAGGGTTCCAATTTCCCTGCATCCCTGCCAACAACTGTTTTTTCTTTTTCTTTCTTTTTATATAATGGCCGACCTAATGGACATGAAGAGGTGTCTCACTGCGGTGCTATTTGCATCTCCCTAGTGACCAACAACGCCTAGCCTAGCTGTAGTTCATGTGCTAGCTGGCCATCTGTCTGTCTTCTGTGTCAAAACAGCTCAAGTCCTTGGTCACTTTATAATTGGATGGCGTTTTGTTGCTGTAAATGATAAAGGTATTTATACATTCTAATATGAATCCCCTATCAGACATACAATCTGCAAATAGTTTCCCTATCCTGTGGGGTTTTTTTCATTCTTTGATAGTATCTTTGCTGAACAAAAGCTCCAAATGTTGATAAAAATTTATCTATTTTTTTTTCTTTTGCTGCCTGTTCTTTTGGTGTTCTATGCAAGAAATCACTGCCAAATCCAAGTGATAAAGACTTTCCTCTGTGTTTTCTTCTAATAGTTTTTATACGTTAGCTCTTAAATTTAGGGCTTTCAAGCACTTTGGCATGCGGTTCAAGGTCAGAGTCTAGCTTCCTTGTTCCGCGTGTGCATATTAAATTTTACCAGCACCGTTTGTTGAAATAACTGTCCCCATTGAATAATCTCATACCTGTGTCGATAATCAATTGACATATCTGTGAGGGTTCCTCTTATTAGTCCCAGTGAATCATTTTCAAAGAATAAATTTTAGAAAGCTTGGTTCATCTGCTCTCTGCAGAGAGAAATGATTTTTTCAATACTGCACAGAACATGATTTTTGTTAGAGTGTTTTCCAATGTCATTTAAACACTCTGTTTTTTTTAAAGTTCAGATATTACAAATACGATTGTTGTTTAGCTCCCTGTCCTAGTATTTCATGCCACACATAAGAGAAAGCATGACATAGGGTCAGGACCTAGCCGTGGTTCTGTGACCTGAAAATATTAGCCATCTGCTACAGGGAGAGGTGAGGTACACTCCCACAGTCTCTGATTATCTTCGCAGAGTGGAGGCTCAACTTTGTCCTAATATCCTTGAAGATGTCAGGCGCTAATGTCCTTTCTCTCCCTCAGAAAAATATAAGTGAGGGAGGGGAGGACTAAATAGGGTGCTGGTGTCTCTGTGGTAGCCTAGGGGATCCTTCTAACATAAAGAAAATTGGTAAGTAGAAACAGGACGATAAATAAGTAATGTGTTAAATGAAAAGAGTTTATAAACCTTGAATTGGTATCTAACACTGGTAGTTATGATTTTATTTTTCTCACTCACATTTGGGCCAGCTTAATGGCCAAAAAACAAATAAAATTTTATATTGTCATTCATTTTTCCCTCTTCTTGGCACTTGTACGTGATAAATATTCCATCGAGCACAAACCAAAATTTAGCTCATTTAATTTTCTCCACTGTTGAGGGAGACAGAATAAATATATATTCAAGAAAACTGAAGTGAGAACCTGTCAGATAATGGACAAGGAAAAAAAAAAGAGTATTTCTAATGATTTCTAATGCAGTCCGCACCCAGACAACCAGGAGCAAGGATTCCAACCCAAGAGTCTTCTTCAAAGAAGTTAAAGTTACATCTCAAGGAACCTAGCTCAACAAATAGCTATTTTCATCAAGAAATTAAGAGAGAGTTAGTGGAAACATCATATACCCTCTGGTGAAATGAAGACTCTGGAGCCACTACTCTGGCTCTCAGCAGAGACCAAAACCATTGAAGTGACATTAGGCTAAATCACAGTGTAGACCAGTCTCATTCCTTGAACAAAGATGGAGAGTAATGGATTTCTTTTTAAAAAAGATCTCAGCATTGGGGCTGGGGATATGGCTCAAGCGGCAACACGCTCGTCTGGCAAGCGCACGGCGCTGGGTTCTATCCTAAGTACCACATAAAAATAAAATAAAGATGTTGTGTCCACCGAAAACTGAAAAATAATATTTAAAAATTCTCTCTCTCTCTCTTTAAATAAAAAAAAAATCTCAGCATTGATATTGCACCTGGCTGAAGAGGAAAGATTTGACTTCGACCGTATACAAACTTGGCTGAAAAGGATAGGTGGAATGTGTTGTCATACAGTGAGATTATTTACTTCCAAACCCAGTTTACAACAAGATGCTGGCTCAGGACACCTTGAGGGGGCAGGAAACACAGGACTCGTTTTAAAACACAGGAGCCTGCAGTGAGTAGGACGGGTTAGCACAGGGCTGGGAGTCATTGGGTTCAAAAGCTGGACCTACCCTGTTGCCTGGAGCAAGTGACCCTCCCTCTCCAAGTGACCCACCCTCTCCTGTGCCTACTTGGCTTTGGTGGCAAGGCCTGAGAGCACAGGGCCAGTGGCTGACCAAGCACAATACAGTCTCACTGTCAGCTACCTGAGCACCAGGAGCGTAGGTGATATCTGTACTTACGTTTTCTCCCAGGAAAAGCATGAGACACGTCTTTTTTGTGGCTATGCCTAAGCAACGAGAAAGTCATCAGACAGGGTGACACGTGTCTGTAATCCCAGCAGGTCGGGAGGCTGAGGCAGGAGGATCGCAAGCCTCTGCTACTTAGCAAGGCCCTAAGTAACTTAAGGAGACCCTGTCTGGAAATAAAAAATAAAAAGGGCTGGAGATGTAGCTCCATGGTAAAGCAGCCACGGGTTCAAGCCCTGGTAATAAAAAAAAAAAATAAGAATAATAAAATTAAAAAAGGAATGAGAAAGTCACTGTCCAGAGAGGCTCCATCCCTGAGGACTAGATGCTGCCGCAGGGGCTTTTGCTATCTTAAGCAGAAAGAAACGACACCACACGTCGAAGGGATGACTTCCTCCAAAATCGTCCACTAAATGTTTCCTCCCACGTTCTCCACCCTAGGGTCACTTTTTCCCTACTAATGAACACCCAGGCATCTCCTGGGCATGCATGAGGCACAGATCTGCGGCGTAGACAGGAATTTGTCATCCACCCACAAAACTTCTGCCTGGACAACAGACTTCCAGTCACAGATCCTGCCAGTCAGTCTGTCCCTCTGGTTGAAATCACAGGGACAGTGGGAACAGCAGGAACACGTCTCCTGCACCAAGCAAGGAGCGCCTAGGAAACGGTGCGTGTTCTAAGAAGCACAGGCCCCCATTCTCTCCAGGAGAGGGCAGAGCCTCAGCTGCTGTATGATCTGGACACCCGATGTCCCCCTCACAGCTCCTGTGTCCATGCAGGAAAATTCAGAGGTGAGATGATTGGACTGTGAGAGCTGAAACCTAATCCATTCATTGCAGGTGAATGGAAGGACCAGGTGGTGCTAGAGGCAGAGGAGGTGGGTCACTGGGGGCTGACCTGGAAGGGTGTGTCTTCCCTGTGGTACCTGGTCCTTCCTCTCTCTCTCTCTCTCTCCTGACCCTACCATGAGCTGAGTAGCTTCCCTCCACTCTTCCCTCCCGTCATATTGTTCTGCCTCATGGCCCGTACACAGCAGTGGAATCAGCCAGCCACAGATTGGACCTCCAAAACTATGAGCTCACAATAAAGTTGTCCTCCTCTAAGTTGTTCTTATTAGGGATTTTGGTCACAGTGATGAGAACCTAACACCAGTGCTCAGTCTGCTTTCTGTCAAACAACTTCTTCAGGTGCTTTTTAGCTGCCTAACACAAAAATCAATCCATCAACTAATCAACAGCAACAAAAGCTAGCCCCAAGGAGGGAGATGGCTTTTATCTGAAAAGACCCTTCTGCTTGCCCTAACTGCCCAAGTGCAGGTGACAAAGGCCTCTCAGGCAGCCACCTCTTTCAATACTGCCCCGGGGTGGAAATGGCTTAGGGACATCTTCTGCATTCCTCACGGGGGCCTGGAAAGCAATCCCCACTTACCTTGCATTTGCTCTTGGAGTCATTAGCCTCCGACAGCACCATCATTTAAAACATTTATCATCGGCGCTGTCCTTCCCGCAATGGATTAGCACAATACATTACAGGAGCGCCTCACTGTGATGATGTATGACTCCAAAGATGGCAGCGTCCGGGGACAAGGGGGACTCAGAATAGACGTGCTGGGAGGGAATGACCCTGTGACCCGCCTGGGTGGGGTCTGGAAATAAACCAGTGTTTGTTATTCTCAGCCGACTCTCCACCGAGAACACTCTTCACAAGTTCCCTGGTTTTAAAAAAGCCATCCTTCATGACACAAAACTGATTTTTTGGAGCTAGCCTCTAGAATGAGGCTGAGAAATGACGCAGCCCCAGCTTTGATGATGGATTTCCTTCGTGGTGTTCAAGAGAACCCTAATTTAGTCCACCCCTCCCTCACTTAAATTTTTCAGGAGATTCTTCGAAGGAGAGAAAGGACATTAATGCCTGATGTCTTCAAGGATGTTAGGACAAAGTTGAGTCACGATTAATTAGTCTCCACCAAATTCTGGCTTTCTACTTGGCTGATGATACATTCTTTTTTTCTGCAGCTCAATCCCCCCATTTCCATCCTTCAATGTCCAGAAGGCTGCCCTCTCTATTCCTCTGTCTAAATAGGATGCAAATATTTTAGCTAACTACCGAAATAAATCATTATGAACATTCAACCTCAAAGAAAATTATAGCAAATAAAAGTGCCTCCGTGGCCTGATTCATGCTTAGCAGAGCCATCTGCAGGGTCGCAGGCTGCCTGGTTAAGATGGGCGTAGAGCACCTATTTTACAAATGTCCAGGGCACTTTTGGAACTGCCCCTCCCCCCGTGCGTGTTAAGCGCCTGCTCCAGGAGCTGGTGATGACACGGGGCCCAGTCGTGCTCACTGCCTGTCCATCAGGAAGTCTGAGCTTTAACTGCAGTGAATCAGCATCGTTCATGCTAAGAGAGAAAGCACAGGCAGGGGATGATGGCCGTGCACCATGACCTCCAGAGCAGGCTGCCCTTCCAGTGTGTCAACCTGCCCACGTGCTGGTGCCCGGAGCTCAGAGGACACCAGCTTCTGTCACTCCAAGCTATCCAACACAGACCTCCAAAGAGACTCGGCCTCCCTTGGCATCACTCAGGCCAACATAAGGTTGGCACATTCCATGATCTTAGCAAACAAGGCATTTTCCTCCCACTGGATGTTGTAGGAGGATTAAAAGCCGAGTGGAGAACGTGTGTGTGGTGACCAGGCACCAGATGTGCTCAAGACCCTGCGGTCGGCCACCCTTTAGACTTTGGGAGAACAGTGCCCTCCGTGGCGGAGGGGCCTCTCTAACCACCAGGAAATCTTGACTTCAGCAGGACAGACAAGACGGGGCTGGAGGTAGGGAGACCTAGGGAGAAATGGCTAAGGGGAAGGAATGGCTGAGTGCCGCGGAGTTCTGTGTTCTAGGAGCTCACGGTTAACAGGGACTGTTAACTGTGCCCAGAGTGCAGCAGGGAGCGTCCCCTGACGAGATCACTAGCCCTTCCCAAAGGAATATGTCCCCAGTCGCTGAAAATTATTCCAAACTGATGTCTTCCCCTCTCACTGCTGTGAACTCCCAAACTTTCAGAGCTGGTCATTTCCGTGACAATACTTTGTTCCCTTCTACTGACTATTTTTTAACTTCTTTCTGAAAATAGGATTTCTGACGGTGAGAGGCCATGGCCACTATAGCTCATTGAGCACACAACAGCTGGGAGCCGACATAAAACGACCATTTTGTTCCAAGATGCCTGTGCTCTAGGTCCTTCTGAGAGACACTGTGCCTCAAAATGTGGCTGTGCTCGCCAGCCTTCGGACATGGCGAGTTTCATCCTGTGTCTCTGTACCTCGGCAGACCCTGGCTGAGTAGCATCCCTGGCCTGTTCCTGCACCCTCTCACCCCTGTCACCCCACCGCAGGCTGAACCCCCGCTGCTCCACTGATGCTCGCCCGGCCCGCTCCTGCCCCACCTGTGGCACAGACGGGGGGAGTCCCACACTGGATTCCCACGTCTCACTCTCCTCTGCAGCCTTCTTTTGGTCAATGTTGAGATTGGAGATTTGCACGAGGCGGAAGGGGAGCATTGCTTCACGTAGGCAGTCCTCTCTGGAAGGCAAATCCAAAGTCTTCCCGGGCCAGCAGGACTGCAGATTCCACAGGACGGCGGGGTCCAGTCCCCAGGCAATGGTAACAGACATTCTGCCGCTTTCCTTTGCCCTTCCATGTACCCATCTCTCAGGGATCCCACGCAGAACTTCCAGGTTGGAGCAAAGGAAAACCTGGCTGGGAGGACTGCGGGGACTGCCTGGCCGCAGTGGCCTTGCTCTGCTGACCTCTGAACTTAGCCTGTGGCCAACTGCCTCCTTTTCCAGTCCCCCACAGCACCTGGGAAGACATGTCCCAACGGAGCCCTGGGGATGCTCATCTACCATAATCCACCAGCGTCCCCCCAGGAAGAGCATGCCTGCCTCACTTTCAATTTGTGGCAAATGGAACCAGGGGACTTGCAGAAGCCAAGAACATAAACCATGAAAAAATATCAGCAAACACGGTGTTTACCTCGCATCTCGGTGCAACCCAGGAACATCATGGTCCAGATCCATCAGTGAACGTGAAGCACCTGCTCTAAAGTCCAGGCTCGTGCGAGTCACTGTGGGAAAATAAGGACAGTATGAGATTCAGGAGGGGGAGCTAATCTAGCTGAGGAAGTCAGAGAGCCTTCCCATGGACCCCGGTGGGACTACGGCAGGTCCGAAATGAGGGATGGGCCAGTATGGGTGCCATGGTTGGGGAAAGGGCAGGAAGGAGGGCCTAAACCAGCCAGTGTGAGTAGCTCAATGAAGACCAGAAGAGGAAGAGAGGGAGGGCATTCTAGGAGGAAGGGTCCACAAGCACAGAGCGGGCAGAGACACAAAGGGACAGTGAGAGCTGGAAGGGGACAACGTATTTTGCTTCGAAGGACAAGCAGAGGCGGCTAGATTTTTGCTGGGAGCCACGGATTGTCATGGAGTCAAAAAGAAGCAGGAGGATGGGACAGCAAGGGCGTGACTGAAATTTGCCATCACTGTGAACACTGCCTCCCAGAGGTGAACGCAGAGCAATGGCAGCGCAGAGCCGTGGAGCAATGAGAAATCCGGGGCTGCAGAGATAAAAGGAGGGATGGAATTATTAGAAGGTTCCCGGCCCTGGAGACGGGAAATTATTTGGTAGTTTTCACTGAAAGATTTAAGGAATAAACTTCAGAGAAGAGATGATGAGATGAGATTTGCAGTTCTGAACTCATAGTAAGATGCTTTAGAATCGGTAGACGCCAACAAGAGGGAGCTTACATCTAATTCCTCCACCTTTTTCTTAATTCAAGGTAACCAGACGAAAATACCAGGCCAAAGTTTTCTTCCCAAGAAATGAATCCATTTGGTTCTTTCCTCCATGTCCAGAATAAAAAAACAACAATAAAAAAACATTAAAACAACTCTTTAAAAATAACAGCTGCTATGTCATTGGAAGCAGCTACAATCTTCTCTTTTTTTTAAGATTTATTTTTTAGTTTTCGGCGGACACAACATCTTTGTTTGTATGTGGTGATGAGGATTGAACCTGGGCCGCACACATGCCAGGCGAGCGCACTACCCCTTGAGCCACATCCCCAGCCCCTATAATCTTCTTTTAAGATGAGAAAGTTAAACTAAATTGAACCTGAGACTCAAACGCCCTTTAGTTGTGCACCGAACCCATTCAGAATCCGTGGACAAAGTGAAATGATAAGATGCTGAGTCCAGAGAGTTCTGACTTCACCCAATCAATTTGGATCACTTTTGGAATGCACGGCACAAACCAAAGTGTGGCATAGATTTTGCAGTAAGAAATGAAATTAGTCCCATAAATGTTCCCAACTGAAAGATCAAAAGAACCAACCGAACACAGAGGCCGTCATAAATCATCCGTCGTCTCTGCTCTGTGCTGGCAGACTCAAAACAACTTCATGATGAAATCAAGTTACCTGCACCCGGGGGCTGGCTGCGGATGACGGTTCTCATCTGAACTCTCGGGGTTACAGTGCAAAGAGTCCATTTGTAGAAAGCTCAGTCTATTCCACCTTCCACTCAGCAACAATAGATTGTTGGAAGAACAGAAACTCGAGGTTGGTAAAAATAAAAGACGTGTCTTCTAACAGGCTGCCTTCGGAGTACTGCTTCCCAGGCATGGGTCCCCGGTGGACCTGTCACCTCTCACCTCCCACCTGGTGCCTAGACAGGTACGGATCTCATAGGCTTTCCTCCCCCTTGATAAGGACTACTTCTTTTAAAAAGCTGATGACGATTTCATAAGTTGCTTTGAAAATGGTTATTAAAAAGGAACCGTCTCCCAGGCTTTACCCTCACACGGCAGGAAGTCTCAGCGGCCAGCTCGTCTGCAGGACAAGATCACCACTTCCAAACAAAGACCTGCAGAAGTGCCTTCAGAAGCCCCATTAACAGGTGCAGGCTGGAGCCCAGTTATTTCACTCACTTGAAAACAATCCCAAGATAATAAAAGGTGCAGTATTGGCAGTCGCTTCCCCTGTTAACATTGCCACAATCTGAGGCGTCCTTGGAGCTCTTGGATGGAGAACCATGTGGATCCTTAGTGACAATGGATTAGAGAAGGCCAGAGAGGATTTGAGGCTTGCAGGCGAGCGCTTGAGGGGCCAGGCTCGGCTTCCGTACTGCTCCTCTGTATCCCCGTGTCCAGTGTGCCGCAGGGGCTTCACGGGGGCGGGGGGGGGGGGGTGAACCCCTCACGTTCATTGGACAGACAAAATTTATTAAAAGAGAGCAAATGATCATCAAAGCAGCAGAAGGTTGACGAGGCTGAAGGACAGGCCACATGCTAGTGTCCTTCTTGAAAAGTGGACACGTCAAATAGAAATAAAAGGAGCTCCACACGAAAAACCATGCACGTTTTACACTGAATCAAAAACACACCTGGCTCACTGTGAGGGCAGGAGGGGCGTGTGGTTGCTCCTTGCTGTGGAACGTATCCTCACTTTCTTGTTTCCCTTCTACCCCCCATGTGCACACACACACACACACATACACACACACAAGCACACTCTCAAACACAAACATGCTCACATGCACACACACACATGCACTCTCACACACGCACACAAAGTACTCACACTCACAGACACGCACACACTCACAGAAACATGTGCACACACGGACCTACACACATCCCCACACACGCGTACTCACATGAGTGCTTGCACACACACTCATGCACACACTCACACGGAATTCTTTCCACGTACAGCCAGTGTGGTCAGAAGAGGAAGAGCTCCCAAGTCATTTTCCACAGAAAAGGGAATTCCCTCTAATTCCCTCTGTTGGTTCCTCCTTAAAGCCTCAGCCCCTGACTTCCAGGACGTCCATCCTAAGGAGGCGGGTCAGTCCTCTCACTATTGCCCGCAGCTCCCAACCTTGGCCCTGAGCAGCCTGCTCACGGGTCCCAAGTCTCTGCTCCTCCGTTGACAAATAGCAAGACACGTTTAGGTGACAGTGAGTGTGTCGCACATGTGCAGGAAGACGACAGGAAATGGGGTCTGTAAAGGGCTGGGCACGGCCTGGAGAGCCCAGAGGAGCCCCCTCAGCACTGCGATGCCCGTCCCTGGGAACGGTTTCCCTCATCAGCCCAGGGAAGGCAATGAGGCCGCGTAGCTTGAGCAGCCAAGGAAGGGGCATGGTGGGGCGCAGGGCTGCGAGGGCGGGGCGTCCGCAGGGACAGCCCACTCCTCGCCCAGGCTGGCACCTCTGCTCGGATGTCACAGGTGGCAGAGCTGGTCGGGCGAGCCGGAAACAGGGGTAAGGGAGGTGGGGGCGACTTCATCTCCAGGGCCATTTCAGTGGGCGCGCGATGAGGGCACCTGAAAAACCGGGATCCTGTTCAATTTTTGCTCCTTTCTAATCTTCTACATCATCTGGAGGAAAGAGTTGAAGGATCCCAGCGACCCTACAGAGAGGAAGGAAGGTAGGAAGGCAGGTGACTTTCATCTCCAAGGCTGGACTCGGGGTTCAGTTCCCGGTTTCCTCTGGGGACCTGGCTACTGACCTCTGCCCAGCGCAGTCCTGGAGCACTGTGCAGCACTGTCCTTCTCTGCTGTGACAGTTCGGTGCATTTTGAACTCCGCCCTTAAGCTCTGCAGAGAAGAGGAGGAGCCCAAGCCTCCCAAACTTCTCGTTCTTGGGCTTGAAAACACCGTTCTTCTCAGAAATCCTTCAGGGAACTCACAGGTGACCAAACTTCAGGGTGGTCACAGCAGCTGTCAACCAGGGTGAGAGGGACCACATGCAGCAAAGCCAAAGGGCCCCTGCCTGCAGGACTTCTCAGAGCCTTCAGTGAGCTTCCAGGAAGATCAGTTCTGGAGAGGGGCACGTCCTGACCACCCAGGTCTGTCTGCTCCGAGGATCCCTGGGGTGAGGCTCCTAAGCACTTGAGGACGTGCCTGGGCAAGTCCCCAGGACTCTGACAGTTTGATTTGCTCCTTCTGGCTTAGCCTGATCTGACTTGGTAATCAAAGTGCCTATTGTCATTTTAAGGGGGGAATTAAAGTCCCTGTGGTTCATGATGTTTGTTGGAAACACTGAGCCGGGAATCTTAAGTCACAAGCCTTTGGGAGATACTGGGAGGTGGACCGCTCACCCCGTGTCATGTCCTTGACTTCTCGGAAAAAAGTCATTGTTCTCAAACTCCAGTACAGATCCCGGGGGCCAGGGCAGAAGTTCTACGAGGGCTAGAGCTAGTGCCAGGGGACGTGTGCTGCAGCAGTGGCCTCTTCCCCGTGGTCATCCTCCGCCCGCCCAGAGGACAGACCAAGGGAAAGCTTTCGCCTTTGCCACAGGCACCTACAGGGAGGGCCAGCACGCCCCTGTGCCCCAGGAGGTCAGGGAGCCGCTTCTCTGAAGGCTCACAGTGAGCGAGGGCTGGTTTTGCCCGGAATCCCCTCCGGCGGCAGACTGACCTCCACTGGTGGGCAGGCTATGTCACCCACTGGACCGCCACTGTCTGGATAATCTCCTGTCACAGGTCAACATGGGACCAGCCACGGTGGCTCTTCCTGCTTGGAAATGGATGACCACCATCATCATGGGGCAGAGATGGCGTTCCTATAGAGGAAGCCCAAGGGAAGCCGACGTGGTGGACAGGACAGTGAGGGCTCCTGTGGCAGTCATGGGCCTTGAAGCCAGCGTGCCTCTGAAGCACGGTGTAGTGAGGTCTAACCCACAGTCACAGCCACAATGAGAGAGTGACTGAATAATCCAGTCCCGTTCTTAAAAATTCATGCAAAATTGACACTCTCCTTCATGATACATCCGTATTTGTTTCAAAAGAAAAATATGTTAAATTATTCACCCTGGAGGAGAGTTGACGTTCCAAGGAAGATGTCACGGGTGCAGTGTCTTCTCCCCTGCTTCAGGAGGACCCCAGTTTTGAGTTGCGTCTTGTTCAATGAGAACGTAATTGCCTCTTTCACTCCTTCAATCTTCCCAACCTGAAGGTAAGAGAAGGAAGAATTCAACACACAGAAATGGAGAAGAATCGCCTTGTGTGGAGGACGAAGCACTGGCCACTGGCCACCTGTATCTGTGGCCCCATGGGCGACAGCTCACCATAGCAGAGGGCTGGGCCTTCCTGGGTGCTCTGCAAGTTCTGGAGAAGGCTGTCTTGTCTGCTCCAGCTGCCGGGAGCCTCCGGCCTCCCCTGGCTTTCTCCCATCCTCTCCAGGGGCCACAACACAGGGTCTTCAGGCCTCCTTTGTCTCTGACTCTGCCTCCTCCCTTCACTTCCCAGGACCCCTGTGATGGCATACTCCCCCCATAACCCAGGGGGTCGTCCATCATGAGACCCTTAGCCATGCTGACCAAGCCCATGTCACGGTAGCACATTCAGAGTTTCTGGGGGTGAACTCCACTGATTACTACATCCGATGGATTAATCCACTAAAGAGTGGATTAGGCTTAAGCATTTCACCTCTGAACACTCCTCCACTGGCTGACCCATGGGTGGCTGGGGGAACCTCACATCTAAACAACAAGAAGCAGCAGGCCCTCCTGCTCTGCCTGGGGTGCCGCTCACCACAGGGCAGAGACGGTCCCTCCTGGCCGAGGCTCTATTGCCTCTTAGCCCAGAACACTGCCTTTCTGGTCACCAGGAGGCACTTACCTGTGGCAATCCATTTCATTGGATTCTTCCAGAATCCGCTTCCCAGGTCTCTCTTAATCAGTGTGTTTTCAGCCGTCACACAAGCAGTGAGACTCTGCCCCTCTGGGACTGAGGCCGCGGTTTCCGTCTTCATAACAACAAGGGGTCGGCTTGTTGGACGGTCTGGATTTCTGCACTCCTCCCAGGCCGGGTCTGGACGGGCGTTAGCAGATTCCCCCACCTTTGTTTCCGTTCCTATTACAGAAATGGAACTGAGACGCTGTTTTCTTTTAGACCCTTCAGAACCCGTTGGCTCCACTTCTGTAATAAGGAGGTTGTTGAATCTGTGTCCATTTCCGTCTCCGTGGCAATCCTGGGACCTCTTCACACACTTAAATTGGGGGTTAACTGAGAGTGGTCCTGGGTCAGAGTCGGCTTCTGTGAGGTAACAATTGGGCACCCTCGGATTAACCAACAGAAGAAGGATGGACTTGCCTCCCCAGTTCTAGGCCTGGCGAGAAGGGTCCTAAAGTGAAGCCCGTCACTGGTCGGACCTCAACAGCAGCCATGTCCGACACCTTGGGCAAATGCTTGGAGCCCCAAGGAATCCTGGAAGGTTCATCTCTTCTGTGTTTTGGGGGGGCTGAGGATGAAACCCAGGGCTTCACCCTACCAGGCAGATGCTCTACCACCCGCACAGCCCTAGCCCAGCTGGAAAGCGGTCTCGGGCGCAGCAAGGGAGACACATCTGCTTTGCAAAGAAAATGGGAGAATGTTTGCAGTTTAGCTCCTTAGGAAAAAAGCCACAGGTGAGATACAGATGAGTGGAAATAATAGTTTACAATAAACTTCACAAGAAAGGTAGCTGGTGAGATGGGGGCCAGGGCCATGGTTTGCTGACACCCCTCCTCGCTTTAAGCCAATAAACTCACCCCTCCCTACACCCAGCCTGCTGTAGTTTTGTTCTCGTGCTTGAGCTAACTTAACCTGGGTTCATAAATTAAGCTGTGCTCAGTAAGACTGGTGACCTTTGCACTTTACTCTATGCACTCAGAAATGGTGATCCCAGGAGTCTGCATTCACCGCCACACCAAGAGGGTCTGACACAGAGCAAAGGAGAAGAGCCCAGGGTGGAAAATCCCATGCTCATAAGGCAGGGGCCTCTTGGGGTGGATCATTCCCGAGCAACTGCACATGACACAGTGTCACTAGGTTATTAGGAGCAGGGAGAGACAGCAGAGATGTTCACATGTGCAAAGGGCATCAGTGAGAACCGGCCACCCTCTCTTTGTGCAGTGTGTGGGTTGGATCACAGAGCAGGGCCCAGCCTTAGCGCTGCAGTGGGGTAAGGTACTTATCCCTTTGAGAGCCGAAGGGTGGAGGTCACGTGGAGTCGGATGAGTTCCAAGTCCCGAGTACAAATCCCAGTGCAACTTCCCGTGAGCAGCAGGTCCTTGGGCTACTTTGCTCATCTCTGTGGTCTGGGTTTCCACGTCTGTCAGCCCTCACAGGGCAGGGAACAGTGAAGGAGAGAGCACAATGAAGGAGGGAGGTGCTGTGGTTCAGTAGTCCAAAGGCCACCTGGGGTTAGAGGCTGCTCCCCAGGCAGTGGTCACCCAGGTGGGGAAACGTCTAGCAGGCCTAACTTAAGGTCTCACAGTCACTGGGAGCACGACCCTCAGGCACGATCCTCACGGCCCCGCCCCCTTCTCCCCGTGACTTCCTGGCCACCAGGTGAGTGGTCTTATCAACACAGGCACCTGCCAGGACGTGCTGACTTGCCACATGCTCAAAACCACAGGACCAGTTGGTTGTGGACGGAGACTCCCTAACCTATAACCAGGTACTTTCTCTCCATCCACGTTGCTTACCTCGGGCGTTCCGTTACTGTGATGGACGCTGGCTGACCCAGGTGGGCATCCCAGGCTCAGACTCCCCTGCACAGAGGTGGTTCCCATGGGCACCTGGTGAAAGAAAGCAGGGGCAGGGGCACTTTGTGAACATGTAAGAGCACAGTTGCTCATTTAGCACTTCAGGTTTTTATTAAGCAAACTGATAAGACTTATAATCTGTAATTGGAGCATGTTCTTTTTTTTTCTTTTTTTGCCTAATGACACTAATCTGTTTTTATCTTCGCCATTTAACGGAATCTCGTGATTAGCGTAGGCAAGGTTTCAGGGATTTAAATCATTTGTTTGATGTTTTTGCTTTTAGGCATGTTTGATTATTTATTAAAATCGATAAAATCAGCTGTGTCAACTAGTTATTAAAACTATAATTCCTTTATTGGCTAATACCAGCAGGGCTGAAGCAAATGAAAAACTCCCACATTGCATGAATTCTTGATTATGAAGCAAGTTTCTATAGGGTGGCCTACATATTTTGCACTAACCGAAGCCTGTTTAGAACAAGTCTGTTCTATCTTTAGTCAATAAGGAAAAGGACCAAGTGGGTAAGCATATGTGCAACTCATGTTCTAATTTATGCTTTAAAATAAATACAAGTTTGGAAGAAGCAATGTGTTCTGGTCTTCAGAAAAGAAATACCACGTACTCGCTGGGAGAATGGGGAGGAGCACCCAAAGAAGGCTCCCTTCGCTTCCTTCCTTCCTGCCCCGGACGTGCCTGTCACTCCAGTGGTCCAGAGGGGGCCTCCTTTACCCACCCTCCCAGGAATCGGGTCTCCTGTGGACCCTGCAGGAGAGAACACTGCCAGTTCTGGTCAGGGCTCCTGAAACCCTTGAAGAGCATCCACTTTCCAAGTGGGAGCCAGATGTCCAGGTCTAAAAAAGCTCAGGCCAGAACATTAAATGATTAGATGCCATATGGAGAGAGAGAAGGCCACGCAGAGCAGTCCACAGAGGCGTGCTGGACAAGGGACATCTTCTGGAAGCTTCCAGCCAGTCCCCAGCAGGTGAGACCTGCCCGCACTCCTGATGCAAGCCCCTGGAGCATGACAGATCACTGACATTTCAAGCCACCGTGTCCTATCCTCTGCTACTTAGCAATATATTGGTAAGGCGGAAAAGGGACAGAGAGACCAGCAAGCTCTTCAGGTAAAATACCTGATCCCCAGGTGTGCTTCCACGGGCCCAGGAAGAACGCTTCCTTCCAAAGAGATCTAGGAAGGAAGAGGTCCCCTTCTGGAGCGCCCCAGGGAAGAGGGACAATGCCGAGTCACCCAGTGGAGATGTCCTGGTCTGGAAGGAGTCGGGGCTCCAGCCTGGCGTGGCCCCTTAGGGAGAAGACTCAGGTGTGGTGGCTCACCTCCTGCTCCACTCTGCCATCACTGCAATGAAAAGGGACATTGGCGGAGCAACGTGGACTGGGAAAACAGCTCGCAGGGGTCCTTGGGACTGGGTGGTCAGCCACAGAGAGCCTGGGGGTGGACGCCTGGCACAAGCTTTGTATCTGACTACGGGTAACCAGAGGAAGATACTCAAGGATGGAAAACAAGCAACGTTTCCCACAGAAGTTTCCACCCGTGTCTCACGGTCTGGACTCTGCCTGAGGCACAGTGTTAACATTTGTTTTTAAAAGCTCTAGCCATTCTCTGAGTTACCAACTGGAGAACGTCATTCAAGAAATCCAAATGGATACAATTAGAACTATTTCCACTAAGGAAATAATTTAGTGATCCAGTTAGCAGAAATGTAGTCAGAAGCAGAGTTACTCGGAAATCCAGCGTCTACGTCAGGCTGAGAAGGTGAACACCTAGCCACCTTTTCATATGCGTTACATTGTTAAACAGCTCTCATTTTTGAAAAAGAAAAAAAATTGTAAGGCTGTGTATCTTTACCTTTTTGCTCATAGTTTTGCTTGGCAAAAACATCCATGTAATTAGATTTGTTGTGAAACTACAGTGGTGAAATAAAGTCCTTCCTCAAAAAAAAAAAAAAAAACTCTAGAAATACAATTACAGTTCATTGTGTTTAGTGTGTTTACTAAGGATTTTAATTTGAAAATGTCAAGCTTTAAGAAGTATCATTTTAAAAGCCAATTTTAGCATTTCTCTATTTGTAATGAATTGGGAGTCTCAGCAGATGGGATTTACCTGTGATACCTTTTCATCTCTAAGAAATTCTGGCTGTTTTCTCTAGAATCTCTGTTTTGCAAGCTCCAGCTAATTCAGGGCTCCAGAACCCCAATTTCAGAGAGATAGGCAGCCCAGCCAGCGGGGACCAAAGGGGAGCAGGGTGTGGCTGTTCACAGGGTGCCTGTCACAGGATGTCTTTACCTGGTGGTGGCCTGAAGGCTCGTTGTCCCACCTGGGACCAGACAGAAACCTGTGGACACTGAAGGACACCCCTGTGCTCCTGTCTGACCCGGGCCCAGTTCTGGCTGCCTGACCATGGCTCTGGCAATGGAACTGGACCTTGTGGGTCCTCCTGGCCTGGGCAGCCCCTGGCTCTTCAGGCACATTGGAGGCCCAAATCCAATGATGGTGCCAACCAACAGGTCACCATAATACAAAACAAAGCAGGAAGATTCTCACTCACAGATCCTGAGCAGGGAGGGTGAGGTGGGCCAGGAGAGCAGTCCCCCGTCCCAGGGCATGAGAGGCAAGCAGGAAGAGTCAGGCAGAGAGAGAAGAGCCATGCCAACTAGAGGTCTGCAGGAATGAGGTCGCTTGAAGGGCAAATGTTGCCAGACCACTAAAGGGGGCTCCAGGCATCGAGGGAGCCCTGGATGCTGCAGAGAGACACCTCTGACCAGCATCTGAGTCACTGGGTGTGGGTAGAGCTGGACACCCAGTCCAGGGTCACCGAACCCTGATCCTGGCTTCAGAAGCCTGAAGTCAGATTCAAAATGGAAGCCAAGGGCGGGGAGGGCGGCTGAGAGGTACAGCTCTGGCCCCCCTCACCCGTGGCCCTGGGACCCCTCCCCAAAAGGCATTGAGATATCAAGATTGTAGGAATTTACAACATCCTCTGAGCTCTAAAAGTTGACTGTCACCCAGGTTTTCTTATGGGACATACGAAATAAGAAACCTGGCGATGAATACAATTTGTAATTTTTCTAACATCTGTCTATATCATGGAGATATCTTTTGAAAAATCAAGACATCCTTCATGACTGGCCAGGCTCATAACAAGGATAGTTGGTCCTGTGAGATCTGAAGCACTGTCCAGACGTGTAGAGGGCTTGGGGCAGGAAGCCACTAATCACGGGCAGCTCACAGTCAGGCAGCCCCTGTCTCCACACACACACAGGGACATGGGAACAAAATGAGTTACCCAAAACACAGTACTTCACCCCTGATAACTGAATGATTCAGCCTCTCGCCCCTGCAAAAGAAAGAAAAAGAAAAGGAGGGGAAAAAAAAGATGCTTTTAACACTGTAGGATATTAAGTACCCAAGAGAAGATAGAAAGAAGATAGTAAATATATAAAATATATGCAAATTAAAGCAATATAATACCATTATCACCTGTCAAACTGGCAAATTAAAAAAAATAATTCCCAATGAAGGCAAAATAGACACTTTGATTCTAAAAGGCTAGAATTTGTCACCAGCAGATACTTTACTGAAGAATATATTAAAGAGTATTCTTTAAACAGAAGGAAGAAAATCCCAAAAGAAAGAATGGAGAGATACAAAAGGGGAAAGAAACACAAAAAGGGTCAACACGTGGATATGCAGAATGGATATCAAGTTAGAAAATAATCATCATACTATCTTGCTGGCTTTGCAATATTTAAAAATAAAATACACAACGTCATATCAATTATTAGGGATAAACAGCATCACAGTAGTGAGCACTGAGTTTACAAAGAGGTCAAGACACGATTATCACACACATAAGTCAAAGACAGAAGCCGGAATCCTGTGAACACCAAAGGAGTATAAGGGAAATTTCCAACGACTAAAGAAAAGTGTGAGGTGATGAAAACGTTTAATCCATCCAAAACAGCATAAAAGATAAAGGAAAAAGAAGACAGAACAGGTTGGACAGATGGAAAACACCCTGTAACGCGTCAATATTCACATTAACTGTAAATGTGCTAAATGCTCCGCGTAAATGACAAAGAGTACCCAACTGGATCTAAAAACAAAGCAAAACAAAAACCCAGTTTATGCTGTTTGACGGGGATACACGAAATGAGTTGGAAGCAAACTACTTTTAAGAGAGGAAACTACATGCAAGGTCAACTAACAATATAGAAGCTGTGAAATGACACAAAAAAATATCTGAAGTCAAAAACATTATTGGGGTTGAAGAGGGGACAATTTAAATAATAAATATTTAACTCAGTAGGAAGATATAAGAATTCTAAATCTGTATGCACCTACCAACTTAGCCTTAAAATATATGGAGAAAAATTGACGGAATTTGTCTAGGCAAATTCATAATAACAATAGGAAATTTTAACATATTCTTTTCTTCACTAATAGATGAAGTGGAGAAAATCTGTAAGGATATAAAATATTTGAATAATGCAAACAGCAGATTCACCTTAAATCAAGTATGCAGAATGCTGTCCCAACTGGAGATGACACATCTGTCACCTGTACACATAACCATAACTACAATTGCCACCGAGCCATGAAGAAAGTCCCAGCAAATTTCAAAAGGTTGGAATCATGAAGTATGCTAAGCAGAAGCAATTAAATCAGAAATTTAGGGGCTGGGGTTGTGGCTCAGTGGTGGAGTGCTTGCCTAGCATGTATGAGATACTGGGTTCAATCCTCAACACCACATAAATATAAAATAAAGATATTGTGTCCACCTAAAACTAAAAATCAAATATTTTTTTAAAAATCAGAAATTTAAAAAAAAAGAAAAGAAATTCTGTAGAAAATATCATATACTCAGAATTTAAGAAATATATTTAGAATATTCTACTTCCAGCTATGATGGACGACAATCCTTTACCAATAAAAAAGTTGTCAAATTTGGGTTAGAATAAAAATTAATGATAATGAGTGGATGTGGCTCTTGCAATCTGGGTGAAAGAATCGTGCGTGACTTGGTGATCAGTTTTTCTTGATATTTTTAGATACTTTCAGGTTTCACAAATTTAGTATTAGTTTTTTTTTTCTAAATTCAGGAGGAATTACCTTTTTACTTAGTGACTATAATGGTTTAGATATGAGTTGCCCCCTAAAAGCCCCTGTGTTAATGCAGGGATAGTTAGCAGGTGAGGGATTAGGTCACAGGGGCCACGACCTCATCAGTCCTCCTAGCTAAATGTGGTAACTGTAGGTAGGTGGGGTGTGAGACTGGAGGAGGTGGATCACTGGTCTCATAGGAATGATATCTCCTCCTTCGGGCTACTCCCCCCGTCTCTCTGTGCTTGCTGACCTTCATAAACAGAATGGCTCTCTTCCCCACGCCTCTCCACCATGATGTTCTGCCTCACCTTGGACCACAGAAATCGAGTTGGCCCACCATGGACCGAACCTCAGAAGCCAATGAGCCAAATAAACTTTTTCTCCTCTCAGTTGTTCTTGTCACGTGTTTTGGTCACAGTGATCAAAACCTAACACAAGGGCCACAAAGTTATTACACGTGAATTGTTACTGATTTTTTTATTGTCTATATTCTCCATCAGTATTCCTCTACCCACATGAGAGTCTTAGACACTGTTGGGTATCATTAAAAATATACAAATTCTTTGACTCAGCAGTTTTCTTTTGAGAAATTCATCCCTAAAAAATACATCTAAACATCTGTCCAAAGTTAAATACATAAGAATATATTTCGCATGTATTTATATTCTGAAATACTTGTTGATAGGACTGTTATGGTTTGGATAGAAGGTGTCCCCCAAAAGCTCACGTGTGAGACCGTGCGAGAACCAGGCAGAGGTAAAAATGATGAGATTATGAAAGTTGTGACCTAATCAGTGAATTAGTGCAGTGACTGTAGGCAGGTAGGGTGCGGCTGGAGAAAGTGGGTCACCGCGGGGTGTGCCTTTGGGATATTTTTTTTCAGGTGGGCAGAGCTGTACTTTCTGATTCCCACGTCCTCAGGTGCTCTCCTCTGCCTCACCTCACCTGTCAGCTTTTTTCTTCTGTAACCAAAAGAACTGACAAGAACAGTTAGCAGAGGCATTTATTTAGCAGCTCACAATTTCAGAGGTCTCAGTCCATGGACAGACACGTCCCTTGCTCTGGGTCAACGTGAGGCAGAAGAACATCATGGTGCAAGGGTGTGGAGGAGGACAGTGTCTTAGCAAGTGGCATCAGGAGACAGAGAGAGCTCTTACTCCCAAGGACAGCTATAAACCCCAAAGGCACGCGCCCAGTGACCCACCTCCCCCAGCCACACCCCACTTGCCTACAGTTACTGCCAACTAATCCATTCAAGTGGATTAATGCACTGATAGCTTAAGGCTCTCGTAACCTGATCACGTCACTTCTCAACCTTCTTGCATGGTCTCACACAGGAGCTTTTGAGGGACACCTCCCATACCAACCGTGACAGTAACTCTGGTTACTCAAATAAAGGGGAAGCAGCTGGAGCAATTTCATTGCCCACAGAAAGAACAGGAAGCTGAAAAGTGATCGGGACTTGGTAGCACTGGACCACCCAGCACCTGATACTGCTCCCTTCTCTGGCCTGATGCCCTTCAACCATGATCCCACCCTCAAGTTCTCTAGTTGGAACTAAAGAGAATGAACTCAGGATGCATCTCCCCCTTGGCTGTAGGGGAAACGGGATGGATGTGCAATCCGGGGAGGAGCACATGAAACACAGAAGAGGCGATTCCCCAAGACAAATCCAGGGTGCTGTTTGGAGGAGAAAGAACCCTGTACACCCTCTGCCTATGGCCACACGAATAACACAGGCCACAGGAAGCACTCGCACCAGGCACTGACATTTATGTTTTTACAAAAGAGAGAGAGGGGATCCATACTGCGTGTCTGCGTGGGAAACGGCCTGAGAATGCTGGAAACATCTCAACCGCCACGTCTCCCGTCAGACCCTCGTTCCACGGGGGCAAGAATCGTGTGTCTTCATTTCCGTGTCCCTGGTGGTTAACACAATCACTCACCACCAGGAGGCACATCATTAACAGAGGCAGAGGGGATTTAAAAAAAAAAAAAAAAGTAATTCTGAACAGAAGATGAAACTGGAGAGTGACTGTTCACATTTTAATTTCTTTCCGAGTACCTACAGTTTCCTTGCACTTAGTAAAAGGGATAGAGATCGTTAATAATCACAATTGATTTGGGGGCCCACATGCTCCTTATTCTAGGAACTTGGGGACTCATGGCCAAACCATGCTGCCCCGCCTCCCCTCTGCCTGAACCGTGGCATTGTGTACCTGCCAGAGAGACCGGAGCGGGTTTCTGCAGGAGGAGCTCTGGCTGCCTGCGGTGCACACGCTGGGAGCAGTTCCTCAGAGCCTCCGGAATAATGACTTGTGAAAAGATAAACAGTCGAGGGTTATTTGGTCGTCACACTGGGGCTCGCGCTCCTTAGAAGTGTCTGCACTGGAGGCAAAAACATGGTTGAGTGTCTAAATAACTTGAATGCTATTAGAAGGGAGGCCCTGGAAAGATGAAAGCAGACAGAGGGCCTGCCGACGGCAGGCGGACGGCGGGACGGGCTCCGCGGGCTGGGATGAGTGTGAGTCAGACAATGGCCATGTTGTCCTTCTGCTGTTCTGTGGAACGCGGTGATTCATGAAGTGGAATTTCCAACAAAATAAACAGGCTCGAATTTGTTAACTAATGCAGTCAGCACAGAACATGCTGCTATGTGAGAAGAGAAAAGAGGAGGGCCTCTATACTCCTGCTATTTGCTAAACAGAAATATGTTTATATTGGGCACCGAGTCTTGCCTTTGTTTGTGCTGGCGTTTTGAGAATATCCCTTTTCACTGACTCCTGAACAAAGATACGCAATGTGAGGGAGAAGGAATATCGTCAGCGCACCTCACTGCACCATCATGTTGTATGCACATGTTTCAAATTCTGCAAACTTAAAAAGAGGCACGGATTTCGCCAGGCAGAGAAAACCCTTCTGTAAAACAATGTCCATTAATTTGCTCTTGTCTCGGAAACCCCGATGCCTTGCTAATCACAGAGGCTCTGGAGCTGGGATAGGAACCGCACGGCATCTGCTCAGCTATCACGAGCCATCTCTGACGTCCTGCCCAAGGATCTGGTCTTGGTGACATTACAAACGAGGAACCCTTTCTCTCCAAACTGTGAAAAGCAGGTCTATTATCTCAGGAAGCATTGTTAAGGGTAAAGACTACTATGTATGGACTCCCTGGATTCCCTGTCTGTACCTGAACAGAGGCAAGTGATGTCACTGCCTGGCAGGGGCTGGGGAGAGCTTGGCACGGTGTAGGCAATCTGCCGATGTGTGTAGGAGGGTCAGTGTCCCACCCCTCAGGCAGACAGGTGCTGCTCTAGTTGTGGACACATCAGAGACAAAGCCACATCCAAGACACACCAACAAAGACTGGGTCTTCAAGCGCACTTAGCCAGGGGAGGATCTTCTCCTTCTTCCTTTACTCAGTGCAGAGGAGAGCCCGTCTTACAGGGCAAAACAAGGGGCGAGAGAGCCTCTGCTGATAAGGCTGCCACCAAGGAGGGGCTCCTGGAAGGCAGGACACAGGTGCATTTTGTGGTCCTTTGTTGGCTACAAGGCACCAGCCAGCAGCTTGGGGACTTTTTGTAACAAATGCCAAGGTCAGACTACCCTGCAGCAGCACTTCAAGGAACGTGTCATGTTCCATGGGCTGTGCTCCTAGGGTCAGGCCATCCTGCTGACCCTTCCTGAGGGGCTTGTGGCCAGGAGGGGCAGTTTCCAAGGTCGGGGCACTCCCTCTCAGGGGAAAGAAAAAGTCTATTTCCCAACTAGCACAAATCTCCCTAGAAAACATAAAATAAATAACTAAAATGCGAATTTAAATAAGAAATGCCACCACCACCCAAATAAACCAAATGAGATAAAAAGACAAGACTGATAATTCAGGACCGTTCATGCAAAGCCAGAATATCAGTATTTACAAAAGCAGGCCTTATTGGATCATAGTTGTGTCCTCAGGGCAAAAATAATTTTAACATTTTACTGAGACATCAGTGAAGCATTGTCTTGAAGAATAAGGAACGGGATTTCTATAGGGTTATTGTGTTTACTGTACAAAATAAACACCTTTAAAAAAAAAAAGCCACCGAAGGATTCGTAAGCTTGCTATCGACTTTGTCTCTATTCATTAATGTAACGAAACCAGTCTCCGGGGACAGTACTACTGACCATGGGAAAATTTAAGTAGAAATTAAATAGACCTTTGGCTTCGAGCCCAGGACAGAACGTCAGCCCTCGTGCAGAAACCCAGGCAAAAGATAAAAATGATTCCATTATATCTACAATACAATCTCCTCATGGCTTGAGTACAAGTTTCTCCTCGCTAACAGAAGTCCTTGCAGAAGGTTTAAACAATCTCAACAATTTCATTATGGGAGTGTAGCTAAATCCAATAAAGTAAAGGGGCCCAAAGAGTCTTCCCATATGCCAGGTCCCCTACCCTTTCCTTCTCAGCGAAGTCAAAGAACTTGGCTCTCTGGAAGCTGAACCCACTCCAATCGCCTGAAGCATAGATCTTGCTTTGTTGACATCAACGCAAGCTCTCCTGGGGACACACAAAGGAGGGAAGCAGCCATTAGAGTTCCTCGTGACCCTGCTCGGAGCCAAATCCAGCCTCGCGGAGATGAATGAAAATGCTTGTTATGCGGCCCAAGAAGCTATTTTGTCCGTTTGAAAATTAATTAGACCGTGGCTAGATGAACATCCCAGGAGGCTTTCACAGCGCTCTTGGACAGATGACCCTGGCGGAGCTCCCAATCTTAACAAGTTTGCCCCAGAGCAAAAGCAGGGCCTTTTGGCGAAGCTACAACTACCAGCTACCGCGGTAATGCTTTCCTGCACGGTGGCCGGCCTCGGAGCTCAGCGCCCCGGGAGGGGAAGGAAGTGGGGGGGAAAGTGGTTAAAACGTACGTTGGACGGCAAGAGAAGATGCTCAGAAAGGAAATCGGTTTCCTAAGGAACCAATTTGGTTGATCATTTCGTGGCCAGGTCTGGAGAAAGTGTTAAAATGTGCACATGGGTCAGGACCACTTCTGCCTGAAACTGCCAGGGCACAGAGGAGGCTGTTTCTTGTCCTGTAAGTGCCACAGGACCGATCGAGGACAAGCAGAAAGCCACAGATCCTGCTGAAAATCTGCTTTTCAAAGGGCCAGCCTCAGGGTGCCAGAGACATGGACCTGGAGAAGCCTGGTGCCAAGTGACTGGGGAGCTCCACTCACCAGGAGATGGAGAGGGAGCTACTTCTACTAGAGTGACCTGTGCACCGCTCTCCCGGGAAGTCCTCACTGGATGTCGGTGTGATAGAGCTGATGCTTAACGCTTGTTTCAGTCAACTTTTACACTGCTGTGACCAAAAGACTTGACGAGAATGATTTTTGGAGAAAAAGTTTATTTGGGGGCTCATGGTTTCCGAGGTCTCTGTCCATGGGTGGCCAGCTCCATTGCTCTGGGTCCAGGTGAGACAGAACATGATGGCGGAAGGGTGTGGAGAAGGAGAGCAGCTCAGGACATGGCACTAGGAAGCAGAGAGAGAGAGAGAGTGCTGTACTCACCAGGGACAAATATAAGCCCCAAGGGCCACCCCAGTGATCCACCTCCTCCAGCCACACCCTACCTTCCTAGTTAAACCCAGCTAATCCCTATCAGGAGATTAATGTGCCGATTAGGTTAAGGCTCTCATAACCCGATCATTTCACCTCTTAACTCCCTTGCATTGTCTCCCGTATGAGCTTTTGGGGACACCTCATAGCTAAACCATTACGACTATCTATTGAAGAGTTGACGGTGCAGATACCAGGAGTAGATACACTATGTAGAAAATTAAATCCCAGAGATCACCAAAAATAACAGCACATGGCAACAGGTGGCCCTCTCACAGTGCATTTTAGTCTTGCAGGGTATTTGTCCTGCTTACAAGTGACCAGCCCAGGATGGACTGCAGGCTCAGGGAGCCGATCACCAGCTGTCCCCGTCCCCTTCCGGCTCTCGTTCTGGGATGGCTGGCGGTGGATCTTTCTGTGCTATAGAGGAATGAACACGGTACCAGGGGCTGGGCACGCAGACGCAGGGCCAGGCAGAGTGCAGATGTGGACAGAGACGAGGGGCCACGTCAGCTTCGGCTTAATACAAAGGAGGATTGTGAGAGCGTGGGGGAGATGATGCACTCTTAAGAATTCTCTTCTCTGCCCCGGGGACACTAGAAATTTATATAGTTTGCGTGCAGAGACGTATTTCCTAAAAGTTTGGGGCAGCTCTGACTGCCTCCCCAATTGCATGTTTCTCCAAGTCCTTGTGTGACTGTGACAGGGACCAATTGTCATCCCTCTACCAACCCACCAGGAGAAACTTGGGTTGACTTGGTTTCTTGAGTATCTAATGTGGTCAGAAATCTATGGGTGAGACCATCCCACAGCTGATTCTGGAAGAGAAGGGCCATGTCCCTGCCCTTGGTCAGTAGATGGAGGACCTGTGCTGATCTGTGCAAATCGAGGGTGGGATAGAATCCCTTGAGCTGAGTTAAAGAAGCCACCATGTCCCTTTTGTAGTTAGGAGACTTCTCCAGGATGAACTGTTTTCCAAATTGCATGATGGAACCCACCACGATAGGTTATTGGGAACCCCAGGAGGTGACCCTGGAGAGCAAGCAGAAAGGGCTTGGGGCCATGCCTCAGTATCCTTAAGACGTGCTGATGCCTGGCTATGGCTTGGCTGAGATGCTCCTCGTTTAGATAACTCCCTTCCAGTCCAGCTCACTAGCCTCAAATTCTGTTCCAGGCTTTTTGAGTGTTTCACCCCCAACTCAAGCATCCGCCGAGCGTCTGGAACAGCAGAGGGCTTCAGGTTCTAGCTGCTGCTTCTATTCTTCTTCTAAGAGGCAAACCGGCAAAAGCAACCACCTGCCCAAGGGGACCGGCTGGCCAGGACCGCAGGATCACCACCCAGGTGTCCGGCGGCCAGCGGTTCTGTGGCAAGCTGACAAGTTAGCCCGACAGCCTCGTGTGGGAGCCAGGCAGACACGACTCTCAGCACGTTGACGTGGAGACGGTGAAACCCCCCACCCCAGGCTTTCAGAGCAGGTCTAGGTGCCTCAAGACAGTAGGGCAGACGGGGGCACAGCTTGGCATGGCCCTGCCCAGACTGTAGAGAAGGAAACTGGCCCTCTAGGAGCAACCTGCTAGAAGACTGAAGCAAGACCAAGGGCTCCCCATGAGGCACAGACTCGGGGTGCTTGTGGATTCCCCCTTTTCAGCAGAAGAATAGGTAGGGGCCAGTTGTGGCCTCTGTGACTTTCCTTACTAACCTGTAAAGCTGATCAAGTGCCAATCCGTGCTGCAGAAGGGACTCGTTCATTATATCACTACTCTCCCCACAACCCATAAGATAGGGTCCTGGTTTACAGATAAAGAAATGCAGGTGGGTGACATTAAGTGACATGCTCAATGGCTAGTGAGGGGTAGAAAGGATGCCAGGCACAGGTGGGGCTGGAGTCTGGCTCTGCCACGGGGCATGTTCTGTTGCTTGTTAATGGTTGGCGTGAAGAGCCAATGGCCTGGGGAGAGGGTTTCAGGCTTAACCTTGCACCAAGCCCAGCAGATCTGCCCGAGCAGCTGTGCAAGTGTTGCTCACGGCAATGGCCCTGGAACCCCGAAGGGTGCTCAGAACACAGTAGGGCCTGGGAGTCAGTCACAGAGGGGTGAGCAGGCAGTGAGTAAGCTCACCTATAGCCGTGTTGGGGAGCTGAAGGAGGAGGAGCCAGAACAGAAGTATGGGGGCTCCTCTGAGCATGTCCAGAGCTGGTCCACTTCCAGCAAGTTTAAAAGAGACACTGTGAACGTGCACTTGAGGCTGGGCTGCAGAGGTGGGCCCCCAGGAGAAGGGTGGGGGCTGCTGGGTGCTGGTGGGCACTCGCCCACCCTCCGGGGGTGCAGACCCACCTCCCCAGCTCCCACGCACCCCGCCCCAGCCTCCGTTTTCAGAGTCTGGAACCTGGTTGCGCCCTGCACGCACCTGCCCAGTTTGATGGCTGAATGGAAACTGCACCGCCCGACTCCTATCTCAGCATCCATCACCCCTAATGACCTTAAATGCCACCCAAAGAATTCCACAAATGGACTGGGATCCAAATTAAAGAACTAGATTGAACTCCGGCAGAAAAGTGAGGGTGTTCTTTAAATGCCAACAGGCAGTGCCTTTGGTCTAACAAAGGAGTTAAAACATAATTAAGATCTGAAGGCCGATAGCAGGAATGTGTATGATTATTTTTATTATTTTTCCTCTTTCTATCTTTGTGATAGGATGTGATCAACCTCGGCCATGCTCCGTTGCTTAGTAGCAGACAGTCACAGTTTTAATTATATACTAAAATAAGCCAAAGAAGAGAAAACTGCTTTATGTCTAATACGTATATATCAAGAAAGGCATGTGACAGCATCTAAATTGCCTCGGTGGCTGATAAAGAGCGCCTCCGGTAGGGTTGTCACCAGAAGATCACGAACGGAGTCGCAAAGGATTATTAATAAAGCTGCTTCTCTATTTATATGTTCTCCATTGTTTGTGAGTCCTTGTTAGAATCTGGAAATGAATTTTTATCTACCGCTAATTTCATCAGGTTTTTTCTTTTTTTTTTTTTTTTTAAGTCTGGGAGGGAAAAAAAAAGAAAAGAAAAGAAAAACTTTTGTCAATTCCTCTGCCAGCCCTAGTCCTCCAAATAGAATTCATTTTACTCCTCCAGATTTGCAATTCTCAAAATATTTTATCTCGCAATAAAAAAAATTAAAGAATTAGTTCATTCATTCTTCGAACATGCAGCCGAGAAGCGTTCTAATGACAGACCCAGAGATCTCTGCCCTCCTGGAGATTCCATGTTAAGGATCAGAGGATAATAAACAAGAAGAATGAAAAGATGATAATAGACCATAACTAAGGGCATGGAATAAACAGGGCATGATAGTAGAATCAGGTTTAGCTGCAAGTGGCAGAAGATTCAACAGCCCAGCCTTAACCATGGCTGCAAATCAGCTGGTTTATACCATGGAAGCCACCAGAGTTCTTTGCCACTGGCCTCTGTCCTGGATGGGTGGGTCAGGTGCATATGCTGGACTGGTTGCTATGTGTATTGAAGGCTGATTGTGCCTTAAAAAGTTTCTGTATTTCTCACATTGAAGAAGGTCAGAGATTGACTCTTCAGAAACAATAAGGCAGTTTTATGGATTGATTGGGGACCTGTATTTGTAGTTCACCATTCCAAACACTTGGCTTCTACCTCAGGGTGTAATGTGATTGCCTGGGTTCCACCATTGCACCTGCACAGAGGGCAAAAGTTAGAAGGTGGCCGTATCTCCTCTTCCTAAGGATAATCTTTTGTATGTTTCTTTTTTTTCAATAGCCATTGTGTACTCCACGCACAAGGGAAGCTAGCTACAATAGGAGCTGGTCCTAGGTGATCATACGTACACCTGGGGCAGAGAGAGTGGCCTGCAGGAAGATACAGGAAGACAAAGAGCAGACAGCACCCCACAGGGTGATGGAGTGGGTGGTTCAGAAGGGGCTGCTCTCGGCAACACAGGGCTTCCCAGGGATAACAGTGAGCTGAGCCTCAAGATTCAAAACTGCTCCCAAGTTACATGGAGAAGAGGACTCAGGCAGAAAGGTGCTTGCTCCCAAAGAGACTGACTCCAGTTCAGAGAGGACCTCAGCCTCCCTTTATAGTAATATTAGGCAACTATCAAGTTTTCCTGGGCTTGGATGATACTCTGCCTTCTTCTAAGTCTTGGTTCTTCAAGTCTCATAATGCATGTTGCTTTATGGTAACTCTTGAGTTATCAAAAAATATCAGTTATCAAAAAAAAATCATGTCATCATTCAGAACCTGGTAGGAAGATGGTCCAGGGCGTCCTCCGCGGAGAGAGTGGCGATTCATTCAGGAGTGTATTTCTGTGGGTATGGGGAGAGATGGGCGGCCACACCAAACAAACTGTGCACCTAATACATCTTTGAACCCACCGTGAATGGTGTAAATAATACGCCAGGCTCAGACAAAACCACCTACAAATCGGGGTGTTAAATCACCACTCACCCCTCAATAACCTGATTTGGCTTGGTGTCACTGGAATAGGGTCAACCGCATGGAAGTAATGCAGTGTTTTGTGCGAATGTCACATTAGTCCTGTTTGTCACCTGATTTCTGTGGGTGCCAGAAGGTGATTCATGGGAACAAATCGGAGGAGCCCGTGGCGTTAAGCCTAACACTATACAGGGGAACCTGCCTTCCTGAACCCGTAATTAAGGTGACACTAGACCCAGTGCATCTTCCTAACAACTGTCTTCCACTGACACGGAACAGAAGCAGAGATCAGTGCTCCTGCTATTCCCACAACTTCTGTGTGGATGGAGATCACTGTAAAGTCAGCGGTTCAGTCTAAACAGATCATGCAATGGTGACGTGCCCCACCCCAGAATACGGAAGGGGTGAGGAGTAGATGCCGCAGGGAAGGAGGAGTTGCCACGGACCATGGTCTTGTGTCTGCAGGAGGGGGATCCAAGTGCACCCTTTCCCTGAGCTGACCACATTTCCCACACCCCAGCCTGTGTCCAGCCACGAGCCTGAGACCTGACCTGGGGACGGCTAGAGATCCTGCCTGCTCCAGAGCATCAGAACGTGAGCTCCATTGACAAGGGCCAAGGCCATGTCCTTCTGACCTGGGACCTCTAACCCCAACACAGTGTTTGACACACAGCAGGTCTCTGTGAGGGTGACGTGACGGATGCCAACCCCCATCTTAACTCGTCCTTCTGCCTGACAGCGGTGTCCCTTCAATATCATGGACAAAAGTCCCACACATAATAAAATTTCACCACAACAGAAACCAGAATTGGTTGTAAGGAAAACAGTGTCACACGGTATCCTACCGGATACACCCCCCCTCTCCAGAAACCTCTACCAACACCAAGCCTTAAATGTGTGCCGTGAACGTGGATGGCACTCTGTGCACTCAGATGTGCAGAGGGACTTCACTGTCCTAAATCTGGGCCATTTCTACCTTGAGGCTACCCACCGTTATCAAGGAGGCTGAAGGTCAGTCTTCGTGATCTGGGGTTCCCAGCTGTTTACCCTGGGGTCCTGTCTCTGTCCTAGGAGGCCAGACATTGCCTTGGTGACCGACCCGGGGCAGGGAATGAAGAGTCTCTCTCCTTCTTTCCTGAAAGACCCTTCCGCATCCGTTTCCTTGGGTAACTCCAGGTCTTTCTAAGTGGCTCTCTAAGCCTCTCCTGCTGGAGGGCATCACCGTGTCTGAAGGTCTGGCCGCCTCTCCAGGGTCTCACTTGGAAGCAGCCGCAGGTCCTCGTTGTCCTCAGGTCGCATAGAGCTGGCTGGGGCTGTGTCGTCTCCCTGGGCTCTGTCCTGAGTGCTAATGACCTTCCCCTGGTACCTACCTGCGGCAGATGGAGTCAGAGCCGAGGACGGTGTGAGGCGGCTGGAGCAGGCCCAGCAGGGGCTCTGCCTGGGTGTGCCGAGAGCAGCAGAGGCCAAGGAGGGACGCTCTGGGGTCCAGCCCTGGGGTGAGGGACTGTCACCAGGAGAACCTGGGGACAGGAGCCATGGATGAAATGGGGACAGAGAGGAAGAAGGAGCACTGCCAGTCTTTGCCACGCCCCCCGGGGGTGCCATCCACCCTGACCCCTTTGAGAGGGCTTGTGCCCCTGTACGCCACTGCAGTGCGGCAGGACCCTTGTGACCTCTGTGGCCAGGTCACCAAGGCCATGAGACACTTTCTCTGTGGTTACTCCTTTTCGGACACCAGCCACCAAGCTGAGAGAATCTCATGCCACACACAAGTCCACATGGGGACACTGGCCAGCAGGCCCAGGGAGCCCCATCCGGAGCATTCCAGACTCATGAGGGACAATCCTAGCCCTCAACATCACCTCACCACTGCTGCTGGGGCCTCTCTGGCTGAGGGCCCAGATGTCACACACAGAGAGAGGACACCCTGTGCCCTCTCTACCTCTGACTCACAGGATCTACCTAGTTCTTTGGTTTTGCCACCATTTGGGGTACTTGGTTATGCACCAATGGACACGTGGAACAGGCAGGACTCAGGAACACGGAGACCACGGGAAAGCTCCAGGTAGAACTTCCCAGGTCCAGGCAAGAAAAGTCACCTCCATGGTGCAGGAGGAGCCGACGCCCACAGAAGGTCACCGTGTGACAGGGAAGGTTCTTACCCACGCTCAAATCCCTTGGGCTTCCCAGCAGCCTGAGTAAGGGGTTCCCGCTACAGCAGCTCACGGATGAGGCCAAGAGGCTGAGAGAGGGCGGTGAGCGGGGGGTGCTGAATTCAAACCCAGTCTTCACCACCACAGGGACGGCCCACGTGGCCCAGAACTTATCTGGGTCCTGCCAAAAATTCTGCAAACACAGAGAATGTTCCATTAGTGTTTTTGACCAAACAAAAACAAGAGTTGGCCCAGAGAATCCACGACCTCTGCGGCTGTGGGTTCAAGCAACCACAGTTCTTAAATTTATTTTTTTTAAAAAATATTTCTGTATTGAATGCAAATAGATTTTTTTTGCCTACCTTTTTATTTAGTAAGATCAAGAATTAATAAATGGGATGGATTCAACCTAAAAAGCTTCTTCTCAGCAAAAGAAAGAATCATGTGAAGAGAGAGCCTAAGGATGGGAGAAAATCTCTGCCACCTGCACTTCAGATAGAGCACTGATCTCCAGGATATACAAAGAACTCAAAAACTTAACTCCAATAAATAAATAAATAATATTAATATGTCGGAAGCTGCCCTGGATGCAGACACCTTTAAGTCCTGATGCACCGGGTTCTGAACAGTTACTGCCTTTAATGTGCGTCGCAGTAACCTGGGCGTCACCCCAGCTCGGATAACAAGGTGTGGCTCCAGGAGTAGGTGTCACCCACTGGGGGTGAGCCACACTCACCTGTTCCTTTGTAATCCTTCCCCTTTGCCCTTTGGGGGATAGAATGTTCCATGGAACCTCCCCTTGTGTGTGCCCTGTATAAGAATGAAGACTTCCAGTGGCCCGCTCTCTTTCCAAGGACCCTTAAGGTCGGAGAGCCGTCATGGATTTTGAAAAGGTACTTCTGTGCGGTTGAGTGCCTTCTTTGTCGTTTTCTTAGGTTATTGGAATAGTCAGATTTTGTGAACCCAGGACAGGTCGCCAGCTTGGATGGATGGCGATAATAATGATAATAACCCAATCAATAAATGGGCGAAGGGACTGAACAGACACTTCACAGAAGAAATACAACCAATCAGCAGATATATGGAAAAATGTGCAACACCTCTAGAATCAGAGAAACGCAAACCAAAAGGAACAGCTTTTTCCTGTCCTCGCTGCCTAAATAGCACAGTAGAGGGGCTTCTCCTGCAGCAGCCTTATTGTAGGCTGACGGCAACCTAGAGGTGGTGTCAAGGGGAGGGGAGTGTGGAGGTGACAGGCCAGCGCTGCCCGTCTCCTGGAGGACGTCAGCACCCACAGACTCAACAGCCACAGGACGTCCTGGAGCCCAGCCCCATGGACACCCGGGGACCACGGCACTGGCCTTTCCTTCAGGAAACTCAGCTGCACACTTTGCCTTTGATCATAGAAAAATGACGTCTCACCCATGTCCTTTGAAATATTATGCTTTGGAATGATGAACCAAGATGCTTTGAAAAAGAGAAGACAATAAAAAAATCCATTGTGGGACTAACAGAGCTGAAGGGGAGTGACAACAGCCACCAAGTGTCACTGTGTGGAAACAAGGGCTCTGTACAGCCCTCTCCTTGAGGTCACTCACCCTCAGAGACAAGCATCTCAACCTCCGTCCTCGAGGTGAGGAAAGTCTCAGAAACCTTGGTCAAGGTCATGCACTAAGTGACAGACCCTTCAAACTCAAAACCCCATGTTCCGTGTACGTGTGGCAACTTAAGCGAAAAAGCAAACAAACCTTTAATGTCAGAGGTTCGAAGTTCTCATGAGACTCTTCCCTGTGACCACCCTTGAGGAGACTCCACCTAGAACTGAGAAGCATTTTTAAGAAGTTGCACCAGCCAGCTTTAGGATTCTGTAAGCCACCGATCTTTCAACAAGTTTTGAACAAGCAGCATTAGTGCCCTGTTCTTGAAATGGATACAGGAAAGGTAATTTTTAACTGCAAAATATGGTGAGGCACAGTTAGGTTTATGGAAGCTCCAGCCACTGTCCTGATTGTCCCCACCCCCCTGTGAGTATAAGAATGTCACTCCTTAGACCAACACTCTGCATGGAGTGGCACGGGGCTCCAACTGCCCAGCCAACTTCCGTAAGGACGTCCTGCTTTGCTTCCGCACGTGTGTGGATACAGATGTGTGTCCAATGTGTGTGCGTGGGTGGGCATGCAAGGGTGTCCAGGCAGAACTCGGTGTCAACGACGCTGACGGCCAGTGTGTTTCAATTAGGGGCTCATGACACAGCATTGCTGCCCACACCCCACTCCACTCAACCGCCTAATCTAACGTCCCCAGCTAAAGGCTAAGGTCGGAGGTCAAACAACAAGGGATCACTTCGGTTGGAAGTTTGTTCCTCCCCATGAGAACCACCAAACTGAACAGACACACCCTGCGTGGAGGAAACTGCTACAGCAACCGTATCTCATCTGCAGATAAAGTTGAGCCCTTTTTGATGTTTTGCTTGATAAAAGGAAAAACAGCCAAGGTCATTCTTGAGGAGCTGAGAATGAACACCACCGAGTGTTCCGGATTCTGAGGGCACGGAGTCAAGAGAAAGGTGAGAATCTTTTCCCTTTTGCTTCTGACTTAACGTTCCTTTGTCTTCAGTGTTTACATCCATGGTTTGGGCACAGACTGGACCTCAGACCCCCACCTAGAGCCCACATGCCTGCCACGTGCCTTCCTTCCAACACCCCCTCTGGACCCACTCCTGCGCCCCAGGACCCCTTTCCAGCAAGAGACCAGTGGACAAACTCACTTTAATCACCCCCTCCCGCCCATCAACTTCTGCCTACATCTGCCTACTTCCCCTTCTTCCTCCGACTTTTAAATCAAGATGAAACTCATGATGCATGCGCTTCACCCTGAGAGTGCACGGCTCAGCGGCAGCACCCCCAGAGCCATGCAGCCATCACCGTCTAATTCCAGAACATTCTCATTGCACCCGAGGAGACCCCATACCCATGAGGCTGTTACCCCCAGCCCGTTCCTCCTCCTTTCCTACCACAGCTAACGACGGGTCTCCTCTGCACCGTGAATGGCTGTGCTCCTCACCCACTGCTCTCAGCTTGATCCTTTAACATCTGTCCTCTGAGAACACACTGGGCGTTTTCCTGGGCTGGGCAACCTGGTAATGCATGTGACTCACCAGCCTTGGCCCCTTGCACCCTCACACTCTGACCTTCTTTGGGAAGAGTCCTCCTCCCATGGGCTCATGTTTACATGCAAACCACCTCCAGGCACCTCCCCTGCTGGGCTACCACTGTCCTGGCCAGCCCACCTGCCCCACCACCTCTGGCCGGGTACTGACACCTTGAGAACCCCACACTGCTGAGCCACAGAAGTGGCTCCAACTAGCCTGTGCCAAGCAAGATGGCCCACCTCGCCCACTCCTTCCCGTGGAAGCCAAAAGGAGACTCCTGCCCCTGGTCCCCTGCTGTCCATCTCTGACCAGCCTCAGTGCTTCTGCACGGGCACCCCATGACATGGAGTGACCCTCAAGACCGTGACAAACCGTCCTTTCAATGGAGTGCTCTCCAGGCCTGTTGGTCTCACTCAAATGACTCAAATTTTCCAACACACTGTACTTCAAGAGCGTATTGCCCTCTCCTTTGCTGGCCTTCCTCCACAGGAGGCCAGGCTAGGGAGGTGCTGGGCGGCCTGTAGGTCACTGAGGTCAGCCAGCCTCTCCAGGTCCATTCCTCAACCACAGAATGAAGAGCATTTCCCAGTGCCTTTAAGCACAGACCCCTTGCTTACAAACAGCAGCGTCTAATGCCCACCGCTGCACGAAGGCACCTTCACACCAAGATGTGGTCCTGACACATTCCTTAAAAACGAGACCCTATCAGTGATGTCTGCCTTTTAAAAAACACTACTCTCGAAACGACGCACCCTGTCCAGGAAATCGCTGGAACGGGAGCACCAAACGTGTCTCTGAAGTTCTTTTAAGGAGGTAACAGTCTTCCAGCCCAGGGAGGGCTCCAGATGACGTCATGCTTGATGCCCAGCCTAAGTGAAAGGGAAACTGTCACCAGGCCTGGAGCCCTCGGTGTCCTGCACAACGAAGGAGATGTCCTCAGATTCCTTGCAGCAGGGACCCACTTCGGTGGCACCAGCCTTGGCTTGCAGATGGAACCAGGTATCTGCAGAAGGAGAAGCCGGCAGCGAGAGGCCCCGGGAGGAGCTCCTGTCGGCAGCTCCGGCCAGTGTTGCTGCTGAGACCTGCTGACGTCAGGGTCGTGGCCTCCAGGTGCTGGCCGGCGGTGGCACTGGAGTTGGCTGCTGTCCCTGGAGCCAACCTGTTGCCAATGACTTCCTTCCTGGAGTCATCACCAGCTGGACCCGGGTGTCCTTTCAGGTGGCCCTTGTCAGCCAGGCACCTCACGTCAGCAGTATCCTGGAGGCTGCTCTACAACCCAGACTATCCCCAGCACCACGTGGACATTGCCACCCCCCCCCCACAGGGGGCTCGCTCCGTGGTTCTGCCGTGGTGGAGGCTGGCCCCAGGGGTTCCCGTGACACCCACAGCAGCCACGCCTGATCTCTGCCTCCACAGAGACCCTCAGAGGCTAAAGGGAAGAAGGGGCTGCTGAGAGAGCTGGATCAGGAGGCATCTCAGGGGTGAGGACTGCTCCAGCTCCCGAGGTCACAGCTACCCAACCCGAGGCTGCAGACGGAGCCGAGGGTGTGTGTGCCCTCTGTGCCCCTCGGGCAGTCCCATGCTGAATCCGGGAGTGCCCAGCTGGCCGCTGAAGACTGTCTGCAGCTCCCACTGCACAGGCCACCAAGTGGGCAGGAATGACCTCCGAGTGGGAAGGAGGGACCTCCGAGTGGGCATGGGTGCTGTTCTGTAGTCACTTGAGCAAAATGGAAATGAGGTTATGGAAAACAAACACCAGTCTCTTTTAAAAAGTAAAAGTAACAGGTATCCAACACAGACTCCTTGAATCACTGTGCATGAACTCGCATTCCTATTTATTGACAACCTATTGTGTGTCAGGTTCTTTGATGAAGGTGAGGGATGTTTAAATGACAGTCAGATGAACAACTGGCATGAAACATCCTGGATCCAGACTGAGACGTAGCCGTGTCCTCCCGTGTGTGTGGATTGGAGGTGGAGTGTGCCACTGAGGGTGGACGAGGTCTTAAAACATGGCACCTGTTTGGAGAGGCTCAGGGAGAAGAACCACTGATCTTTTACCCCCGCACGGGGCTAAAAGGCGCACCACAGTGCATCTTATTTGGTCAGAGAGTTCATGGGACAGGTAACCCTCCTTCCCAAACGAATGCTGTTTCCCAGTGGAGGGAGCTGGGCCCCGCAGCCTAGCTTCCACTTGTAGAAGCAACCTGATCCATGAGCCGTGGATGCCAAGGGCCCCCGCTGCCCGGAGCTGGGGACGAGCCCAGGGCCTGCAGCTTGCTAGGCTCACAATGACCACTGAGTGGCACCCCAGTCCCAGAATGCTCTTTTGTGGACCGTGAAGCCATGTCCAATCTGAGAAAGGGATCCTGAGACAAGCAGTTATCAACAGCTACCGAGGAGGTGGCTTCAGGGCCTGCGGAAGTGGGGTCTGTGTGTTTGCCACCCTTGAGCTCGATTTTTCATGGCCGTGAGATTGATCATGGCCCTTGTTGCTTGGAAACACTGGTACAGACTGGGTGTAAGAGAGTAAAACAGAAAGAAAGCTATGGTGCTGTTACACATTACTCAGGGGGCAGGGACCTTCTTACATTAGCCTTCTGCAAGATGTCAACCCTTGGGGGCAGGAGGGATCTGGTCAACAGCCGACAGCCCTCTTTGGCTAGGGAACCAGTACCTGCAGCGGCTTCTGCACTGGTTTGGTTGCTTCTTGTACAGTTTATAATTTTGTGCCGCATGTAGGTATCACACTCCAGTTCAGCCATTCCTCCTCTGAAACTAGACACGATTAGAAAAGTTCATCTGAAAGTTCAAAAGAAATACATTTAAATACTATCATCCAGTCTCTTATAAGAATCCCAATAAACAAATAAATGTGCTGCAGGTTCACTTACCAAAGTAGTAAGATGCACTTCCTGTGCGTTTTGCTTTCTCCATGATTACAAAAAAACAACAGCATTGGGGCTGGGGCTGTCGCTCAGTGGTAAAGTGCTTGCCTAGCACATGCGAGGCACTGGGTTCAATCCTCAGCACCACATAAAAATAAGTAAACATACTGTGTGTTCATCTACAACTAAATAAATATTTTTTTAAAAAAAACAGCATCATATGAGCTTTGTTTAGGAAACATAACAAATCTTCAGATAGCTTTCGAATTCTAATTTGACTGTTCTTATCCATGCCACAAAATTGAATTTAATTGTTTTTTGTTGAAGCAGAAAAAAAAAAAGCTCATTATATTATGGAATCATAAGCCGGCAGGAAATAGAGCAAATTACAAATTACTATCGTGGACAGAAAGGGGGAGCAGGAGAAGGAAGAGGAGGAGACACGCTTCTCACTTTCATGTATAAAGAGAACACAGTCTCTTTGCAAGCACAGTTAAGTTGTCACAGGAAAAGGTCCAGGCCTCCCTGGGGACAGCGGTTTCCTCCTTGCTCCTGGAGCAGTTTGGAGATGACGGGGTGTGTGCCACCACACTCAACAGAGAGCATTTATTTCTGGGTCCAGGAGGCTGGGTCTGCTCCCCTTTCCTTCCTGCACAGCAGGATGATAGAAATGGGGGCGGCTTCCAGGCCACCGTGCAGGATTCCATGACAAGGTGCACAGGTCCCCAGGGGAGGCTGGGAGAAGCGGAGCCCAGATGTGGCTCTGTGCTGAGGTCAAGCCCAGCTTACTCCAGCACCAGAAGGAGGGGAGCAAACAGACATGGAGGAGCAACTTCTCTCCGACAGCCAGGCGCTGGACAATGTGCCCCACCTGTGTGTCGTGCACAATTTTAATTTTTATGATTAAAACAGAAACTTAAACTCAAGACAACTGCTTCGTTCTTACACCCTACCTGACCATAGACTGAAATGTTGAGTTTCCATAGAGGGACTTGGCTAAGACCCGTCAATATACCAGCTTCATCAAAAACCGCAGATGACCATATCTAACGTTTGGGAGATAAAAAATTTAAGAGCAAATTAAATATTGAAAATCACAGGAGTCTTTCTGCCAAACATGAGGAACCTCCTTTCTTTCCATCATGGACATTCATTTTAATTATTTTTTATTGGTGCATCATACCTATACAGTATGGATTCATTATGCCATAATCATAGATGCACATAACATAGTTAATCCAGCTCATTCCCTGTACCTTCCCACTTCCCTGCCCCCAGATCCACTTTCCCTACGGATCTCCCTCCTCTTATTATTTCAGTTAGCACAGGACTCATTGTGCCGTATCTGTACAGGGACATCCCATAATTGGTGGATTCCTTCTTTGTCCTCTCGATCCCTGTCCCCTTGGCCTCCCTTCCTCTCAGTCTTCCCTGTAACCACTGGTACCATCAGACGTTCCTCACCATCAGTCAGGTTGCACAACCCCAGGGGAAGACGATGAGGGAAATCAGGGTCATTTCAAAGCTTCCTTATGAAAGGAAGGAGGACAGTCTTTAGCTGGACCTTGGACATACACCTGATGCCTGTCTGGTCACTACTCTTCCAACCACTTCCTCTATTCCAGAGATTCCTTCATCAAGTGGCTCCATCAACTCACTGGTCCATTTCCCCTCCTCCATCTGGAAGAAGAAACATTTTTCCGGGGGGCGGGGGGTGAATCTTTTCCTGCCCTCCTGTGGAGCAGACAGGCCAATGGTAAATAGAGCTGGCGCACAGGCATTGACTGTGACCTGGGCAGCTGAGCCCACCACCCTGGCACCTGCTGGCTACCTTCTTCACACAGGCCATGAGCCAAGAGTGGCTTTATAGAAAAACTCCCCAAACCACTTGAGCCGGCAGAAGACCAAGTCATGCGAACTGTTATTTTTCCCCAAAAATGATTCCATTCTTCTTATTAGATCTGTGTTCCCCAAATTATACCCAATTACTATTATCATTGTACTTTGAATTTCATCAGTGAAAACTGTGGAAATCTGTTTTCACTGTTGTTCTGTTCACACCAACCTGAAATCCTTCATACGAACTCTCAGCTCATAAAACCTAAAGTTCTCATCCCCCAGCACTTCACAGGACTCTGGGCCGACCTCAGCCACTCCGGGAGTTAGACTGACCTGGGAAGATTCCCTCCATATGTCGAAAGAGGAATGGTTTCCCAGGGGGTGCACCAACAGAACCCACCAACCCGAGGAGTTTGGCCTGCATTTCAATCCTAGGAAAACTTCTTTAACCAGCTCACGCACCCAGCAGCTCCTATCAGCCAAAGTCCACGGGAAAAACAGGAAACTAGAAAGGAAAATTCCTATTTAGCCAAAGCCCTGCCACTTGCGCACGGCTCAGAGGGAGCAGCTCAGGAAGTCCACAGGCCCACCTGCCCCTCTACAGGACACGGTTCCTGATAAGATTGACAATGACTTCCCTGGACAGAGAAAGGGGGCTGCTGTCAGGGCCTCTAAATACAGGGACCCAAACCTCCAGACCTCTCTGAAGCCCCCAGAGATGCCGTGAGACGGTAGCTCGGTGTGATCACGACCTTAAAGATGACCAAGAGGCTGAGAGCAGCACACACAGAAGGCCCAGGATCAGAAACGGAGAAGGGGAGAGGCTAGCCATGCACAGAATGAGCTCGGCGGCCTGTGAGTGAACTCCTGGAACTGTGATCCCCAACAGCTCGCCGAATATGACGAGATAGGAGGTATGACCTCCTACCTCTCACCCACCTCAGTCCCAGCAAGCAGGTGCCCTCCACCTGGCGACTTGGCCGAGTCTTTAAAAAAACATAACACTGCATTCATATTGGCAATGATTGTGGGGACACTGGTCAGGCCCTGACCTGTGATCACAGATGAATATTTTATAAGCAAATGAAAGGGGCACTTCAACTTGGTGGAAGGAAGGGAGGGAGGGAGGGGGAAAGGCAAAAAGAGTAAGGAGAAGAAGACAGGCAGGCCGGCGGAAACACAGCCCCGGCTCTGGAGGGAAATGGAGATGCAGCCTCCCTTCCATGGGGCGGCCAGTGCCCTCTTCTCTGGGGAGGTCCAACTTAGTCTGCATCCTATGGAGGCAGAAAGGGCCTGGGAGGAGGCTGCATGGCCCCAGGGCTGCTCCTGTCCCCAGGCTGGTCTGGTGGAGATGAGAGACCCTGTCCTCCTGTCCCACGCCGTGGCAATGACTGGTGCAGGATCCAACACGCCGACCGACTCTCACCAGTGAGACTCTGGGGGACAGGAGCAGTGTCTGCAGGCTGGGTGGAAATGGTAAAGGTGTGTCTGGGGTCACCAGCCACTTTGCCACCTTCTAGGGAGTTGGCCGAGGAATGAAGTCAGTGGAGGCAAGCCCAGCTGAGCTGGGGCAGGGCACGGAGTCAGCGGGATTCAGGCAGCTGTCGCGAAGGTGTCTAAGGTCACACTCCTAGCTGCACCCCACCCCCCGGAGCCTGTTGTTCCGTCAGTTGATACATCCCCCTTTTTGGTGCAGGTGAAATCGAGTGGCTTCTGCCATGTGCCATCCCAGGGGCCTCTGGGAAGGCCCTGGGAGTCCGTGCATATTTAGGGCAGCCGTGCGTAGCGAGTCCTCTGAACATCTTACGGTGAAGCCTGGATCTCAGGCTCTCCAACCTGTGCAGGACTGAGGGTGGGGTGACAGCCGTTTAATAAAATGTCACCATGGGTGAGGAGGAGGAAGAGGGGACCGGGCACCTAGGACCCAATACCTCCCTGTCTACTGTTCCCATCACCTGTGGCTAAGTGCAGAGGGAGGAAAACCCCAGGACAATGCCTCTGGGAGGGGAGAGAGATGACAAAGGCAGGCCTGTCCCATCTTCTTGAAACGACGGCAGGAGCAGGCACAGTCTTGCCTGTCCAGAATCCACGTCCTCGCTCTCAGGAACACCACGGCCCCAAGTCCCCGTGGATGAGGTGGATGCACAACTCAGATGTGACCTGGCCAGTTGGCGGGGTCATCTTTGGGCCATGGTGAGCATGTCCCCGTAGGTGGGATCAGAACTACTTACAGGGGACTTTGCCACCGTGGCTGGCTTTCCATAGGACCTTGGACCTGCCGGAGGGGACCTCCTGGAGAAGATCACCTGCAGAGAGGAGGTCAGAGTCAAGACAGTGAGGGACAAGAATTCCCAAGCCTGCCTCAAAGCCAGGCAGGCACCAGCCTAACTGTGCCATCGGGAGCATCCCCCGCAGTTAAATTCATTTTGGCCACTTGTTCCCAAGCAAAGAGTGGGAGCTCAGAAATGCAGTTAAACAAGACCCTGACAGAAACCTCGAATCTCAGCTGTAAAGGGTGGAGAAGACATGCTCGTGGTGCTCCTCAGGGTTTATTCTAGGATGATCTTTGTGCGTACTATTACATACTGCAGCTACATGAGGATCAATGCACCTTTTGTGGGTCAGCCTTCAGCCAATGAACAACCAAACTTCTGAGAGAAGACCTGGTCCATCTGTTAGAAAATGTCCCTGTACAAAGGAAATCGCTGACAAGAGCCTATCAGTTCTAAATACCAGAAGATTCTCCCTAATGTCCTTCCACCAAAACACGAATGAGCAAAACCTTAACTAAAACCAATTATGCTGTAGCCAAAGTTGCTGCTCTGCTTCTCAAACACTAGGCTGTCCCTATTTAAAGGGCTGGGAGATGCACGATATTCAAGACTTACCTTTTAACCATCCACAGGAAAGGTACATCAAACCTGTGCTTGGCCACAATTTTACTTTTGTTGAAAATGAAAACATGTTACTTTTAAAACTCAGAATACTTTCTAAATGATAATAGTTTCCTTAACCAGAATTTTATCAGAGATGAAACCCTAAGCTAATTTTTTTTTCCTAGGAATAATACCTTTTTAATGAGAATGGATTCTATCTGCAATCGGAAGAAGTTGTCTCTGTTAACTCCATATAATTTGTGTAAAATTTTCAGAATTTACCAAACTGTATTCTTTGGAGGTACCAACATGCATCTCTCCTTCTCTCTCTCTCTCTCTCTGTCTCTCTCTCTCTCTGACACACCACACACACACACACACACACACACAAACTTTCTCCTCCCCTCTGGCCACAGGATGGGAAACTTTGCATACCATTCCCAGTCCCAAAACTCTCAAGTCACATTAGCATATTTTAGAATGTGAGAAGTCTTGCAGTTAGAGCTATCTGCTCAAAATTGCTTAGCCCAGCATTTTCCAAAGTTAACTTTCTCAAGATTTAACTATAGCATTTCACACCCGCACCCTCAGCCCCACCTCCAAACCCCCATTCCTCAAAGCAACTTTGGGAACAGCTTGTAGAACTAGTTCCATAAAGTGAAGTTTGGGGAACTCTTTGAGTGGTTTCTATCTCCACAGATTTTGCTGTCTGAATAATATATAAGGAATTTTGAGTGACAATTGCACCCATTTGAATATATCTTCAACTGCCTCCATAATTAGAAATTTAAAATGCAAATTTCTCAAAAGCAAACTGTCTTTACCATTTAGACATGTTGCGGAGATTTATCTGATTTTGTGTATACGCCCATTACTTTCCAGTATATCTGGTGTAGGTAATGGGGTGGAAAGACTGATAAATATTGAATACAAATATGATTAATGCTCTCCAAGTTTACATATATACTGGACCTTGACAATTTTAATATGAAGATTGTACTCTGTCCTTTTAAGTTGTTATTTTTTTTAATACGTGCCTCTTGGGACCAGAGATACATAACAAAATAATGGAGACTCCTTCAATTATCGTCTGTACAAGAGGCAACCATGATTCATGTGGTGTGGGTCAGACATGAAGTATCACTGCTGACTCCGGATGTGGCACTGAGGAATGAAGAAGCCATCACCACCTCCTCCACACTCGGGAACAACCCACGTGTCCACTGCTATCTTAGACAAGCTCCTTGGCTGTGCTTTTCATCTCAACAAGCACAAAACAATAAAGCGGGTAGTTTAGAGCAGCTCAATGCTGAAGATCAGCTCCTTAGATGGTGTCCCCGAAAGGTCAGCTGATGTGGGTGCAGCTGAAAACAGACCCCTGGAAATCCTCTCGGCACCATCGGGCTGGTGAACGGGCAGGGTACAGTCAGGGTGACAGGTCCTTCACAAAGCAGCATGACCACAGCTCTCCCAGGAGCAGAGTACAGACTGCAGCCCTGAGAGACAGGTTCTGAGACAGCAGAGGACAGTCAGCCCCATGGCAAGAGCAAGTGCTGACCAGACAGGCTGGACACACCTACATTTTAGGTCTTTTTGTGCTAAATGTGATAAACTTGGTTTTTCATTGATTCTCTAAAATATTCTGAGCCTGGGCGCTAAGAAGAGCTATGTCCTCTTCTCCAAAGTGGACTGCAACTGCTGTCACCTTGCCACTTCACACAAACCTTGCTATACTGTAGTGTAATATAGCAAGGGATAGTGTACGCCAGGATCAAACCCAGGGCCTCCCCCGCGCGAGGTCCAGCTGCACTCCCAGCCCTCGGCTCCGGTGCAGCATTTCTCCAGCGAGCTGTGGTGCGCTACTGAGTCAAAGTGATTATGACATCATAGGAAAACAGCTGCCACTTACTGAGCATCGCCTACCTGCTGCCCGGCAAACCTTCTAGTGCGGCAACGTGGTCTTCACGAGAGCACTGAGCAGCGCTGCTGTTACTGTCTCCAGTGAGCAGATCAAACACGGAGACGCAGGGAGGCTGAGACGCACAAGCTGAAAACCCCACAGGCAGAAACAGGCAAAGGCTCAGATCTGGATGCTAGCTGGGAGCCCCGCTTGGCCATTTTGTGGATTTTTATTTTTTATTTTCTGGTACGGGGTTCAATCCCCAGCCACTTCCCGAGTTACGGGGATTACAGGTGTGCACCATGACGCCCGGCAGATATATTTTTTAAAAAAGTGAATTGGGCCTTAAGATAAACTTTAAGAAATGTAAGTCTGAGGACGTGAAATGAAGTCATGCAGGTCGCAGTGAACCTCTGGCAAGCAGGTGACCCACCACTGTGACGTGTGTGTGTGTGTGTGTGTATGTGTACAGCTGCCGACTGGGTCTGCAGGCCTCTGGGTGAGTGTGAACAGGCAGACCATGGGCACAGACATGGGGCAGGAGCAGCCGAGTCCCCTCCTGAGATGAAAAGCCCCACTTCCAACTTACCTGCTCTTGATTTCTCCCCGAAAATTCCCTTGTTCGTGTAGGAGATCTTCCTATTTTTTTTACACGATTTTAAGACATCACACAGTCATATTTCTATGGGAAATATAAATAATTCAAATAACTCTGAAAAAGAAAGGCTTCAATTATTGTATATTATAATTTGAGGGGGGAAAAAATCAAACTTGAGCAAAAGCTGACAGTCAGATCAGAGGCATTGCAGGAAGTTTCTTGCTCATTTTCTCCAGAGGTTAAGCCAGAATATTTTTTTAAAAGGGCAGAAGTTTAAGGTCTAGCTAGGGAATAAAGACGTGTTTTGTCTGACACTTCCCAATTCAAATCCAACATTTATCAAATGATCCTTAAGTACTGTATTTAAAAAAAAAAAAACCAGTCAGGAGCTGGCAGACTGGGTATATTAAGCTTTCATTATTGTAAATTTGTATTTTAAAAACCCAATATCTTTTCTGTAAATATGCAAGGAATTCTCTGACAATTTCTCTTTTTGTGAAGCCACCTCTCTCTGAAAACATTTTAAATAAAACCCTTATATCTAAAATGGATTCTTGGCATTTGGGAGTTCAAAAATCTCCCCCAAATTCAGAGGGGGGGATAAAGCTGCATAATTATAGTTCACTTAAGTGCAAGTTATAAAGTAATCAGAAATGATTCTAACCAAAAAGTAACATCTTAGAGTGGCATTTAAAACCAGAAAAAAAAAAGGGACGATTGGCATTTTGAACATTTTCTGGCAATTTGTTATTCATTAACTCAAAGAAAAAATGTGCACGCTTTTTTTTTTTAATGAGGCAAACAATGCTGAAAATTAGCATGAACGACCGGCCACTGCTTTGTGAAAAACCATATGCTTTAATGAGGCTATCAAGAACAACAGCTCGATTATTTCATTGGATACATTAATATCAATCCATAAGATACAGTGCTATGGACCATACAGAACTATTGCTGCACACAACAGCAGTGATAATTATTAACATTACAGTACCAAGCGTCCGCAAGAGACAGTCATTTGTCGTTTTTTTTTTTTTTATTTTTTATCAAGAAATAGGGTTTCTTTATACTGTTATCAACATCAATCTTTCCCCAGTGCATTTTACAAAAATATTAGTAAGTGCATTCCTTGTGCTTTATTGGATATCTTTTAGCGTCCTACGTGTTTTATTTGTTCTTATTGCTTTACTGTTCGGAAACAACCAGAAAGAACTTGGTCATCCTCTCCAGAGGACCAGGTTGGTTGTTTCAGCTTTTGGCAAAGACAGAAGGTTTGGTATTTCCACTGCCCCACGACCACGGGCAGGGGGACAGTTTTGGTGTTTTGGTCACTCCAAATGGAGGCCCAACCCTGAGTCACAGTTCCGCACCCAGGGATGGGGGGGAGTGGCGTGGATCATCCTCCTGTTGAAACCAAGAGCCCCAAACCACTGCCTCTTGGCTTGGCTAGTCCCTAAAGCGAACTCACACTCTGTTTGGCAAAAAAGAAAGAAAGAAAACCAGCCGGCTGCAGCGTTCCTCTGGGTTCGCCCCCCTGTGCTCCCAGAAATGCCCCTTAAGCAGGAAAGAGGAGGCAGGAGCAGGAGGTGGCGAACTGGGGCCCTGCTGCAGCCGGAGGTGCAGGATGCCAGGCTTTCTCTCAGAGGCTTTCGGCTCTGCCACGGCCACGGTCCCTGGGCGTGGGTCAGCCAGCCTCGCTGCATCGTTAAGAGCCCCCCAGATCAGCTCAGGAGAAGTAGCTCGTTGCTTTGCAACCTTCAGCTCTTGCTCCCAGCCCCTCCCCCCGTATAAATATGAAGAGAACAGCAGACAACGCTACGATTGTTGTCCGAGCACTACGGCACAGGAGCTCTTCATGCAGATCATCACTACTCTAGGAAAAGGCGACACAATCCAGAGGGCTGAAAGAATGGGAGCCACGCGTCCCGGCCCCCTTCAGTAATAAAGCTATAAAACTGAGAGCATCATCAACGTCTTCAAGGGTCTTCTCGGTGGCCGGTGGCCAGCGGCCAGCGTGCACGGGGACGGAGAGGTGGGCTCTCCTCCCTAAGCCATCGTCCACACACCCGGCGATCGCGTTCTCTGATCCCTCCGTCCCGTCACCAATTCATATTTGACATTGAAACACTTTTTTTTTTTAAAAAAAAGAAGACCCCCTTGAATAAGGTTTCCTGATGAAATAGGTTGGCACTCTGTCACTAAAGTCTATTTCAGGTTACAAAGATCTGAAGGAAACTGGAAGCTCTTCCGCTGTCTTCAGAGGCACCGTGCCACAAGACCCTCTTCACTCCGGATGCCGTCTTGGAAGGGTCCTCCCGGTCACAGTTCAGTCAGTGCTAGTCCAGAGCAGACGACGCTGTGTGTAAGGCACTTCATTCTGAATGGATATGCTTTGCGCCACGGGCTCTTCAACTGCAGGCTGCTTCTGAGAAAGGCCCCTGGCAGCCTGGCTGCATCTGAGTGTCACTGCATAAGACATCTAGGCTGGATAGATGTAACACTACTGTCATTGCATAGGGCTACACAAGTAGGTAATGCACGGAAACTAACTTTACATGGCTGCTTGTTAAAACATTGTTATTGAGTAACAGTAACTTGCCGATACAGTATTTCTCTCTTTTAAAAAATCCAGCATGTTCGCTGAAATAAACCCCAATTTAAAGGACCACAAAGGGCATAGTAACTCTATGGTTATCAGTCTCCAAGAATATTGCTACTTTATATCCTAAAAATAAATACATAGGTTTATGTTTTTTTTTCTAGAAAGCCTGGTTTTAACCTATTAATACTCTATCTTAAATGTGTTGAAAAACAGTTTTGAGTGAGCCTATAATATACAAAATATTTGCAAAGCTCTCTTTAAACACAAGACCTTGCATAAAATTTTTCTTTCCTGGGTGTACAAAGAATGCAGAAAACCACCAAAGAGTTGTAAAAATACTGAAAACTCGTCGTCTTCAGATGCAGATTCTTACAAATTAATACAAACATCGAAAAGAACGATGATAACAAAGAGTCTGTACAAATCAAATGACTAAAACATAATTTAAAAATAAAAATAGTAAAGCCAATTAGAAATGTGCCCAGTTCGGTTGTCTTATCAAAAGCAAAAAAATAAAAAATAAAAACCAAAACGAAGGAAAAAGAGAGAGAGAAAATAAGTACAACACACTTTCAGTGCTCCTCAACAATGGACTTTGAGAGGACATTCATTTCCATTTCAAAATGAAACGCATCCGATGACAAAGCTGGGGTTGCGCTTATTAATTCATGAAGGAAGAAAGCTGCGTCTGCAAGGTGAGGAGGAGTGGGTGGCAGCTCTCCAGAGGCCCTTCTCCCACCTTGCGATCTGGGTTGGTGTCAGTTCCACTTGCTAACTGACAACCCTCAGGAAAATGACTGCTGTGAATTTTGTTTCATTTTGTTTTGATTTTTTTTTTTTTTTTTTTTTGGTCTTTTGCAGACTACACTAGTTAGTTCCTTAAATAGTTTGCAGAACAAAGGCTGAAGGGTGCTCCCAGGTACTGTGTCTTTAAGGCAGTACCAATGAATCAGTACATTTATAAAAGGGAGAAGGGTTAGGATGCACATCTTTCTTTTTTTTTCTTCATGTATTTTTTTTTGGTTGCTTTACATTCGTTCAATTAAATTCTACATTGAATTGCCAAGGAAGTCACAGGCATGAAAACCTCAAATCAAGTTTCCCCTGAATTAGGATGGACAGACGCAGCCCCCACAGGCACCTCCGGGCTGGGGGGTGGGGCGTCGGCCAGAGCTCAGTTCACAGATCCTGCACACACGCGCTGTACGACACTTTGGAGGCATTTGGAGTTGTAAAATAGAATATACAAGTCCGTTTCACAAAATTCTAAAAATAAAATATATCCTGGGCTATCAATAAAGCATGGAAAAAATTCATATTAAAGGAAAATTATCAAGAAAACCCCTTCCGGGGAATGCCGAGTGTCCCAGTCAGGGAGGGGGCCGTCTGAGGACACGGTGGCAGGTGCGCTAACACGCCAGCTCGGCCTCCTCCATACTCATGCTGCTCCTCCGGCTGCTGGCCTTGGAGGCTCCCGGGGACACGGAGGACAGGAGTGGGTCAGTCACTCCGGCAGGAGAGAGGGTGTCGTCCATCAGGATGTCTTCCAGCTTGGACCCCATCTTCGCGGGGACGCTGTAGGCCTGGGCACCCTCGGCCGCGGGCCCCAGGCTGCTGCTGAAGGCCAGGGTGCCGTCTGTGAGGTCCAGGCTGGTGCACGCCAGCTCTGCCTGGTGCTGCAGGAGGTCCTGGCTGCAGTTCTCCAGTACCGGCTCTTGCTTGATGATCCGGTTCACCAGATCCGGGGAGCAGAGACCCGTGGATGGAATGAGGGAGAGTCCGTGAGCCCGGGCCTGCATCTCGAGTTCCTATAAGAAGAGTCCACATCACACACTGGCACAGGGGGCGTGGGGAGGACGCTCAGGGCAGGGAACCACTCCCTATGGCTCTGCGAACGCAGACCCAGGTCAGTACACACGGGGAGACCCAGGGAACGCACGTCACCAAGAGTGAAGGTGCGCTTAGGAGGGTGAGGAAATGCCCAAGTAAGTCCTCCACTCTGGGGTGCTGCCGTGGGGGAGGCTGTGCGGGTGTGGAGAGGGCATCTGGACCCTCTCTTTGGCTCCCCCTTATTTTCTCTGTGAAGCTAAGACTCCTCTAAAAAAATAAAGTCTATTAAAATGAGACAGAGGGAAAACAATAAGTTTCCAAAGTGAAAGTTTGTTTGCTCTTTAAAATTAATAAACTCTGCATTTCCTAGAGTACCGGTAACCACCAGTCGTATATGAAACGACTTTTTAGGTGGCAGATGGACTTAATTATGTATTAAAAACAGACTTTCAGAGACATTAATGTTGACAATGAGGATAAGCTAAAAGTATAAAAATAAAACTTTAACATGTGACCTGATGAAAAGAATGTATTAAGTAAATGGTCATAGAATTTCACGGTCCCTAGGTCACGCACCGAGGGACCCAGGGAGCTGCAGGGAGCACAGGGAGCTGGACATAGTTCAAGATTTCAAGGGAAACGGTGAGACCACCAAGAACTGCCAAACTCAAGATGGTTCTCAGCCTCGTGTGAGTCATGACACACACTCAGTCTCTCGTCCCAGCACTGAAAGTGGCTTCACAGTGCTACTGTGACGAGGACGCATGCAGGTCAATGTGCAATGGGAGGCCAGGGGTGGCCACTGCAGAGTCCACAAGCCTGGTGCTGCCCAGCGGGACACATCTCATCGGTAAGCGCTGTGATGATTTAAGAATAAAACTAAAATGATGTTTTCCTTTCGATCTTTATGATTTTTGTTTTCCAAATGTCTACCAAGAGGTTAAGACCTAAATACTCCATGAGTTGTTTGGACCTAACAGAAAAGGAAGGGATTTCCGTGGGCCTGGGGATGAAGTGAGGGCCACACAGACACTGACGGCACCAGGAGTGGCAGTGTCTAGAGGTGACGGCCCAGGCTGAGTAGGTTCCCGTGGGTAGCGGAAGGCTGCAGAGCTTGGCCCAGCCAGCCTCACCACAGCAGGCCAGGGGACATTGTTTCTTCTGAATTCAACAACTCGGTTGAATTCAACACCTATGAAATGAAGAATTGCTTCCTACACTTTCTTCATGTACTTCTGATGAGCTAATGCGCATCCCCAATTCACAGGCTGAGGTCCCAGCCCCAGGACTGACACACGACTCCTGAGAGACAGAGGTCACTAAGCTAAAGGAGGTCAAGTGGGACAGACCAGACCCCAGACACCATTGGGACCAGAAATAAGGGAGAAGGTGCCACATGCAGGCCAAGGAGGGGGTCTCAGAAGAAACCAGTCTGGTGCTGCCCTGATCTTGGACACGTGGCCTGCAGAACAGAGATAGTAACTGTCCATGGCTTGGGCCACCCAGCATAGCATTAGCTGTCTATTTCCCAATGTCAGAGACGCCCCAGGACCTCAACCCCAAATAGCCTTGGAGCAAGCCTTTGCCCCTTCCTTTTTGGGAGGCTCCTAAAGCAAACCATAGGGACCCAAATGGCGTCCAGTAAGCAGTCAGCTTCTGCGTGCAGTGGCTGTCCCGTGCCCCAATGCCACAATGAAGAAACACAGGATGTGCGTTAAAAGCAAGCCGGCTGGCCCCCCAGAGGGGGTCCAGGTTATCCACAGGACCTGGCCCCTCGACCTCTGCCCGTGAGCTAGAATCCATGTGCCTGGGAAGCCAGGTTCAGCTATGTTGGGACCAGAGGGTCTTCTGGGCCTCCTTGAAACCGCGCACGGAGGGGACCAGAGCTTGGGATGTCACTTGAGTGCCTGCATGCTCCTTTACAGACTCTGGGAGCACGAGCCTCTCCAGGCTTCCTGTTAAGGCCCTGGGCTGTTTAATAAAAGCAGTTCCTCTGATAATGAGGCTTCCTGCTCCTTCTCCTGTGAAGATTTTTGCATGCATCGCTTGGGATGAAAATGAAAGGAAGACCTCAGGCCCAAGCGGAAACTGCTCTTGAGTCTCATGCCCACAGGAGACCAGCAGCACCTCCTACCAGCCTGTGTCTTTCCAAAAAACCACACCAGTCAACAAAATCAGACCAAGAGAAGCAAACGCCTTACTGCACACCTTTGCTGTTTAATTAAAAATGTTTATCAGCTGATGAAAGCAGTTACTCAGATTTCCAAATAAGGTGGAAAATCTCTTCTGAGCACTCTGGCCTCACAAATTGCAGAGGTTTCCAGATTAATAGCATTTCCTGCAACATCGTGAAGTTGTAAAGGTGGCCCACAGTCACTGAGAGAAAACCCAGGCACCGTCACCATGGAATTTCCAACGCACCTGTGGCACTGCGTGATATTTTTGTATGAATACATATCTTTGGAACCTTGAAATAAAACAAAACTTGATTTCTCTTCCAAAACCGTCATCACATTTTACAACTTGTTTAAGGAAATGACGCATCAGGATAAGCTGCTTTTGTAAGTAGGTCTACTCAGTAGGTACAGGGACCCGTTGGAGGGGCGAGACGTAAGACCAGCAGTGATAACCAAAGCAGGCGAAGAAGGGAAGATGATTTCCAAAGGACCCACAACCTGCAGGGCACCTGGATTCTAAAACCGGACCCTGGAGGAGAGCCCCCTCCACTTGCCGTCCCCACGCCAAGGACCTTGGCAGCCAATGGGAGAGCGGCACCTCATACCAATGTGGTGCGCTCCGAGGGTGGGGAAGTGGGACGTCCAGGAGGGACACCACAAGGACCATGGTGGCTCTAAGGGGGCATGCTGCAGGTGGCTGTCCCCTAAGTCACTCCCAGAGGAGCTGCAGTGGAATCCAAGCAGATGACGAGAGGAGACCACGACTCAGGGAGAAGACCCAGCGTCCCAGGCTCTCACCGTGGAGCAGGCCAAGGAGGCAAGCAAGTTAACCGCCCCCGAGCTTCACTTTGGTCTTTGGTCATCGACAGAGCTTGAGGACAGTCACGGGAAGCTGTGCCTGACCCTGAGCAGGAGAGGCCAGTACCTGCGAGGAGTCCCAGAGCCAGCCCTAAACAAGGTCCACAGCCATGTCCCTCCTGCTGTGCTGCAGGCACTCCCGGGGTGGGACAGTGGTCAGAGGCACACCTCTAAGACTGCATCTGCTTCCTTAAGCTCTTCCACACGGCACAGAGCCACAGTCTCTAAGATCTGTGTCCTTATTATTAGACCCTCTGGTATCCCAGGTCCTTAAAATATGGGGACTGCTCCTACCACCAAGAAGTACTGGGCACCCTTTATGTAGCAGGCACAGTCAGTGCTCATTGTTTCTGGCAAGTCCATTCTGCAGAGTCCTACAAACACGGAAGGAGCGAATGTGGGACCATTGTCCCTGCGGGAAGGGCGGGGTTAGGCTCTGCCCGTCACAACACCTGCAACCTACAGGGTCTTGGCTTCTGCGTGTCTCTGATTCGAGACACATGCCTCTAAAACACACAGTAGGTTCCTTAATACTGGGCTCAGACCACACACCGAAACTCAGGCCTGGAGGGAGTGAATCTGATCCCTGCGCACGCCACAGGGACAACGCTGGAGGGCACTTCTGCACTGCACCCGGGGATGCTCCAAATGGCAAAACCAACAAGAATGAAAACCAGAAAAACGTGAAACCTGTGATGCTCCACGGGCCACAGTAAGTGGGTGACAGTGTGGGAGCTGAAACCAGAGGGCAGGGCCTGGACCTCCACCAAGATCCAGCACAAGGGGCCGCTCCAAACCACCGCTCCCCACGTGTCCAAGAACAACCGCGGAAGCCATGGTGATGCTGGGGGACCAGTGCGCTTTGTAAGCAGGGAAATGCATGAATGCGGGACGCAGGACTGGAGCAGCCTCCCCGGGCGCCTCCTCCCCCAGCGGCAGCCCGGGCCACCTGCCCTACCTGGATTCGCAGCAGCAGGTGCCGGTTGGCGTGCTCCAGCTTCTTCTGCCGGCTCTCCAGCTCCTTGGCGCGCTGCTGCTCCCGCTGCAGCTTCCGGATGTAGTCCACGGATGCCTTCAGGATGGTTCCCTTGTTCCAGCGCATGTCTCTGCGAGGAAGAGGGGACAAAGCAGACCTCGTCAGGCAGCCAGGCTCCGTGAAAAAGCCAACATCGAAAGCGTTTGGCATCTTCAGACGTCATCACCAACGCACATCAGCAATGGCGACCTTCCACAAGGAAACTGCACATGCCGGATGCTTCCACGGCCTGTGTGCATTGTCCCATTCCTTGCAGACACACATCAAGGACAGTAGGGACATGGGACAAATGTGGGAACAGATGACTCGGCTTGTCCTAGTCTCAGAGCCACCAGACAAGGGCGGCGAGACTTACACGGAGGTCTGTTGCGTACCGGGTCGACACTCTCAAACCCGACATTAATGGCCACAGGCCTCTAGGACCATGAAGTCACTCCCTTGGGCAGAAGAGCCACCGTTAAAAATGACACGACTCTGTGGGGTGGTATGGTTGATGACTGTGGCATAAGTGGGGTGTCCTCAGAGCTTATGGAAAATTATCCTGCCACCTGATGCTCTCAGCACCCCTCTTCTCATGTTCCAAGTGACAGCACCCCATGTGTCTGAGTGGCCTCCTGGCTACACTGTTGGAATCACAACAGGCACTTCACATCGAGTGCTCTGAGAAGTCCAGATCCCACATGGGGTAACACAGCAGCCCTGTGAGAGCCCAGCACAGCACCTAGAGTCTTCTCAGAGCGGGACCCTGCCGGGGACTTTCTCAAGTGTTCACTGTCCTTCTGTCAGGACCTTCTTGATGGAGAGGTGGAAATGTGCCGTCTCACTGGCTGGAAACTGAAGCCCAGGGGCTGAGAAATGTCTCCACGGCCTCAGACCCCGGCTCAGACCCCTGCTCAACCTGGACTTCACTGTTCAGACCATGGAGGGATACACAGGGGCCCCTTTCCTGCCAAAACGGAAAGTGAATCCCGAGAAGGAAGGAACTTCTCCAAGTTCAGACACCTGCTAGGACGCCACCCACCGGGAATCCCCACCAAGGCAGCCAGAGCAGGGGCCTCTCAGGGCTCAGTCAGCTGGCTCTGCTGGACTGACAATGAGGAAATCAGGGCACTCAGATGTAGGTGAACACACTGAATTTTTAAATCACTCCAGAAAAAAACACAGAATGATCTACACCTATGTAAATACTACTTCTACATGACTTGAAATTAACCTGAAGTCTTTTAGATTTTATGTATTGTCATCATAACGATGCCAATCGTGAATGGTGAGATGAGTCATCCCCTGGGATGCGTGGAGAACCACCTACCCCACCTCCTGCAGCTGCTAAGGGCAGGTGGGAAGCACCAGGTGGGACAGGAGGGTGGCCCATTAAACAAGCCACTCAGTAATAGATCCTCACATGTCCCAGACGAAGAACAAAACAGAAGTTCTCCCATGAGAACCACAACTGGAGCTTCAGAGAATTCCCTGGGGTGGACCCTGGGGTCTCAAAGATGGCAAACTAGGTGTCCTGAGAGACCCTGAGTGAGCCCAGAGACTCCTGCTCAGGCTAAAACCAAAGTCACAGGAACTTGAGCACCAGCGAGACGTGATCAGGGTGGAATGGTGCCTCCTGGGCCAGGAGATGAGCTTTGGACCTTTCAAACAGAACTGCCACTCCATGTTTAAGAAGTACTGATTCCAACCAATTAGCCGGGGGTTACCCCCTGTGATACCAATCAACCAACTATGTCTCTGGGCTTAAAGGAAGGGTTTCCAACCTCTTGGTCATCAGAGAGAAATCCCTTTTCATCCGAAAGTGCACATAGATCTTCAGTAGAGAAAACTGACCCAAACTGAGCTGCTCTGGGGGACAGAGGGCACCGCAAGGGGCTGGGACACTGATCAGGTAGGACGTCTCCATAGCGGCCCCAGAGGACATCCTGGAATCCTGAGATGGGAAACCCGGGTTATAGGGGTCAGCGTCCGATTTCTCTTAAAACAATGCTGACCACCAAGGACCCCTATCTGCTCAGATTATAAACACCCAAGTTTTCTCCCACAGTGGAGAAGGAAGATATGCAAATACAGGACTTTCACTGCCGCCCCATAATTTCATAAGACGTTACTAAAGAGATTCACATGCTACGGTTTCAAAGAATATGCTAAAAAGTGAGAGCTGATAAAGAACAGGAAAATGGGAATTCAATTTCAACCACCATGCAAGACTGACTGTCAGAAATGAAGGTCACAGCCCTTTAGTACGATAGATTTGTGCCGCCAAACTGAGAATTGGAACATTTCCAGTTTGAAAATGTCTTTCCTGGAAACCTAAGAAAGCAGAGAGTGCAAGGTGGACACCGTGCCGGCACGTCCGTCCAAGTCACAAGAGGTAACAGTTTTATTTAGCTACCAAGTCCCCGACAATCATGTGAATAGCCTATGTAATAAGCCTGGCATGAACGATACTTGATTGCCTCTTTACCTTTTATTAGGTAGCTGAAAGGTCATATTCGAAGGATGGTTTCACAGAGTGCATGTGGGGGCCTTAAAACGTATACATGGCTCGGCCCCTTACTTCAAATGGGCCGGTTTCTAATGGATAAAAATTGTGTATTTGTTGTTGTATTTGCTGATGCTGCAGGTTGGCTGTAAGACTTGGGAGAATTATCTTCACAGCTGTTATCTCTGAGAGGGGGACCCCAGGCTAAAGCAGCTCAAATTAGCTGACTTGTACTTAATAAGAAGATTTAAAAGGACTCTTTTTTCCCCTAGATTGGTAAAACATACAAAGAATATGCAGGTTTTCATTAAAAAAAAAAAGTTGACCTTTTATCTGTTGAATGCCACTGAACCTGAAATTTCCCGTATCTGCTCATCAGTGCCCATTTGGAGATATCGTAAATGTCCAAGAGCACATCGACCACAAATCTTGCTTTATCGGCTATTGAAATCTTGTACTGCATGACTGCTAAATTTCTTTTTTTTCTTTCTTTTTCTTTCTCAGTAGCTCAGAATGTGTCTGCAAGGATTCTCAGGCTTCAGAAAGCCCAATTCCTGACCCACAAAACTCAGTGCATTTCTCTTGAAATTTTAGAGTGTTGGAATTAACCCAAACAAAGGCAAGTATTTAGAAAGGGAACCAAAGGAAGAGAGGAGACCGGGTTACTCTAGGTTTTCTAAATGCATTTTTTTTTTTGCCACACACGAGAAAACATGAAGGTACAAAAAAATATATGATGCAGATCAACATGCAATTGTACTCACGGATCATTTGACTTGGGAATCAAAGTACCTAGTTCTTTAATGCGGTCGTTTATGTTAAATCTTCTTCTTCGTTCAACTTGAAGAAAAGAGCACAGGAAAGGGTGATTAGGAAGAGCACCACAGATGCATGCAGCACGTCTTGTTAAAGCTATGAGCACATTAACCCCCCAGGTTGGGACCATGTAACCCCAAACCCATGTCCCCCTGTCCTTACCATGTCTGGGGCACTGAGACTGAAGCACTTTTAAAACGAGCTCCTTGTATACAGAGCTCTATCAGACATACAATTTCTCATTTTACCCTATAACAACCTTGAAATCAGAATCACTGCCCATGGTTACCAGGGACAAAACCTCCCTGGAGATGTCAGGGGCTTGGAGAGGGCGGCCAGTCGGGAGCAGGGAACTGTCTAACTACAAGCTGCCTCCAGGGAGCAGGGCTCGGCATGCTCACAGCACCACACAGGGAGGTCCTGCTTCCCGGGACCCAAACTGTGTGGGTACTTCCATGGCTAATGGGAAAATGAATTCCCACAATTTTCTACTGACAAAAATCAAAATAGAATCCACTGAGTACAATTTTTACACTGCAAGGCTACTAAGCAAAAGCATTAGAATTACTTGCGACGGGGAAATTGGAATCGTATGTGATTTTCACATACCATGAATATCACTCTTCTTCTGATTTCCTTTTAACAACTTAAACATGTAAAAAATCATTCTTAGCTCATGGAGCATAGCCCTTTCTCTAGTAGCCTCATTAAAGTAGTTCAAAACAAAGAGGTAAAATTAATTATAATATTTTACTTAACCCACTACAAACTACCATAATAACGACAGGGAGTCAATATAAAACTTTGTAAGTTATTTTCTTTCTTTTCTTTTCCTTCTCTTTTTCTTTTTAGTACTAGGGTATAACCCAGGGGCTTTTAACCACTGATCTACCTCCCCAGTATTTTTTGTTTTTGAGACAGGGTCTCACTAAATCACCAAGGCTGACCTTGAACTTGGTCATCCTCCTGCCTCAGCCTCCCGTGTCACTGGGATCACCCAGCTTCGTCCAAGTGTATTTTATAATTAAAGCTCGGCACAGTCTGGACTGATCACATTTCAAGTGTTCAGTAAGCACGGTGGTGAATCACCACACACCAGAGGGCACGGCCCTGGAACTGAAGCCCAGCACTGCTAACCATGGCATGCTTGGTAATGTGTTCTTCCCCCAAGCCCCTAGTTGCATACTCAATTAATCTGTCTCCTTGGGCAGGAGGGTGACATAGCAGGGCATATGAGGTAGCAAATGTTTCTAACTAGTGCCTGTTGGGTCAAATGGAAACACAGAGCCTGTCCCTGGGATTCAAGAACCTGCCCCCCCCCATCATTTTCTTTTCGGGGCGGGGGGGGATACTGAGGATTGAACTCAGGGGCACTTGACCACTGAGCCACATTTCCAGGCCTATTTTCTATTTTATTTAGAGACAGGGTCTCACTAAGTTGCTTAGCACTTCACTTTTGCTGAGGCTGGTTTTGAACTTGTGATCCTCCTGCCTCAGCCTCCTGAGCCGCTGGGATTGCAGGTGTGTGCCACTGCACCCAGCTTCCACCATTTCTTATAAGGAGGAAGTGTTAATTTATGGCTCATGTTCTTAAAAATCAGCTTAGGAAGCAGAGGTGTGATGTTATGAGATGAGAAGTTCACCTACACTCCCTCCTGCACCCAAGGCCACACCACATTTTTCCTCGGCCACCGCCCTCACATGCACGTATCAAACAGGAATTTAAGTTTTCAGAAGAAAAGGTCTAAAGATTTAATGGAGAGTCAATTAGACACACAAAGGCACTGTGCATGTTCCAGGACTTCTCAAAGTCACAGGTACAGTGGGAAGTTGGGGAGGCGACCTCCCCCAGGGGCCCCCAGAGCTCTTTCTTTTCCATTTCTCTCTCATCTCCCTGGAGAAGGAGGTCCCAGCTCCCCACTTGTAATAATAAGTTCCAGTGTGAGCATCACTTATAATGGGGTACTTGGGGATCAATTTCCCCTCTTGCAAAAAAGAAAAAAAAAACACTACCTCAAACATCCACAGAAAAACAAACTCTTTGGAAACTAAATGCGAGAATAAATGTGGAATTCAGTTTGGCCTGAGATGAAACACAAACCCTGGTTTCTCTGAGATACGGTTTTCCCCATGGCTTTGACAGCTCCAGAAATCAATGATCGTGCACAATTTCCGGCAAGGTTCCGACGAGGGACGCGCGGCCAGCTCCAACGTGAAGCAACGTGAAGGGAAATGGCTACTTACTCAGGTTGTGATTGTCCTTCTTCTGCCTCTCCTTGGCCAGGGCTCTCGCTTCAGACTCTGTGGGGAAAATACACGCTGTGCACGTGAATGAAGTTGTTAGAAACTGGAACTGTCCGGGGCACCACGACGCACCTACACAACATCTCGTTTTCTACACACACACACAGAGAAGCTTGGCTGACTGCACTCCGAGTACGATCACGCTTTCTAAAATGAGGGCTTTAAAAGAGTCTGCACTTTTTCGGATCACTGTGGATCTGATTCACACAAAAACTCAGCCTCCACCAATGGGTACCGGGACAGTAACAATGGTCCCCGGGGTGCTGCCCACGTGTTCCAGTGTTAGTGGGAGTAAAAATAAAGGACCGGGAATCTGCTGTTGGAATTCCATCATCAGGAGTCAAGTTTTCTTTTCAGGCCAAATCATTTTCTGGTTTTTGATTTGCTGCCCTTGTAACCCCCTGGCATGGAAACTGAGTCAAGAAGCTCCCAGGCCGGACCTCCACGACCTCCCAGGGGTTTCTCAGTGGACATACACTGGGAACTTAGAGCCAGGTTCTGTCAGAATGTGCCAAAACAGAATCGCTCACTGACTCTTGGGAGCAACTATTCACCAGTTTGAGTCTCTAAAATGTACACAGGGAAGGGGCCAGGAGGCATCGGGTGGCAACCGCATTTAGGAAGTTCTACTTGCACACTCCGGCGAGGCCTCTGAGCTAGGAGCTGGCCTTTCGCCTCACACCCAAATCATCAAAACCAAACCCTCTGTTTGACCCATCGGGACCTCAGAGAGCTCAGTCTGCTCTGAGGAAGGGTGAAACAGTTCATCACCAGTTTGTCCTTTACCTGGAGACAGCAAGACCTTGAGGTGCACCCACACGTTTACCTCGTTATTAACGCATGTGTGGGGTCCGTGCTGTCCCAACACGTGGGGAACTCAGCTGACAAAACGCTGTGTGCATGACAGAGGTCCGGGAGGCTGTTTCTGAGTGACACTGCAGGTGTCTGTCACAGTGCACCATGATGTCACAGGGGTGCCTCCCCATGTGTCCCTGTGTGCCGACTCCTGTGGGCCTCTGTGCACATGCGCAGATATAATGCAGAGGCTGACTCTTTAGACTGGGAGGGTGGACCTAGCCACTGAAACCGGCCTGGTCACATGAAAACTGAGTCAACAAGCTCCCATGCTGGACCTTCGCTGCCTGGAGGAATGGGGGGTGGCTTTTACTCCATGCCCCTCTTCAAGAGCCCCGAGGGCTTCTGTTGTTCTTTCTGCTCTTGCCTCCTGCTGGGGTTCTTACTGGGTTTGGGGCTTTGGATAGTTTTATTCATTAATTATTTCAATTGAAACCCCAATTAGTGATTTTTTTTTAAAACCTTTCTTCAGCCAGTTTTTTGAAATGCTTTTTTTTGAAAGACACGATCCCACAGGATAGGGATTTTCTGCCCCAAGTCCGCATCCCCACTCTTCGTTCATCACCCCACTGGCAGTAGGCTGGGAACGTGGGGTGGAAACGGGCGGAGCAGGGCCAGCCTCACCAGGGCAGAAGGCCAGCTCTAAGCACCTCCTGCCTCGGTTCCCCTGAAAGTGGCAACTGGTAATTTCACATCTGCCCCAAGGACAACCAACCTAATGGCTCCATTTTATGATCTACTCTCCCCCCACCGTGTAATAAACCTTTTTCACGTGATCCAGCAGAAAAGACCACGTGGCATCTGAAGATGTGAGAAATACGCAGTTGGCACAGCCCACCCGAGGGCTCCAGGTGAGTCAAGGAGATGCAGAGCAGGGTTCCCAAACTCAGCACCACCAGGGCCTTGGCAAGGGATGTAACTGCCAGGTAGGGCACAGAGGTCTGCAGGGGAAGCGCTGCCTGCCCCCCTGACCCAAGGGGCACGCACGTGCAGACCATGACCAGTGCCTGGCAACAACCGTGTCCCCATCCCCAGTATCTCAGGAACCCCTGGAAACCGGGAGGGCCATGTATGAATCCTCCATCTTAAAATATCACACCACATTTTAACGACTTCAGAGACCCCAAGAAACAGCTTCATGGGTCACACACGGTGGTCTAGACATTACTGCACTGGTCCCCGTGCCTGGCGAGGAGGGCAACAAGAAGCCCCCATAAGATGCCCACCCACTGGGCACGCGTACCTGTGAGCTCCCGTTTGATGTTGGGGAGGTTGGCAGGACAGGAGTTGCTGATGGTGAGGCCGGGGGGTGGCAGGCCTTGGCTGCCGTAAAGGTCGATCAAGTTTCCAGAGACGGGTAACTGGACAGAGAAACAAGGACACACGTAAACCCTTGAGCAATGACCAAGTGTTTCAGATAAAATTCACGTCCTGTTTTAGGCTTTACTTAAGGAAAATGATGGAAGGAGGGAAGGAAGGAGGGAGGGAGGGAGGGAGGGAGGGAGGGAGGGAGGGGAAAAAGGCAAAACATTTTCTTTCAAACAGGAAATACGACATAAGTATTTTTCTTCCCTCACAGGTATTAGTTACAAAGAGGAAGACGAAGGGGCAGTTTCACACCACAGAAGGTGAGCTGCCTCTCTGGTGGCTTTATTTGGAGCCTGAAGACACTGGGGAGGTGGCACACAGATTCTCTGGCACAGCAGGCCACATGCAGGTGCAGAGGGAACGGTTCCTACAGCTCTGAAGTCGGGCTCTGGGGACAGCCTTGCCCCTCACAGAGCTCTTGGTCAAAGTCAATTTTCTGACTTCTTTCTATCCAATGTTCTTTTTTTTTGGAAAATGATTTCCTTATTGCTAAAGAAATTTCCTTGAAACTGAAATTTTTCAGAAATCCACCAGAGGGAGCCACAGACTTTAATAAAAGACAAAAAAAAATATTTCAAAAAAGCATGAAAGGAGCATGTGTGTTCCCAGGCTAGTTCAAGAGTCCTTGGGTTTTCCCTCTAGCTCTGAACTGCTGTCAAGGTGGAGAATTCATTTTTCCTGGCGCTGACTTCCTTTGCAGGGATGTGCATTTCCTGGTCACTGGTTGGACACGATGGTTTTATTCGCCCTTTTTTGTCCCAAGGGGTCCGAGACCTTGCCTCTCCCAGTGGCTTAAGTGCAGCTGTGACACCAACCGTGCAGGAAGAGCGAGGAAGGACACCCTTCCAGGCAGACCCTGCGGATTCCAGGTCACACAGCCCCCCCCCCACCCCGGATCGCAGCTGGATTGGACTCCACGTGCGAGGGAAGTAACTTCAGAAAACATTTGCATTTGATGGGATCATTTAGTGGCCAAGAGGTGTCTAATAAAGGCTGTGCCCAACACCCAGGGTGACCAACCCCCATCAGAAATGCTGAGATGTGAAGTGTTTGGGTCCTTGGCACATCTGCATGTGAGATCACACCCGCGTCCAAACACTAAATTCACCTCTGTTTCATTCACGCCTTACACACACTGCCTGTGGACACATTTACAGAATAGCTCGGTGCACCTGACTTTTGCCTGTGGTGTACCCCGTGAGGTGCACTCGGGGACTCTCCACTGTGGCTTCGTGTTTGCACTGAACAAAGTTTCAGATTTTGGAGCATTTTGGTTTCTGGACTTTCAAGTTAGGGGTGCTCAATCTGCAGTACTATTCGCCCTTTCAATGACCATCAGGAGATAAAAATGGAACCTTTTGTGCTTTCCTCCTTGAGAGCCACCTGCATCTATTCCTAGGATGGTTTCTAAATCAATCCATGGATTTAAATCAGTCCATGGATCGAGCCCCTGGCTAGACACGGGGGTGTGCACCAAGTAAGAGCCTTTGTGGCAGGGTAAGTTGACACAGGCTATCAGGACCAGGGTGATAGACAGGACAGGAAGATCAGCAAGACCCAGCACCACTGTGTCCCTGTTGAGGTGACATTTACTATATAACTGCATAAAACTACCCCCTCACCCACACACATGCAAACACACACACACTGAGCTGATTTAAAATGTCCTTGACCCCCATTGTAGGGCCTTCCAACTAAGGAGGAGTCACTGATAAAAAGTGGCTTTCATTATTAGCTGTCACTCCCCTAATTGGCACTGTTTGAAATAGGTCACCTTCTCAGGGTCACCTTGCCCAGAGCATGCAGGCTCCTTCTTGTCCTACTTAACACCAAGCGAAAGGCCTTCCCACATCCCAACAGAGCCCTGAAAATGGCCAGAGAGCTGGGACTTGCTGGGATCATAGCACCCAGTAATGGCTCCCAAGTCTCACGCCTCTTTCCTGTCTTGCTGGAGTTTCAGATTCGGGGGAAACTGCACGTTAACAAATCAAGAACGTCACCTGAAGATTCCAAGCAATGAGCTAAAGGGAAAACACCATGCCCCTGTCTCGGGAAATGCAAATGGTAGGTATTACATTTTCATATGCAAATCGGATGAAAAACAGGCAATCCTGTCATTAGGATGATTTGTTAGGGAAAATAACAGGCAAGTGATATGGATAGCTGGCCTGGAAAAGAGGCACCCAAGTCATCTGATTCCAAACCTCTCCCGAAGGGGAACACATTTTCTCATCATATTTTATATGTCTATAGTACACAGACATATGTACACTTAAGAAGGTTTAAGAACTATTCAGCATATTGCAAGGCACGGTGGTGCACGCCTGCGATCCTAGTGGCTCAGGAGCCTGAGGCAGGAGGATCACAGTTCAAAGTCAGCCTCAGCAAAAGCGAGTGAGACCCTGTCTCTAAATAAAATACAAAACAGGGCTGGGATGTAGCTCCATGGTCAAGTGCCCTTGAGTTCAATCCCTGGTACCTCCCCCCACTAAAAAAAGAGAACTATTCAGCATATTTAAGAACTCATTCTGGGTTTTATCCTGGGTTTTGCAAAACAAAAAAACAAAAACAAAAATTCTGTGCCTCCCTTCTTGGTAACAAAAATTCCCCCATAAACTCAGTTAACATAAAAATAACATCAAAAAAGACACCTTTGGAACTGAGAGGAAGGGACGTCTTCTGTAGACAAGGTTGTTTTGATCTTCAATGGTTTTTCTGGAGCACTGACTCAGTGGATAAGAGTTCCTCCCTGAGCTGGTGCACAGAGGACAGCTAAGGTCCCACTGGGAAAGAGGGAAGAAGGTCACCCTGCCTGTGTTTTTTGCCCCCATCGTGGTCTGAATTGAGTTCTTCAATGTTCTGCTCCACCAAAATGAATATTTTCCCAAGAAAATGATGATTGTGAGCCATTATTATTTCTTCTCCCTGGACGGTCCCCTTCCCCGAGTATCAATTGCACACTGTTAGCCCAAGCAAACAGGGACTTTTCTTCTTTGTGAAGGGACAAAAGGCCCTTGTGCTCTCAGAATAGTTATTGCTGGACGTCAATTCCCTTAGGATAGTTTCCTCTCTGGGTTCCTTCCACTTTTCTTTTGTTAAGTAGTTAACTTGAAATAAAGCATTTCAAAAAATCAAATAAAAGGGAAAAGCGCCTACCATGAAGAACACTGAATTTAAACTTTCTGTGGGAAAGAAATGAAAATGGGGAGGGTGGAAGCAGCTCGGTCATTTAATTTAGATGACTATCCCTCACGTCTGTGAAGAATTGGAGGGCGGGAGTAGCTGACTCCTAGTGGGGGCAGTGGGCCGGGACTGCTTTCTGTGGATGAAGTCATAGTTCTCACTTTGATTAGCTGTGGCAGATGCAATCCTTATCCCCGTGTTACAGGTGACACACTGAGGCAGGGGGTACAACCACTCGAGAGCACGCATGCATAGCCCTGCTTCCAAGCCTGTGTGCCCAAACCCTGCATTTTACCGTCCTTCCCCTGATAGCAAAGTGCCTCGATGATTTGTAGTAAGACTTGGAAGGGCGGCACTTTGCCTTTTCTGGTGTGGAAATGCACAGAAGTGGATGCTGGATGAAGTTGGAGCCTCTGCGGTGGCTGCGGGGAACTGCTCTCCTACCTGGGAACGGATGCACCTGGTTCCAGAGCATCCTGCCTACCTGGAAATGGCCCTGATCCGTTGTTATCCTCTCCACTGAGGGGCGACGGTCTGGTCTCCCCCTCCAGGTGCAAGCCCCATGGTAACCGGGCACCCCTCACCTTTGCATCTATAGCACCCACCCCTGCAGGTTCACTCAAGGGAGAGCAGGTTCAGAAAGCATCCAGGAGCAGTTAGGTCGGGGAGAGCAGCACCCGATGCCCGGGGGCCTTGACCCAGGACACGTGGGCACCCATTCTACAGGGGGAGCACGTGTGTGTGGGGGGTCGCTACAACTATCTCCAGAAGGGTCGTCGCATGGAAGAATTCATGCAAGCCAGGACCCAGCAGGACGGCAGACCCCCGCTGTGAGGGACACTTTGATTACTCGGTGATGGTGCTCTTAGAACAGAGCTTGGTACTTAGGAGTGCTCCCTGAACCCAGGTCAATCAACAAATAAATCACAATCAATATCCCGGGGATCTCACTGAGTATGACTTATGCTTCCAGTGATAAACACTGTGCGTTATCAAGCGAGATGACTGTGTGAGGCAGGTATAATTTAGAGCCCTATTTTACAGGCAGGGAACAAGGATGTCAAGAAGTCAAGTGACAGCAGACTTTGGTTCCGAACCCAGGTTGGTCCACTTCTCCACAGCCCAACCGCTGTGCTGATCCTCCGCCAGAGGCCTCTTGAGAAGCCCGGTGTGAGGACACGCAGGGGGAGGCTCATGGGCCCAGCAGGGGGTTGGATCATTTGTCTCCCAAGGTCCTCACCATTGCAAAAAACAAAACAAAACAAAAACAAAAACAAAAAAGCAAGAATTTCTGAAACTAGGTCAATTCTACAGGCCTCTTGAGTGCGGCCAGGTGGCCAGTGAGGACCACTGGTAGAAAGACCCCTCCCACGGCCAAGCTCTGGGACCACAGGCCCACTGTGGCCGTGGGGACGTGAGCACACCCACGTGCCATGGCACATTCGTGAGTTCCCAAGTGCTAGCTCTCCGGGGCACTCTGCTCACGCCCACCCTCGGATCCCAGCTGCTGCCACATGCAGTGGCATCTCAGGGATGCTCCAGAGGTTCCAAGAGGGTTGGGAAGGTGGCACAGGAACATGTGTCAAAATGGCCTGGCATCGGGTTCTACCAAAATCAGGAGGTGAGCTTCCACGGTGGGAAACAGACAAACACAAACCTGCTAGAAGCAGGTTTGAGGTTCCAAGGGGAGTCCTCCCCAGCCCCATGTGAGTTCAAGCAAATGAATTAAAGAACTGGACTGAGATGAAATAGGAAATGCTGAATATATAACTCCGCTTGCTGAGGACCTGGTGTGCATCAGGAAAGGCCCTCTTCTGCCCTGGCTGGGGCAGTTCACTACTGGAAGGTTTGGTTTTTGTCTTCATTTCATTGCGGCAAAGTTAACACACAACATGAAATTCACCCTCTTTGCTATTTCAAGGTGCACAGCTCAGCAGTGTTAAGTATATTCACGCTGCTGGGAAAGAGATCTCCAGAGTCTTTGGTCTGGCAAGTTTGAAATCCCAAACCCATTCAAAAGCTCCCTTGCTCCCTCCCTGCAGCAGAGGCCCGCCTGGCAGTCCTCTACTGGGAAATGGAGGAGGACTGTACGGCCCCCCAGCACACCCAGCTCTGGCCACGGGCTCTCCTGCGAGACTGTCCAACCTGGCAATAATCTAATGCCAAGGACAGAGGCCACCTCAAGGTGACTCAGTTGTTGCGAGGACTAAGTAGGATGTGCAGGGAGACTTTGGGAGGACAGCAATAAATGGCACAGGCACAAGGAGGAAGGAAAAGAACACACGGACCGGGCTCCGAGTTGTGGAGAAAAGCTGTCCCACGCACGAGGGCTACAAGCAACACACAGGGCCCCGTGACCACGGCTGCTGCACTGAGGTTGGAGGAAGACGTGCTGCTGAGCAGGGTGACCTCACGCCCCCCACCACCTGGGAACAGGAAGGAGCCCCCTTTGGAAGCTGGATCGACTCTTCAGGTCACTGTGAACCACAGGGAGGAGCACCAAGCGGGGCACGGGCCATCGGGGGAATTACAAGGCTGCCTTCCCAGGAAGCCCACTTGGACTCCAGGGAACACAGAGCTTTATCCCGGGAGCCCGAGAAACTCATGAAAGACCCTTCATTTCCAGTGTCAAGGTCACTTATTTGTGAACTAAGATAATTCTCCATCTTTTTGTTTGTTGTTATTATTTTTAATTTCTCAATGAATCGGTTAAGTATGCAACCCAAAACTATAAGAGTTCAGGACAAAGGGAGAGAATAATGGAAATATCTCAAGATTTTCTAAAACAAACAAACAAACAAAAAAACAAGACCATCAATACCGTGTTTGCCATCTGCAAGGCGGGGTCCATCAAGCCCAGGATTTCCTCATTATAACTTGATTCCAGGCTAATGATGTCATCGATGACATCATCCATCTGTAGGAAAAAGCCACAGGAGAGAAATGAGCAAAAACTGTGCAACACTCCCCAAAAGGGACCTGTCCCACCTAAAGCGATAATGCTTTTTAGTTAGATCTTAAGAGTGACCATCCTCTCCCCAGTAAGATGGAAACACAAGACCACTAACATCAAGGACGCTAAGCATCTGTGGCCAGCATCTGAGGGGTCCCAGGTGCCCAGGGCTGACCTAGGGATTTGCATGGGCTACATCTTTTACCCGGACACAACCCTATCGGGGTCGGTGCTGTTACTGCAGTAACCATCCGGGTGAGATGGAGAAGTGCCTGCCCAGAAGCACACCCTGAAGCAGGCTGGAGCCACAATCTGCCCCTGGCTTTCCCCACTATGCTGAACTGCCTGTCCTGAGCAGGAAAGATGGCAGGAAGCCTCTTCTTGAATAACAGCTGCCACTTCCTGGTTTTCCTTCCCATACCCTGCTGGAGGAGGAAAAGGCAGAAGGGAATTCAGCCCCTGGTTCCGGAGGCCGTGTAGACACTGTGGCTCTCAGGACCCTGGCTGGCCCTGCCCGGATCAGCAGTGGTGTGTAGAGTAACCAGCTTCTTGCAGGGCAGCCAGTGAGCACTGTCCCCCAGGAGCCCCCGGGACGACGTACTCCCTCTACATTAATCTTATCCCTGAGGCACCCAAGCATCAGGTAGGATGGTAAACAACAGCAATGACACGTGCACTGCGGCAGTTACAAGAGAAGCCTGCAGACACCTCTCTGTAAATGGCCCACGTGGGCGAGCCAGGTGCCGTGGGTGTGCCCACGTCTGCACAGAGCTTCTTCAAGGGGACCTCAGAAGGCACAGGGATGCTGCCCTGGGTCCTTCGGCCTCCTGTTAAAAAGCTGAGCTCCCACGTCATGGGCTTGGGACAGAGTCCTGCTTGTCCCACTTCTCAGCTTAAGGTGGAGTCTCCAGTGCCCAAGAGGTGCCATACGCCAATCCCTGAAATGGGGGCTAATGATGCTCCCAGTCCTGTTGGTTTCTGGGGAGACCTCAGGATAAACCGTAGAAGGAATTCACTGTCAGGAAAGGAGTGGACATTTGAATGTGAGAATTACAAAGTGATCCCTCAGAAGCATAATGGGAAGCCAACTTTGCAAAACTGCTAGCAAGCTGTTACATCCCATCTCTGGGTGGCACTAGTTTTGTTTGTTTTTAATGGATGATTTCTAACTGAATCCATCATTGGTTTTAATGAAAATAACATTAGTGTGCTTAATGTGCTTGTTTATTTTCATATATTTTTTCCTCTCCTGACAAAAATCATACAAGTAGATAGTGGGAAATCCAGAAAAGTACGGATCACAAAAATGTTCCATATTCTAATACAGAAAATTGAAAAGCAAAACATAAGAATTCTTTTTGTTGATTACTTTCTCTGTGGCATCTCTGTATGCACACGCATAAACACGTAAATAGATGTCACATAATTTATTCATTAAACAGGATGCTGTAGTGGAACTTTTCGTTATTTGGGAAAACAGCCATTAGGTATTATTAAATTCATCATGTCTCAGAGCGTGTGTTCTGGGAGACTCCACTTATACGCTGATATAAGTGACACATCTTGCTACCCTGCTTCCCTACCAATCTGTGTAACACACAATGATGATGGTACACAAATAAAGAGCGTTTATGTCTTATTAAAACTCACACCTAAGCACTTTCTAACGAACCAAAGCAACGTTGGGGAAACATACATTGGATATATATAGCTAGTAATTATTTAATGGTGAGCTACTGTGAAGAAAGTGGCCCTGTTCATAGCTTTCTCTACTTAAAAAAAAGAAAGAAAGAAAATCAGTGGAGGAAGGTGGTAATCGGTTCCTACCTGCATGCACGAAGCCCGTGGGTGTGCGTTCATGCTGGGGCACTCGCTCTCCACCCTGTTTTGCTCTTCAAACTTATAAAACCCCTGCAAAACACAAGCCAGAAGAGCCCTTGGTTTGGATTTGCAGGTGACTCTGTGGGGACGTGTAAGCGAGGCTGACAGCAGAACAACAGGATGAAGGAAGCTCTCAGACAAGGTAGATCCACCCGGAGACAGAGGGGTGAAGGGGACCTCGGGCCAGTCATCTTGCTAGATGACAGATCTGGACAGAGAAATGGTCGGTTTGGGCACAGGGAAAGGACATGATCCCTCTCGTGATTAAAGTCACTTCTGAACTTGAGCATTTCAGAGTCCAGGAAAAAGTTCCAATAAAAACGAGGCTCATCATCTCAGAATTTGGAAAGAAGAATAGGCATTAAACCACACCTCTCCTCTCGGGGATTTCTGTGCTCCCATTTTGATGCGACCGTTAGCTCGCAGGTCTGTCTGAGTCTCATCTCCAATCCAGCCTTTACCAAAGCGGGTGCAACAGGCAATTTTATCATGAAACCCGACGCAGGCAGCCATCCACCCGTGGTTTGTCTGTCAGAAACTCATGGGCCGTATTTTTCAAATCTGGCACGCCAACGCTGCTTGTTTCTTTTATCTTTTTTTTTTTCCACTCAGGGAGAAATAAAAATAATATTCCAGACACTCACAGCGAGCGGCCCGGCCCCACCGCCTGTCCCACACCTTTTCTATTTCTGCTCTTCCTCTTCCACCTCTCCGTCACCCCTCTGCATCTTCGCCACCCCCTGAGCTGGAGGGCAGGGACGGAAAGAGGGCATGGGGCGAGGGAGGCAGAGCCCTGCTGGGGAGGCCGCTGTCAGGGGCAGTGAACCCCGAAACCCAGAGATGGGGGACAGGAAGCTGGAGGGTCCGGACAGGCCCTGGTGGCTGAGGCTGGGTGGACGAGCGAGCGAGCCCATGGTCAGGGCGGGAGGAGGAGGCAACAGACAGGTACTGAGTGGGAGGAGGAGGAGGAGGAGGAGGAGGAGGAGGAGCAGAGAGGAGGATGCATTACCTCTTTGTCACAGTTGGAGTTAAGCGTGAGCAGGGCCATGGGGCTGTTGGGCGCGCTGCTCCCCGGCACCGGTGGCATAACGCGGTCGCCTGGCTGGTTTGGACATGGCAAGCTCAGGACTTGGTTGGCATGTTTGTTTGCTAAAGTGGTGGAAAGGTACTGCTTGACCTGCTGCCGCTGCGCTTGCTGTATGTGGTACTTGGTGGGGTTTTCGAGGTGGGTCTGCACCTGAGCACAGCCGGGGAGGGAAAAGAAGACAGCACGTTATTCCCAAGCGGCGGACGGCTGTCCTCCAGGCGCCCAGCAGACCCACCGGCCACCCAGAGCAAACTAGGAAGCGCCCCTGGGTACCAGGCACCGCGCTAAGGGATTTCAATATTATTGAAGTCTAAAGTCCAACACGTAGGATTCGGGGGTAAGACTCTGTTTTATTTCCCTGCTAATTAACTACCCATCTCTGTCAAACCTTGTGCCCTTCTTCTCTGTCTACTCATTAAAAGTTTGCAACTATCAGTAAGGCTAACGTGTCTCCAAGGCACCTGAAAACATTTAGTAAGATCAAAGTCACAGTCTCACATATGCATATTCAGTGTATCACACTTTCCTTGGCAAAGGGAACAGCTCTCTGTTGAAACACACGCACATACACACAAAATAATCCATCCAAAACTCCTTAAAAAGTCACTGTGAAAAGCCTGTAGAACGTAAACATTTCAATGTTTAAATCAGCTGGTCGAGGATTAACTCCTCCTCCTTTAATTTGAATGATTAATATTTTAATTACAAAGGAATTAAATTAAAAACACAACTCCACGCTAAACAGGTTTAAAAAAAAAAACACACTTAAAACTTATACACTTAAACACTTACATGTATGAGTTTTTAAAGTCATGACTAAGTCACCCAGATACTTTTTATCCTTAGAAACATTATTGCAGAATTATAACTGCTTTTTTTTAAAAAAAAAATCAATGACATTCAATTTAAAGTGACTCTTTCTTTCCCTGATAGACACAATTTAATTGTAAGAGGTACAGTATGAACAGGAGATGGAGATCACACAGCCACATGCTGGGGAAATAAACCCCACCATTGACCCTGTTCAAAACTCTCCTGAATTACTTCTCATTGCATCAGACCATAAACATCCTAAAAAGAGTAGATTTGCCCTGACTGAGCACCGTGTGCTTACTACAGCCACATTAAAAAGGTGAATCAGCCAACCGGCATGTCAGAAACCAAAGAAGAACAGGAAGAATGCTCACCTGATAGTGATTATATTCTAGCATTTCCAGCATAACAGCGTTCTAGGTGGCCCCAATTCAGCGAGAAACGGCAAATTATTCTCCCTCCACTTTCTGGGACTCCAACCCCAAGACTGGCTGGCCTAGGCAAGCACCATGACCAGCGGCCGAGACGCCGCCCGAAGCCTATCTCCCAGCCCTGCTTATAACAACCTAAGCTAATTAGCTATGCATGTAAAAACCATCCTCACAAGGGGCTTTTTTTTTTAAGCCTTATGAGTTTGGTCTTAAATATTGATATCAATTTTCCCCCTGGCTTGACGTCACGCTTTTTTTTCTTAGATATAAAAGAACCTTTTTAAGGGATGAGCTATCAAAGTCCAGCTCAGTGGCAGATCAAGGCCAATTCACGATTCATCTTTCGTTCCGGTGGTATTAATAGACAATGGCATTTCTCTTTCAGCAATAGGTTAGGAGCTGGGCGCCCCCTTTGGGGCAGTCGGTTGCCCAAAAGCTACTTCTACACATGAGACCTTTCAATGGCCACATAACACTGCCACTTCCGAGTACAAGAAAACCTCTTTCAGAGAGGAGGGCCTGCTGCATTTTTGACCTCAGCAGCCTCATCCTGCGCCCTGGTCTCTGTGCTGGGAGCTCTTAGCTGGGTGGACACGGGGCTTGCTGACGACCCCCCCATCAGGAAGAGGGGGCTGCCCTGAGCCAGATTCGAGACACATAGCACTACATGCTTCTTCATGTAGGAAAAAAGAAAGGTCTTCCCAATGGAGCCCTCAAGTTAGGAAGCATGGGCATGTTTGCTACAGATTTTCTAGTATTATTCTCAGAGCTAGAGAACAACAGGTTACGGATATACATAATTGATGCATTTACGTGTCTATTCTTTGGATCATTACGCACTACTACGTGCTCGGCACTGCAAATCACAGAACACGCTGAACACAAGCCCATATGAAAAAAGACAGCATTTCCTTCATAAAAGGAGGTGAGGCAAAAAAAAGAAAAGAGCAGAGCTGGGGGGGGGGGGGCTCGCCTGTAATTCCAGCAGCTCAGGAGGCTGAGGCTGGAGGATCACAAGTTTGAGGCTAGCCTTAGCAACTTAGCGAGACCTTGTCTCAAACTAAAAAATAAAAAGGGGCTGGGGAGGTGGCTCAGTGGTTAAGCACCCCTGGGTTCAGTCCCCAGGACCAAAACAAGAGGGAACACACACATATTTTTCAAAATCATGATGAATGCCTAATGAACACTGTTGAAATGGGAAGATAGTATTTTAAGCATAAAAATGTTACATTTATCAATTTTGTCCAAATACTCAGCATCGTGACATCCTTGGAGATGACCACCTCGGACTCTCTCCAGTGCCTGACCTCGCCGCACAGAGGTCTCGGAGACATTTGGAGCTCCATAAAGGGTCCAGACACGATAATGAGGAGGACAACAGACACTACAAAAATAAACAGAGGCGGCGGCGGTGGCGGGCGCAGCGTGCTCTGCTCACTGACACTTGGAGAAGAAAGGGCTGCATGTTTAAAAATAGACGCCAGTTCACCCACAGGCCCTTAGTCCTTAATGAACCCGAGTTTCTGCTTCACTCAGGAACAAGGCCACCTGCTCCTGGCCGGGCCCTGTCACGGAGGTCCCACACGTGCAGGTCTCGGTGGCCCAGCGGGTTCCCTCATCCTCTTGCCCTCGGCCTCCTGAGTGTCCAAGCCTTCAGGTGAAGGCAGCCGGCCTCCCAGCAGGATGCGCAGGCACAAGGTGGTAGCTGTGAGGAGGGACTGGGGCAGCAGGGACAGTGACGAGAAGAGGGCGCATCTTGAGAAGGCTCAGAGGGGCCACACTGCGGCCCACTTGCTCTGTGACGGACCACCCCAGGGCTCCCAGCGGTTCAAGGGCAGCTGGCAACACCAGCTTCTTTTAGTAAGTAAAATGCTCTGGATTTAAGTAACGGACAGCTGTTTGTCTTATTCTGCCCGTGGCATGACACCAATCAAACACGTCCGGGGCTGGGCTCTGCCCACGAACCCTGAGAACAGGCTCTGTTTCCCACAGTCCAAGGGCACAGGGCCTGACGGACAGTCCTTGGCGAAGGCCTACCATCTCCCCTTCTGGGAAGTCCTGTGCAAGTCTAGGTATCGCCTGGTGCTGCTGCTTTGAGAGACCAAGTCCCTGATACCTCAGGGGACAGGTGGCTAAGAATGTGAGGCCTGAGTTCCGATTCTGAGTTTCCACCTGTTACTCCAGTGACCTGCGGCCAGTCCTTAACTCCTCCCGGCTCTCGTGTCCTCCTGTGTTCTCAGGGAGCCATAACAGAGCCCGCACAGGTGTGTCTGCACCATCCAAGGAGGCACAGGCAGTACCCACCACAGCACTCCACCAGGGCTTTATCTTAGGACACTTTAAGGCCTTCCGAGGGACCGTGTCCATGTGGGTTGTGCCTCTCGACACTTACCCTTCTGGGAATTAAAGTGGAGACCTCCAGAAACGGAGGGTCATACCCGCCACGTGCCCCTTGGTGTCAGAGTGACATCGTCGCGGCCTGTCATGCAGCCTTTGAGAGTTCCCCAGCCTGCCGTGGGATGGGAGGGAAACAGGAGGACGGTTGGTTCATTCCGACAGAAGTTTTGACGGACAGAGCCTTGCTAGGGTCCTAGACACCCCAAGCTCTCCAGTCACACTATGAGAACCCTGATCCAGAACACGGTCAGCATGGTGGCACCGTCTGCCCTGGCCACACCAGGCATGACTCCAGAGCACGCTGGAGGAAGATCCTGGGGGGCCCTGGCACCTCCCAGCACTAACACACAGCTCTGTAATCCATCCCAGGGGTAAACCCGCTCAGCCATTGAATTGACAGCTTCTTAGTAACTTTGCTCTCATCGATTTTGAAATAGTCAACCAGTCACGCAAATGAGAACATGCACATAGTATAACAGAGGACAGAAACATCTTTATGATTTCCTGATAATACCCACATTTTTGACCTTTAAACCAAACACCCGTGTTAAGGACTTCAGATAGCAATGGCTGACCACCATTCAGTACAGCTCATCTCTGAAGCACAGACTGCAAAGCAAAACTAGGACACTATCCCAACACCCCATTTAGGGACACCAGTCATGTTCCTTATGAATTCTGCTTGCAATCTGAGTGGCAGCGTGAAAAATCCAAAGGCTTTGGAACTCTGCTTCTTACTATGGCCCTATCTCTCTGCCGTTTCCTTCCTTCTTTCAGATCTTGAACTGATAATGGAAGAACTGGACTGGATCGCCTCCTGACCACCTCCCTGTAGCTCTGCCATTTCCTGAGTGAGGCTGACAGGCCATTCTCCATCAGTTTCATTCTAAAGAGATCCTGGAGTACATCCCTGTCCAGGTAAGACTCCGCTATAAATGCCACCATCCTGCGGGAACAGGACTTGCCGGGGCAGAAGACCTTCCAGCAGGTCGACTGCCCTTCTGCTCATCCACTGTTACCCAGAATTCGAATAAAACTGAATGGAGATTCCCACAGCCCTTCAGTTTATGATGGATTTCACTGTTTCCCAACAAGTCAACAGAGTGTTGAGATCCCTCATGTGGAGGGAGAAAATTTGTTCTTCAAGTGACATTAAAGGGATTACTCAATGGCTATTCACTACCATGACCCCACCACCTTCTTTCTAAAATGTTTTTAAATATCAATTTACAATAAGTCAATTATGTGATCATAACCCTTGAAAAAAAATGGTGAAACAGAAAACTAGAACCCAGAGCTCTGCGCAAGTGCTTTGCCAACTGAGCTCCGCCCAAACCTGGCTTTGTTAAGTGACTGGGGCAAGCCTTGCAGGGTGGCAGTCTGATGAGGACCAAGGCCCCCTTCCATCCCGCAATGGTGACATTACCAACCACAGGTGGCACAGGCCCAGAATGTGAGTTCTAGGACACGGACTCTCACTTCTGTATGATCTGTGTGAAGGAACCCTCA